TCCTGTGGACTCACTTGACTGTTGTTTCCTTCTGTTTTATCATCCTTTGATTCCCTATCTGCAGTCCTCCTGAAGTTCAGCTGTCTCTCATTCTTCTGTGTTTTCATCTTTGTTTGTGTTCGCTCAGTATGGAATCAACAAAGCTATATCTGTGGGTCTACCACTAAAAGTCTAGTGATAAATGTAAAGCTCCAGTCATGATCCTGTTTTGTGTCAGACGACAAACAGTTTCAACATGTATGAGACGATAATACAATAAAACCCTTTACTAATACAAAACATATGAGGTAGCACATTAGATAAATATTTGGCATAGCTATAACCTTAGTATGTTTGTTGCTCCAACACACTCAGACATTACATCTTTAGTCACTTTATAGGATGATAACTCCAGAGAAGGTGGTGTTGGCTTTTGTTTTCACACTATTTGATGAAATAGCGTGCCACGTGGTTAAAATTTCAAGAGTTGCCACATCCACTGAAGGAATACCAACGGACGACTTCAGCAATCTACTCACTTCTGTAATTTTTCTACATTTCCAGTTTGTCCAGGATTCACTTTCTTGAGGGGGTGATGAAAGGTTTAACTCTGAAAAGTTAAAGGGGGAACCTGTGAACAAATAATTGATAAAAACTTTAAAGAAATAGGTTTCGAACAGGTCTGTGCACCTCTCACAACAAGTGATGTAATCCAATAAAAATCCTGTTAATTGACTACACCCAAATATGAGTATATGTTCTATCAACACAATGAAGTTGAATTTTTTTTTTTTCCTATCAGTAAAAAGTCAGTGTGAAGTCAGGCTAGCCATCATGTGATGCTGCAGTTGTTGCTCTCTACTTTTGACTTTGCTGTGGCCTGTGCAACGAAAATGGGTTTGGGATCAATGAATTCACTCAAGGGTTTTTAGTACGATGAAGACTGTTCACTGACAGACTTTAGGGTTGGTCAGACATGGTAAACATCTGGAGGCTTCCCCAATCCTAGGAATGTTTTCTTCACTATTTACTCTCACTTTTAATGTCAGAAAATAAAAGATGTGATGTTCTTGTCTATAAATTTCAAAGGTAAAAGCATGCTCAAACACAGCTTGAATGGTTCTGGTACAAGGGTTGCCTCCTATAAGGTAGATAGCCAATCATGGCTAAGGTTGCTGGGGTGACAGAATGGATTTCAGGGGACACTTTCTGGCTTCAAAACTGCTGCCCTCACAATTCTAAGCGGCACTGTGAGGTTTGGTCCGTGCACTTGTATGCGTCCAGAAAATATGCAGAAAACTAAACACACAGAATGCAGAGTGTGGTCAGGAAGCTCAGTCCAAATCTGTAAGCACATTGGGCTCTATTTTCGTGCCCGCCAGCACACAGTGGAGGGTGGCGGACCCCGCGCAGTGGTATTTTTGTCTGGCGGAGCCCGGCGCACAGCCAGTTTGGTATTTTCGTAGATTGAGGCGCACCAAGGTCTGCCAAGCTGGGTGTGGTGGCGCGGTAGGGGGAGGTGTCAACAGAATCAACGGGCGCAGTGACATTTTTGTGCCCGCCAGCGGCATGGAGAGTGCGCTGAAAGCTCGCCGATTCAAACCTGGTCAGCTTTTAGCGCAGGTGGAGTGCAGATGAGGAGAGGTGCTGATGTGATTGGTGAAAACAGGAATCGGCTGTGTTAAACGCACTCCACGCCTTAGCCCCTCCCTCTCCACTACTTATGCCGTTGGGAGGAGCTGAGTTAGGGAGGGGAAATACTTACGCCGTGCTGGGCTGCTCACCAAAATACCAAAGTTTGCTTGGACACACCTTGTGGGCGTGGTTGGCCTGACTTACACTGCACCTGCGCCACGACAATAGAGCCAATTAGATGTAAATGAACCTTTGTCAGGACTCTGTGTTTTAACAATTACTTGCCTGCCAAATTGCTGTCAAACATCGTTAGCATACCTTTCACTGCTACTGTAAGCATACTACCAAACAGACCAAAGCAGTGACCTCAGCACACTTTTTCTAAACAAGTATGCAGCATGCTTGAGTTGAAGACATTTTGGCTCAGCACACAAATGACCATTCATAAAGTAATAAATGACCAAACTGAATTATAAGATTCATTTTTAAAACTAACTTTTAATCTGTTAAAATGAAACACAGAAGTTGGTCGTCTCCCAAAAACGAATTCCAGCAAGATCTATCGGTTTCTGCTTCCTGATGCTTCGTTGAGCATGAGACCACCCCTAATGGCCTTCAGTTGCCTCATATAAGTTACCCACTAGCTGTCCTATCACACATCATCTGTTGTTTACTTGTCACTCTTTAGTGTGTGTGAGAATTGACCGTAAACTTAATGAAATGCTCTCAGAAGTCTTGTTCCCCAGTCTGTCAAACTTCTGTTACGCACCTCCACCAACATTTTGTTGATGTGAATGAGCCTGTTAAGTCAGTCAAGACCTCCGTGATGTGCTGGCTCACATAATTTCCAAATCAGTCGAGATATTGCGATCAGGGGAAACAGATGGCATGAAATGACCAGGATATTTAAGGCTCCTAACAGCCGGGCACATCAGCGAATCACCATGGAAACCGTCACGCTCTTGCAGGTTTCTAATGGGAACAATTAGTGGAGAGGAACAACAAAGCAGGGAGGATCTGACTGATGGCCAGATGTTCAGATATGATTTTTGCTGCGGCTGTTAGCTTTGACTGCTCTCTGATTCATCTCAATCACAGTTATGAGTCCCACAGATGATTACGCAGGTAGCAGTGATGAGGTTAGTGCTGGTGTCCGTGTTTTGTTTTTAAAGCAGACAAAAAAGCTTTCAGGATATACAAACACAGACAACAGTAGACGAGGTGTCAGGGATGGTATTACACACATCTTTTTTTTTTTTTTATAACACCACAGCTTGTAAAATAAGAGTGAGCTCTATTCTCTTTGAAAGGGAATCAAGTAATGTGCCTGAAAGAAAATGAAAGAATCTGTTGTAAGCAAACATTAAAAGGCATGACAAGCCTGACAAGCCTGTCAAGCCTCAAATCTCTTAAAATCATCTTAAACAAATGCACAGAGTTTGAGGACTCTATTATTTATGATAGCACACAGCTAGGAAAGTGTAAGGAAAGGATCTGACAGTGTGTCTGGTTGAATGTTGGCTGCTAACATGGCATGCTGGGCAAGCTAGCTTAACAACCAACATTCATCAACCTTTAAGCATCTTACTTACTTTTCCAGACAGATTTCTACCAAAGTTTAGGCCTGTCTCGGTTTTTCCCACAAGGATTCATTTACACATTGAACATGCTGCACTGCTTCTGCTACCATGTGCTATAAAGTCTGAAAGCAAAACGCAACATTCATGGCGAAAAGTATCCTGACAATCCCGTCACTGAACAAGCATGGCATGTGAAGGGCTGCGCACGGGAGAGCTGTTGTTTCAAACTGGAATAAATATTAGGACACCTTACAAAAAACTAACCAAAACAATGAAACAGTCCACCTCTCCATCTTCAGGCCCAGAGCAGTCAATGCTGGAGTGCGGGTCCAAGTCTGAGTCATTAGTGCTGGAGTCCAAGTTGAGTCATGAGTTCTGAAAATGAAGTAACTCGAATTCAAGTCCTGGACTTTGGTACTTCAACACAGGCTAAAGAGTATCTTGTTTTGTTTTTACCATACATATGAAAGGTGTTTTTGTAGCTATAAAAGGTATCCTACACTACTACAAACCAGACTCTTACAAACATCTCTTTAAAAAAGCTAGTCAGCTGGACTGTCAGTGCGTTTACATGCACAGCTTAATCGAACTAAGCTCATAATTCGTTTTTTAAAATTCGAATCAGACTTCTCTCCTTGTCCGCGTATACATGCAGCTGAGTAAATCAAATCATTGAAGTGAACGTGTCCTCCTCCCAAAAACTAGGGGGGATATGGGTCTTTTCAGCTGTGCTGTTTCCGACCCCACACAATTGTCAACAACAACAGCAGGTCTGTGTCAGACATCAGAATTGGCTACAACTGCTGCTGGGCATTTTCGAGCAAGAAGACGGAGCATCGTACAGTGTTGTTTTTGTCGTACATGATGTACGCGCTACTTTTTCTGCAGATGAGATGCACGCTACGCCTCTTTTCTGGTGTTTTTGTTCCAGGACATGTGCACATGCACTGTCCGATCATATTCTGACTGCGCTGGTTACATGGTAAAGAAAATCGAATTCCAATCGCAATATCTGGGTGTCTTAATCTGAGTTCTCCGACTTCAATCGGAGTTCTCAAATTCCGATTATCGTCGGACTAAGGTGTTTACATGCACTTCAGTTGTCCAGTCCTAATCGGAGTAAGGAAATAATTTGGTTTTCTCAAGTGTCATGTAAATGTACTGGGTGAACCATGTTAGGTATCTTATAGACTAGCCTAGTTGACAACATTTGCCAATGGCCGTTGACATTTTAATTGGTGAACAGTCAAAACGTCACCTTTGACTCCCTCAGGCTGAAACAGGAGCCCACTTTTTCAAGAATTACCCTATATTTGAATGGAAAATCTGCCATCTCTATAATTGTAAGCTGTACATGCGAAGCTTGAAGGGAAAGCTTGATGAGGGAGCAAGAGGTCTAATTGGTCCCTTTGATCCTGGTGATCAGCCTGTTTGAAGGGAAATAGCTTCACAGCGAGGCTAAAAGAGCAAGCTACCTTATCATGCACACACACACACACACACACACACACACACACACACACACACACACACACACACCAATGTAGGCTTTACTTTTGACATGGTCTGCACACATACACTCTTTTTACACCTTGTTACACACTCTCTTCACTTATTGTGAGATTCCCTTTCTGGTCGTCCACTACAAAGGCAGCAGCATAATGAAGTGTGGCTGACTGACACGCACCTGGAGAAAGACGATAAGCACCCCAGTCAGGTGTTCAACAAAGGACTGCTGACCCGCTGCAGGGCAGCTGGGAGGACTGGGGGAGACATTTCAGTACATAGGTCTTAACATATTGCTCTGGGGACAGAAACACACTTCCCACAGCCTACTCACACTCTCCATTTTTCAGTCACAGTCTCTGAGCACACCAGTGAGTTGGTGTGAGTCATCTGCCTCCAAACGCCCCGCTATTCAGCTTCACTTTGAAGAGAACAGCATGTGTGCAAGGGAGCCAGTGCCTCTAGTTGCATTATTTCGAGGCAACATTTTGAAGATTCATGCAAACTCCTTGTTCATATGCATGCTAATTTGATGCTTGTGTGTAGGGTTTTGTGTTGCAGGCACAATTGCACATTTCGTGACATCAAGTGTTCCTCTTTTGTTACCTGAGAGGTCACCTGAACATCCCTGGGAGTTTAAACAGTTAGAAAGGATGTTTCCACTGTAAACACTTTTGCAGCTTTAACAGTTGGTTCACATACAGCTGCTTAGATCTCTTTGTGTTGTGATTTATTATTCATTGGCACATTTGGCCGTGCAGCAGTAATTGCACCATGCAGCAGCAGCGCCTGCATCTGATAGAGCACAAATGAATAAATAAATCTAGATAGCAAAACCATTTGAACGTTCGACGTTTACTGATGAGGCAATTAAGAGAACAGCGCACAAACACGCAACCTGCATTACACTGACTTATCCTTTCACAGCACAATGACACAAACTACAAACTGTATTCCTTCTCTCACATGCATTCATTATATAGAGGAACATTTACACTTTAATTTAACATGCATGTTGAACAGTCTCCATGCTTCACCCACAGGCCTGTTATATTGCTCACTGGGCAAGTAATAGCTGACTCTCTGCATCAAGGCTACATTTCTCTCTGCACTGCTTTCTCGATTTTACAAGCAAAATCAGATGGAAAGAAACAAATGTGCCCAAAATATAGACTTCCTTTTGTTATCATACAACAAACAGTGGATTAAAACATTAAGGGATCACATGATCTTGGACTGGGACAGCAATCAACCTGTGAATAATCACCATACATTTATCAATCACTCAATCAATCAATTTTTATACAGCACCAGCTCACAGCAATTGTTATCTCAAGACACTTTCCAAAAGAGCAGGTCTAGACCAAACTCTTTATTTGATATGTTACAAAGATCCAACCTCAAGATGGGAAAAGATTGAGCCTTATCTAGAAATATAAGACCCATTCTTCACTCACCTTGAACCAACATGAGTATCTCAGATTTTACGACTCCTCAGGTCAAAGAAACAAACCATTAGATAGTAACTGTCTTTGGCCAAGCTACACTAGGCTAACCTAGGCAGTTGTGGACCCCATATCTGCTAAAGGTATTCAATCAATCAGTACATCGGTTTTGTCTTAAGAACTGAAATAAAAAAGTGTTAATCCAAACTTACAAACAACATCTTAAAACAAAGCACATACCATTCCCTCCATCCTTTCATTTTCTATCAAAGTGGACTGCATTAACTCTGACAGTGCAAATAGAGACAGTAGTGGTGGGATAAGCAGGGACTCTGTTGAAGTGTTATTATCTGATAGGGGTTTCTGGTGTACTGATATACACTTCTCCTGCAATCCTACATAGAAGAGTCATAATAAGAGTATCAAAAAAAAACAAAGAGGAAGAAGAAGAAGAAGAAGAGTAAAAAAGAGCAGAAGTGCTTCATTCTTTCAGTGCACTTACACCTGTTTAAGACCAAAATCATTATTAAATAGTACAAACTGATTACAGCCGCTATCTATTTGTGACCACCTGGAACACTACCCAAAACACCAGCTACATGGTATGAACATCACCTCCTCCTGCCAGCTCACTCAGAGTGACGCTCAGATTTCCTGCTGTGTTGTCACGTAACCACACCCTTGAGTTTACCCTGAAAAGGCACGGCAGGGCTGCTGGGAAATATCATGGGAGTAGAGGCGATAAAATATTTGGTCATTAGAGATCACGTATGCTGCTTTGATGAGTCATTTTGGGGAGGTGTGAAAGAACGATCAGAGAGACTGCGGTCAGATCTCAAATTTCAAAGTTATGAGTCAAAGGGGTTGTGTTCGGTATCCATTTCTATTTGGTCACGTTTTCTGATTTTGGGCAAGACACTAATCCACTAAAGAGATTCAAGTTTCGTCCTCTGGCACTGAGTTAGATGTGAAACCTTAATTTGTTTAATGGAAACTCAAAAACCCAAATATTGCTCACTTTCTGGATCGTCACCTGAGGTCCACTGAGACCGGTGGAGGAGGTTTCAGTTTCTGTGTGTTGAACACGTTTTTCATACTCTGTCTTCACCAACTGATGACTACACGACAGTGAGTTGGTGGTGGATAATTAAGATCTTAACACTGTGCTTCAAATAACTCACAACACACACAGATGTGTTTGTCTGAAGTAATGTCTAGTTTTTCTACCATTCAAATGAAGAACTTCAGTCTTTCATACTTACAAATAAATCGAAAGACACTGATGTTCATTTTTTAACTTAAAACTATTGCAAGAAGCCTAGAACTGTAGCCTCGCTCCCACTGAGCATTTTTTGGTCTAAAAGAGGTCTAATAGACGTCTAAATGTAGTCTAGACGGCTGGTCTAAAATCAGGCTACCACAGGTCTAAAAATGAAAGTTTTCAGACGTCTAAATTTAGACCGGGTTTAGACTAGCCAGTTAACAGAGGTCTTCCAGTATATTGCTCAACGGCTATCATAATTATCTGCATACCACAACACACCTAAATGCCAAGTACTGAACACAATAAATGGAATGAAACAGGTAATAAAGACAGGGTAATTTATGCGATGCTTTACTGTTTAACGAACAGTAAAGGAACAGGCAAAGCATCCAAAACAAACAAAACTCGCACGGCATCAATGATCACAAAGACAATAACGTTTGATTTTGATACGTTTGTCTTTATACCGCCACACATCTGAACAGACTGTACAACTAAGGTAAACCACTCCCAAATGTCAAGTACTGAACACAACAACTGAAATAAAACATAACAAATAATAAAGACAGGGTAAAACACACATTATGGATCCAACAGTTGATGTTAGGATACCAAAACTTGTAGTCTACAGTAATTGTTCAGTTGCTGTAAGGAGCAACCATCTTGAATTTTGAGCTTGGGGTTGCTGAGGTCAGTCTGGGTAGTAACTCTGACTTCAGGGGGCCTTCTATCTATGTTTTCTCTGGGTGTATCTCAGATTTTACGTCTCCTCAGGTCAAAGAAACAAACCATTAGAAAGTTACTGTCTTTGGCCAAGCTACACTAGGCTAACCTAGGCAGCTGTGGACCCCAAATCCTCTAAAGGTATTCAGCTGTGTAGCCCATAGACAGTATATAGAATGGACAGTCTGCCTCCTCGCTTGGTGAAGCCACTCTGAGAACAGCACCCTCTGTTGATAGGGTGCAGTATAGGGCATAATTCCCGCCTCCACCAGCAAAGCTTATGCGACTGTGGACAAACTTAGAAATTTATTACACAGAACATAAAATTTTCTCTCCCCTGCTTGTGATGTTGACATGTAGTTATTGTAAGACTGGTTTGTGCTCAAGTCCTCTTTTTTCTGTGTGTCTCCGTTTTTAAAAGTTATTAGGGGGTTCATGTTTTCTATGAATGACACCTGACACAGCCCATTGACGTTCAGGGATTTCGTAGCTCACCCGGGGGATACGCTGTTTGAGCTGGGCGTCACCACAGCAACTCTCGGCGACTCTCCTGCCAAATGCGCGCATCGCTACTGCGCAGCGCTGGTTTCAGGAAATGAAGAAAACTCCCGGAAATACAGAGAGCTATTTGGCTTCAAATCCGTATACAGGCGGTAGGCGGAACCAAGTTGTCCATATTATATACAGTCTATGGTGTTGCCCAGAGCCGGCCCAAGGCATAAGCGAACTTAGCGCCTGCTTAGGGCCCCGCGGCCAGTAGGGGGCCCCCAAGAACAATAAAAATAATAAATAATAATTTTTAAAAATATTTTTTATTTTTTGCATGTATGAGTGATGCTTTCTGTATGATCAAATAAATATATTATTGATAAAATAAAATAAAGTAAAAACATGTCCACTGAGTATCCAAAGCGCAGGTAGTTGTGGGGCAAAACAATGACGCCAAAAAGGACATGTCCTTCAGGAGCAGAGAAAAGAAAGAGGAAGGAGAGAAAAAAGCCAAGATAAACGTATGTTTGCATGTTAGGGAATGTTAATCAGAGATTTTTGAAGGTGTGTGAGTGATCAACAATCAATATTATTGGCAGAAATAGAGGGCCCCAAAATCAAATTTTGCTTAGGGCCCCATTGAGGGTTGGGCTGGCTCTGGTGCAGCCTAACAGTTTTGTCTTAAGAACTTACATGAAAAAATGTAAATCCAATCTGACAAACAACATCTTGAAACAAAGCACATACCATTCCCTCCATCATTTCATTTTCTTGTCCTTCTTGGTACAACCAACAGAGCTTTCTTCCCTCCTTTCCTTTCCTTCAGGCCATCAAAGCCACCTCGGTGCCTGACTGGAAAAATCATCCCTCTCTGACTCCGCCCCTCAAACTCAGATGTGGATGCGAGAAAAAAGGCCAGCAACAGTGTGACAGACAACACAGCCCCTCCGCTCCGCACGGCGTAGTATCTCCCCGTGAAAGGAGAGCAGAGGCGAGCCGGACCGAGCCGCATGCTCGCTGTGCAACAAGGCGATCAGGAGCGAAATGGACCGGCGGACAACAACAGCAGCAGCAGAAGCATCACCCAGTGAGGACCGACACCGATTTTAGGTAAGGCTTTGTTCGAGCTCCGCAGCATTTCCACACAGATCTGAGCGCTTTGTGCAGGGCACGGGGGGGAGCTCAGGGAGAGGATGTGCATGCACGGTGTTCGGCTCAAACGATCCAGCATTTTGGGGTTTTTGTTTGATCAAAGCTTTGCAGAAAAAAAAAAGAAAAAAACGTGGCACAGAAGCCTTTGTGTGCGTTACTTTGGACGGGAACACGGCGATCATCACTGGAGGCTCATTTAACTGCAGCTCATTCAGTCTCCGCGCGGGTCTTTAACATCCACACACATAAACACACATCGAGAGAAAATTGGTTTATTAAACACGAGGGACATTAGAGCTCCGCGTAGTTCCCTGTGCGTCTGTTATTGACGTTTTCCTCTGTGATGCTGTTAAGTCCTAATCGAAAAATCTGTTTTTTTTTTGTCTTTTATAAATGAAGATACGGAGTTCATTCACACTGAGGGGGGAGCCAGGCCCTGCACGCTGCTCTACAACTTGGGCAGAAGATGCAGAGGTTGATGCCTCCCCTGATACTCACTTATTGTAGAGCAGCTTTATGCATATGCTGTCAGTCATGCAAAATAAGAAACACAAGCCTTCAGGGCAACACATCATGCCTCATTATTCTACCTTTTTACATGTGGCGTTGTATATTTATGCAGTGGAAGATTAAAAGTAGCTTATCACCTGAATGCTTTTGTCTTGCAGCAAAAAAAAGGTAGTCACAAGTGAAAATGAAATCAACTACCGGATAATGGCACCTTATGTTCTAATATGAATACACTGACAAGGGGAAATGGCTTGCATGCATCTGTGTCTCTATTTGTCATGCTAAAAAGTTGCATTATGGCTGCAGGTTTCTAACACTAACATGCAGCAGCTTGAAATATGTTTATTTCACATCATTACACTTTCATATTCACACAGCTGCACTTCTTAGTCGAGGCAGGCTTTTGTTTGGAGCTGTTTTAATTAGTGACAGCCAGATACCATCTCAGCTTTTCTGACCAAACGTTGTAAGTTGAACACAAGCGCCGTTCCCATTTGCCTTCACATCACAGGGCTGCGGCTGCGGCTTCTGAAAAGCAAAAGAAAACATGCAAGTGTCAAGGGTAATTAAGTGTGCTTCTTTGTGTGTGTGTTTATGTGCTGGGGGGTTGCAATGTGTTGTATGGTGTGTGTGTGTGTGCCCTTTTTGAAGTTGTCTGACACCAGCCAACGTGAAACTTGAGGTTTCTCACTTTGTTGTCTGCTGAGACTAATCTCATATTCGCAGAAACACATGATCACGTCACTTTTGAGAACAGCAGCGAAGGTCAAGAGCCACCTAACTCTCATTACAATAACCACACACACACACGCGCACGCACAGCCACACACACACACACATTTCTCTGTGGTCCAGTGCAATCAAAGGAACCAATCTGTTCTTTGTGTTTTCTCCTCAGGCTGCATGAAAAAGAAAATACAAAGCGTCTCTCCAGGTTATGGTGACATTGCGTCAAGAAAGTGTCGTTTTGTTTGTATGTGCAGCAGCTGAATAATTGCATTCCCGCTAGTTTTTAGAGCTGTGGCAGTGAGGACAAAAGTTGAAGCAAGTAGACAATGTTTTTAGCCCGAAGAGTGTAGCAGAGGAGACACACATTACATAAAGCTTAAGCTAAATAATTCATCTCTTCCAAGCCTGAGCTTTTTCTTTCATAGTGAGTGAACTATAGACGCTACTACCCTCTCTAATGATGCATTATGAATGTGTTGATGGTTACCTTGTAAATGCACATTCTGTTCCTAACACCGATGTGTGAAAGGGTTCTCGCTGAACATCTGCATTACTGCCTTTACACATAAATATCTAATTACTGCCGGCACCTCTTTGTCTCTGCAGCTGGATGTTTATTGTCTGAAATGGGGCGCCTTCATACTGCAAGTGCAGACAGAGCACAGGTGTGTAGGAGAGCCGAATGCACTAACATTGTTCCACTATTTCCCTACCATGCTCAGCCATTACACAGGAGTCCAACTGCCATTTCACATGCATCCCTGTTTGTGGAAATTTTCCACTAATCTCAGAATTTTCTTATACGAAGTGACTAAAAATCAGCTCAGCAGTTTTTTCCTTTGGTACTTTCCCATATAGATTGGAAATTCTGGAAAGATTAAATTGAAATAGAGTTTGTCAGCACACTGAAGACTTTTGAGCTCATAAAATCCGATTTATTTCCATTAATATGTCTGAATTAGGATAAAAATATGTGCTTCAGATGACTTGTTAAACTGCAACAGACTAGTCTCTGCTGACAGATTCTACACAAATTGAAAATACCCTGTAAACAACATAATCTTGTGGTTTCCGTCTCACCTGTTTTGAACTTTATTGCTTGCATTAAATTTCAAGAGAAATTGTTTTCATGCTTCATACTCTACACAGCTCCTTCAGTTGCTTGTGTTTGTTTTCTACTCCTGTATTTGTATAGCAGAAATCTCTTTGAACATATAGTGGTTTTAACTTCGAAACAGTCACCATCAGAGAGGACTCATCCTCCCTCCCCTTCATGCTCTACCCAGGCGGACTTCCTCACCTTGATCAAACGAGTTGTTTCAGGTTGTGAGACCAGGGTCAACATGTACCATCTCTGACTCTGAGGGGAACCTATAAAAGGCAGTTTTGATATGTTAGATGCTCTGCAATTGCGAAGAAAGGGTGAGATTGTGTGTTAAAGGTGCAAAAGATGAGTAAAGCCTCGATCTGCGTTTCATCGTAAATCACCTTGCTCTGATTATTGAGTTCAAATGCACGGTGGTTGGAGGACAAAACACTTTTGGTGATACTCTCCGAAAATTCTTACTGATGAAATGCATAATTGCTGTTTGTGACAACCTATTAATGCAGAGTAGTTAATCAGCGATTGACCCTCTGATTAGTGTCGGGCCAGAGAGAGTGTGAGCGGAGAGGTGATTTATGTGGGAGAGAGTGTATGAGGAGCCATCCTTGATCAGATAAGTTAAACGTAATTATATTAGATGAATCCCAGTGGTCATTTGAATTTCGTTGATACTGGACATTACAACGCATCTGAAAATGCTGTTTCCTCCAGAGGGGGCACAGATCATTGTGTCGAAAGCGTCAGTGTTTACAGAATCCCTGGACAAAAGGGAGCTGTTTGAAGGAGCGCAGACTTCCTGTCTCTGCAGACAGATGTGACAGTTGATCATTTCATCAGCAGCACAGCGAAGCAGCTTTTTAACACGGCATCATTAGAGCTCGCTTGTCCGATGAGTCTCATTGATTGAACAGTAAGATGATACGGCCAATCATGAGGACAGGGTCGGGAACGGTCATCTTAACATGACTCAAGTGAAGATCATCTTTTGAAGCTGACAGAATGAGCTTGTGAGGAAATTTACACATGAGCATTTACTGAAACTCATGTGTATGTCTGCTTGGATGAATATCAGTCTATTTCAGATTGATATTTAAATTTTGGGTAAGGAGGTGTGTGTTTCGTTGTCCCCATCTGTTGTTAATGATGCAAGTCGGCACATTTTATTGAGGTAGGCCTGAAACTCGAGTCACAGCTACTGCCACATTGCTTAGTTTCTCTGCTACTTGGATGTAAACAAGCACAGATGACGGATGGCTCAGGTTGGTGTTATTTTGATCTGGACAGTGGAGATAATATTGTATGTGTTAAATGACTTATATGTAAGTGTACATGGTGGTTCTTGCAAATAGTTTGGATTAACAAACTTGACATTGTTTACCCAAAGACCCCATGTTCAGCCATATTTGATAATTCATGCTCACTGTTTCTGAATGTTTTCTCATCTTTAAGAATCACATGTTAGCTAGAAAATTAGTTGCTTTCTGACATTAACAATTTTGAGGATTGTACCATGATAGAAAACAACCAAACTGAACCATGAATACATGTTTTTGTAGACAGCAAATCTCAGTTTCACACCCCTGTCAATCCCTTTTGTATCATAATGTGATTAATTGATGTAAAAGTATTACTGCCATAATGGACAATTCTGTTGTATGATCGTATCAGGCTGATATGGGGCAATGTGGTTGTATCTATTAAAAAAATACAGCTTTTATAGGAATTTCTGTTATTTGGCGCACTGTTCAATTTGTACAGGTGACTTACTAAGCCAGAATCTACACTAGAGTGAATGAAAAGCCACTTAACACACCAAAAAAGGTGATTTTTTTTCCACTCCAAAATGTTTTGGATTTTGCTTCATAGCCTTTATAGAAACGACAGGGCCAGACTTTCCAGCCAACACTTGAGCTTCCTATTAGATAATGGTAAACTCCTCATGATTTTTTACAGTCAGCTGAAGCTAAGGTTTCCGCCTCCAGACAGCATGTGTGGACATACAGTGCATGGAGGAGAGGAGAGACTGCATGGGCAGGGCAGTCTGGGAAGGTGGAGGTGTAATTTCAGATGTGTGCTAACCGGCCAGAGCAGCAGTTATCTGAGCTCAGCCTTCAAAGTAAGAGCGCTGGAGTCATCAAGACCAGCTGTGCTGCTCGCTCACTCCCCACGCTGTCTGAGTGTGGGAGCACTTTGAGGACAGGAGAAACACATGGACGTCTATGCTTCTTATAACCATCTCCACTAGATTGTAAATTTCCTACGAGGAGTTGTTTAAGGCTCTCATGTCCGTGTGTTGACGTATACTTCTTATGTTGAGTCGTCTTAAAAGAGACATGGGATGTTTGAGCAGCTTACTTTGGCGTAGCTTTCATAGTTGTGCTATAAATCTCTCATAGGCCGCTAATCTGAAGCTGTGTTTAGAAGTAAGTGCCCGGAGTTCAGACAGATTATAGAGAGGTTAAGCTGTCTGAAAATGGCTGTAGTGCTGTAGATTAGAGGACTTGTACTTTCACGAGCCAAAACATATTTTTTTTTTACAAATACAACAGCCAGTATGTGAAACTCTGATATAGTCAAGTCCTATCGGCATCTTTTCCTGCAGCACTGGCATTAGCATTTGTCAGAAAATCAGCTCTTCTTTTGCAGAGAAATGTAATCTTTACTGCCTTAACTTCATCCCCGTCCTTGTGTCCTAAACACGGGTGAGTAAGTCCTTTTACTGATGAATTCCTTCTTCGGAAACAAGCTGGGCTGAGGTCACTGTAGGTGTCAGAGGCCAACGAGTTTTACACCCGAAGTTACAAGCACATTTATGTCCATTCAGCTTCTTCGAGAAGGCCAACTGAGAGTGAAATGAGCTTCAAGAAGACTTTCTCCACTTCCTCACATCAAACGCCTGCCCGCTGTGGGCACTGCGGCGCTCCCAGCTGTATTTATGGGCCATAATGTGAGGTGTACAGCTGCATTTCCTTCACAGGACCTTGCTGCTGGCAGGCTGTATTCTTGCTAGGCTCTGTGCACCGTGAAAGCCTGTCATCAAGAACCGCTGCCCTGTGTGATTTATCAGAATAGGATGTGCTCGGAGGGTCAGGATGATTCAACTCTCCCCGGCCACAGAGTTTCCATCAGACGTCCTTTTCTAGTTTAAGTGGAGGTTACTTTTAGAGCCAAACATAAACGTCATTCCTGTCTTTGCAACTGTGACTTCTGAGGTGTGTTAAGTGCAGTGTTGGTAGATTGAAACTCTCCTGTTCAGACTGTCTGGAACTGATGACTTTCTCTCGTCCGTTACTCACTCTGAATGAGTCACAGGCTTGTTTCCCTCTCAAGGGCTATGTCAGTGGTGCTGCTTTTGAAATTAAACATGTCCTTTGCTCTGGTAATTACAAGGTGCATGAGCACTTCACATGATGCTCTGACTGAAGAGGGGGGTAATTGGCAATGCAGTGTCCTTGTCCAGGTGTCAGCCCCATGTTACGGTATGGATGTCTGCATTTCTCTCAGCAGATTGGAGCCTCAACTTTGCAGCATGTAGACCCCGTTGTTTCCTCCCTGCACCGTGGATCAGGTGTGAATTTCTTGCAGCAGATGGACTGTGACAGGTGTGTGCCAGACACTTCCGCCTCCCTGCACCTCTCAGAGATTATTGGGTGTAGTTGCCTCTCTGGAGCAAGATTAATGAGTGTCTAAGCACACTTTTTGCAAAAATAGACATTTTTGTGGTGGAGATATAATCAGTGCAGTGGCTGAGAGAGGATAGCAGGGGACAGGACAGACTTAATCTGCCTCAGCGGGATCAGTCTTTAATGGAGTTAGTTCTTTCTGCTTTGACCTTGCTGGACCCGGCATCACAGCAGCGTGAATCCATCCCTCATGAGTCCAACTCTGCTGCCACCAAGAGAGCCGGGATGAAAGATGTCGAGCTTGTTTTTCTTCTTTGATCATTTCTCAAAAAGAAGACAGAGTTGTGAGCTTTTCCTGCTTTTGTGTTTGTGACACATAGACGGCAGCAGACAAACCTTTTCTTGTGTGAAAACATGAAAAATGTGTTTTCTCTTCTTCAGCCACTGAGGCTGTAAAACTGAGTGAAAAAGTGACACAAATTGCAGGAGACTTATTTTTTCATAGTTTAACATGCACATTTCTTACTTTACTTTGTCTTCAAGAATTTAAAACAAACTTAAGGCTGAAGTCGTGATTTCTCAGTCTGGACCAACCCCATCAAAATAAATGTGTTTGGTGTTCTGACCCCCAATTTAAACCGCACCCAGAACAGCTGCACTACAGAACGGCGGCGTTTCTAAGGCGAATTTCATGGCGGATTTCGAACAACGGGTTTCGCGAGAAGTCACAAGAACCTGCGGATTCACGTGCAATCGCGCGATAACAAGTTGTCTCTATTAAGACAGCCACGTAACCATATAAGCAGTGTGTACTCCAAGAGGAGGAAATCCTCTTCTAGACTTCTAAAACCAGCATCTCCTCATCCATGGTGTCAACAGGGTGAAAAATGCTGAAATGAAAACCTTTCAATTGTTCATCCCTGTCCGTTTGCATGGTGTGAACTACAATCCGCCTGAAACATGTAGTGTTTCATTATGAGAAGAAGCCAGATGTTTTATTTTGTGTCTGTGCCGGACTTCCTTTCCAGCACTGGCTGATCTGTGCTGAATTATTGCAGCATGCTGTGGCATCCGGAAAAAATAGAACTCTGGTGATTGGCTGCAGAGTCCGCCGAACTGCAGCGGAACAGAAAGAAGCTGGTGGAAATTGACACATTGAACGATCAGCTGCGATTGGCGCATACTGCCTTGTCGCAGCTGTTCTAGATGTGGTGGAAACTGGGGTTAGACCCTTACTTTTTATGTTCACACGTGGAAGACCACTTCCCCTCTGTTTCTGAGCTAGCATGAGCGAATTAGTGACAATCAGACATGATGTCAAAGAAGGATCTGGTGTGGGGGCAGATTGCAGAGGTGTTTGTGTAGAAATCAGTAAGATATGACAGACTGAAGCAGTTTAATAGAGCGTCTATTTTGAGATTTCGTACCTGGACATGTTGAAGGTGATTGACTGAGCTGTCAGCTGATATGGGCTTCTATCAGTAAATGCACTGATGGCCTGGCTTGACTTTGTGAACTGCCTAAACCAAGGATATTTGCAGGTTGATGGGCAAAATTCCTGGATGTAATGTTTGTTTTGGTTGTTCTGCCTGTGACTTCATTCATTAATTAATTGTAAGTGCTTTGTTCAGCCTGCCACACACTACATCATAGTGGCTGAATAACTGAGCGACAGAATAAACCTGTTTCCCTGAAGGCATTCAGGGGAGCATGAATATTGGATTTTCACTCACCAGGTGGACACAGAATGGTCATTAGGAATTAATAAAGTACAAATACAAGAGTGCTGCTCTTGAATGAATAACAAATATTTTCAGGTGCTCTTTGCGTTGAGGTGCACGCAGTCATAAAACACTTGATAATTGCCTGGCATTGCCCTGGAGTCTGATTTTATGGCGTTGCTTCATGTCCGCTGGCTGTGTAATTAGACAGCTGTTTGCTAATAGCTTTAATTTATCATCTCGACTAAAAAGTTTCAATGTCACTCTGTGAAAGTGTGGTCCAAAGTTATATCCACCAGTTTACTTAGCTAAGACATGACCTCTCATTCCAGTATTGAGACCAGTGTCATCACCCTGTTAGAGTAACACTCATCTTGTCCTGCATCACATTCAAGTTCCTGCAAGTTGTCAGACAGAACCAGACATGTCTGGTTTCCGTTTTTGAACATAAGTGGTCCACACTTTCTACATTTAGCCCCTGAGCTTCTGAAACTGAAATTAAACTCAGTGTTTGATTCTGTTTGTGGTTGTAGTTTGTGCTTCATATCGGGTTTCATAGTGCTTCCCTGCATAGCTGTACTTAGCTATATGCGTGCGTGCAGTCATGCATCGACATGCTCCTGTGAGTGTGTGTGTGTGAGTGTGTGAATGTGTGTGTGATTGGCAGGCAGTGGGATGGCTGGAATGAGCTGTATCGCCTGCAGTGTGTGCTCAGCTCCGCATGCTAGGTGCCAGTGGTGAGAAGCCGGCTGATCTGCTGCTGCTGGTACTTTGTCACATTTCCACACACTGATAGAACCACACTAAACACGGCAACTACACGCATCCACATTTTGCTCTCACGGGCAGGGATATAGTAGTGGATGCAATATTTATTCTCTTCTTTGCGTGGGTAAAGGTAGGACGCTGGGATGAATGACTTGAGAACAAACGCATATAGACACAGACAGTCAGTGGAGCAGTGTCTGCACTTACATCTGCATGCACAGCAGCGCACGTGAATGTAGGTCACAGAATGAGGCAGATGTGGGGGAAGGAGGGAAGGTGAGCGCTGGAAATGGAAGTGAAGGGAGGAGGAAACCTTTCATTATGTCATCATGTCGGGGCAGCTCAGGATTAAGGTTTTTAGAGACATACAGAAAGGCTTTAACCCTTAGATTTCAGCTTTAGAAATTAAGTCATAATTCTTCTATCAGTTTGAGAATAAATGAACATAAAAATGTCTTCTTCTTCTTTTAGTGTCAGAGGCTGGGCAGCAGAATTAAGTGCAATCCCATATGTGAAACAGAGTGGAAGTCGTATAAAACAGCTGGCTAATTGTCTGTTACTCTCGACATCTCCCTGTCCTGCTCATTCGCATGGACCCAGGTAGCGAGCCGTTCAGTCTACAATCTATTCTTAACAGCTGCACTTTGGGCCTTCAAGATGTGATGAAGTGCACCGGACCCGTCGGAGAGCTCGGACGCTGGCAGTATAATTACGCAGGGCGAAGTCTGATGTCCTACACGCTAATAACCTCATTGCCTCCTGAGGCTAAAGCAGGAAAGCAGGATAGCGGGGGGTTCATTAAGTGAGAGGAAAAGAGACATGGTTCATTTAGTCTGTGCATCTGCTTCTGCTTTGAGCTCCATATTATCACGTCTGATGTTCCTGTTTCAATAAGCCTTTGCTCCGCTTTCATTTTTCTTGTCTGATCTGCAATCACACACATTTTAGACCCGACATATTTTAAGAAAGTGCAACCACGTTTAGTACAATGAAATGTTATGGTTTGTATCAAAGCTGTTCCTAAAAATGGCACAGGATCAATACCTGAATAATTGTCTTTGCATTGATGAGAGTTTCGTAAATAGCTGTTTGCCATCATGAATCTGAAATGTGCTTCTTAGATGCAGCTAAAAGTGTGTTTGCAAGATGGTTGATTTCAATCTGTATGAGCTCTGTCTGGTGTGTCGCAGTTCAGATGGTGAGAATAAAGTCTTCTTGGCTGCTTAACAAGTTTACACCCCAACTCGTCTCAGGATTCATGTATGATTTCTCCACCACGCTCAGCAGCCTTTCAGCCCCCCTTTTTGAATGATAACTCACGGAAACTCAATCCAGCAAGTTAAAGATTGAACTTTCTCACTGAAAATGGACTTTGTTGAATTTCTGGTATGGAGATTATAAGAAAAAGAAGAAGGAGAAGATTATTGATACATGAAGGATATACATGTACTCTTAATTTTTACTGAATAAGGCAGATAATACAGTTCTCCATTTTAAGCATAGCATCTTCTGTGCAGGATGTCTTGACAGTATGTTGCAAAAACTCAAAATTAATCACTGTTTTTGTATATTTCTAAGTTTAGAGTGAGCTATAATCACCCAACAAGTCCAGAAATGCTCTATTTGAAGATATTACAAACCAATGATAAGAGTTGAAATGCTTGTAATGGGTAGAAACATTTTGGTGCCCCCAGTTGATGAAGCAGTCGTTGCTTATCTTGTCCTGTACATGCTTGCACAGTCTCAAGACAAAAAAAATCGTATCCTGCTGATTTTTAAAATGGCAAATGTGTTATTTATCGTGAATGCTGCTTTGCTGACGCCTTCCCCCGCACGCCAGTTCACAGGCATTAAAAACAGCATCATGCAAATTGACAATACTATCCCTGATGGTCTTTGTTGTGCTTTTTGGGATCATAAAAGGTATAAATTCAATTTCATACAAGTTACAGGAAGTTAAAGCCTAATAAGACATTTTAAACTCAAAATAAGACAAAAAAAGTTGCCTAGTTTTGAGTTGATGCAACATCAAACTTGATTTTAGGCAAACTCCTGCTAGTTTAGACTAGTAGAGTTAAAGTTAGGTGTGCAAAACCTTCATATAAAGTGTTTCTACCTGTTTAGAGGGGCCACTGCTGAAGGCAAGCTGAAGAGCTTTCTGTCAAATTCTCTCCTGACTGTATCAGCCTTCCTCTTTGATCATCCTCTAACAGGGGAATTCACCTGCACTGACTTAAACTCTTGAGGCACTTCTTACTGACCTTTTTTAATGTGAATGAACGTCCCGGCAGCCTCTATTTCAGGCTTAAAAGTCTCCCTCTGGCACAACTTGGAGGAGCTGGGAGGTTTGGGCTTTATGAAAATTTCATCTGACGTGTGGGATCAACAACCCAGAGACAACTGCTTGTGCTCAATTCGATTCCCCTTGAGAGGAACAGTGGCACACGGAGCTGCAGAAAAGTAAAGGTTTTAACTGAACTACAGTATGTAACAGCACTTCAAGCAGACGTTGGAGAATGTGATCGTTGTCAATATTTTTTTTCCTATTGAAAAAGCTAGGTCGTGATGAGCCACAACAGATGAGAACAAGTCAAAATTACAGTAATCAAAAAGCAAGCAGCATTTGCAGAGCATGTGCATACAGCCTGAAATGCTGAACTCTGTAACAAGCACATGCTTTAATAGTTTAGTTAACTGAGCCACAAGCCCTGGCATTTTTAAGCCCTTTTTTTTTAATCGAAGGTCTGCAACAGCGCCATAGTTATATCCCCTTCTGATGTTTTACTGAACCAAAGATCACTGTCATATCAGTGTCTCAGCTGGTGATTTTACACAGCTACAGGAGCCAAAGGGACACAACATGTAACAAAACATAGTGAGCTTTACCAACACACACTGCGCTGTAGTACCATCCAAGCAGCCTGTCATTTTCACAGCTGCTGTCTCACCTCTGTAACTCTCTGGTGCAGCAGAATCCCTTTCCCCCCACCATTTTTTAAAATATACTAGTCCTACTCTGAAAAAACTGGAGCTGCCCTAAATCTGCTGACCACACCTTGTGTAAGTTAACGACATGCTTATCTTTTTACGCAGGACAGTGTTCGGTTTCTGCAGACCCTTGTGTTGGGTTATAATGAAAGACAACATTGGGTCTTTTTAAGCAGAGCTACTGTTTTTTTTGTTGCCCATTTTGGCTGTGGTAACCCAAAAACACTTCACTGTGGCTCCAGTTCATAAATAACTCTGGGCCCCAGCAGTGAAGGTGCATACACCCACCCCTGCACCTACGTCTCTTTGAAACTACAGCTTTTTTCTGTCTCGCTCAATTTTCATGCAAGCAGTGCATCGTGTATTTGGATTGATTCACTGTTCAGTTTACAGAATCCTGGGACACCTGGCTTGAAATTTGACAAATGAATCCAGGGATCTGAAATGTCTCCTCATCATGCATTTTATGCTCCTATCGCTGCTTCTGAAAGTGTTAAACAGACATGGTCGATGTCTCTTTTATAACCACACTGTGATGTATCAGTTTGTTGCTGCTTGGACAACTGCAAGGTGAATATTAAAGGAAAACAGCTTTATATTTTTAGATAGAGAACAACTCCACTCTTGTTGACTCAATATTTTATGAGGAACAAGCCCTTTGGTCAGTGTTTTATTTGAGAGAGTGTGCACACTATCGCCCTGCAGTGTGGCGACTGGAGAAGGACAGTGTGTTCTCCTGCAGAAGCAGCTCAGGTTCTGGGACTTCAATACTGATGACACCCAATTTCATCTTTTTATGAATCTCTCATTTTTTACCATCTGTCTTTTGGTATCAGTCATTTAATTAATTCATCCTTGTCAGACTTTTCCCTCCTCATTGTGAATTAAGATTGTGCTTATCTACTAGAATACTGGCTCTAGTAAAAAGATCCATTTAACATTGCCCGTCTAATCCTGGTCTCTCAGCGGGATGAATTGAAGTTGACTGAACAAGTTTCAGTTTGATGCTGTGTGGCTGTATCCCCAAGGGGTTTGCTCAAGTCTCTTACCTGGCAGTCAAGCAGTGGCTGGAGTTCAGCACAGTCACCTCTGGCGATGCCGGCTCTGTCGTCACGTTAAGAATATCACAGTAGGCAGCAGCGGGGCATGCTGGGACTAAAGGCAAGTGGGTACATGAAAAAGCCCTATTAATATAGTCCCCTTAGTTCACCCTTTTCAGGTTTGTCTTAAAAATGTGCAGCGCTCTTTTATAGTGTGTTCAGTGAGTATTTTTATTTGAGCAGTTATTGCAAGTGAAGATAAATGAACATAAAGTGTAATTTCATCCTAAAGAAGCTGAAGGTGGTTTACAGTCAAACTCATCTTTAAGTTCATGTATTTTTCCAGTGGGAGGTCAAGAAGATGACTGCTGATGTTGCAGCATCTGTTTATCTGTTTTATTCTGTCGTCTTTCAGCTGTTTTGTCACTACTTAATGTATTTGTAGGTGTTTTTAAGGCAGTTGTGTAATTGACTTAAGTATTGAGGACTAAGTAGTCTACCTGAACAGTCTGAACTAACTGGTGAAAAATGTTGGCTCTGTGATTGAATTCAAGTTGGACTGACTTAAGGAAAGTGGAGGCTATTCTCAAGAAAATGGATCATCTACTTCATAACACCTTGATGGACCAAAGGTGTCGCTTTTATAAATAGTACATGACATTTTAGACATGACAAATGAGACAACAGACAAATTGAATTTCCCTTTTTGGGGATCAATAAAGTTATTATTCTTTTTCTTACTCTGTGAGCTGAAACTCTGACCTCCTGCTTGTTTGGCTTCATCACTGCTAGCTTAAGTCAAGGTAATGCTAGCTTAAAATGACAGCTAGCATTACCTTGACTTGTCTTCAGATGCTCAGCTTGTTTTTGAGGTTTGGATTTTCAGAATTTCTAGCCTTTTGTCCTGCTCTGGACAAAATATCCTGTCTAATTTTGCCTTTTGTTTCATGACACTCATTTACACAAAAAATTTACAAGTGTTTTAGAGGCATGTTGATTTAGTATAATCGCCACATTGTGGGCAGCAGTGTTGTGTTTGTGGTGTTGAATTGTTTCAGACTAGACTGAGAGGTGTTTCTTCTGTTTAAGCCATGTAATATATTGTAATGGGAGTGGAATGATAAAGTGGGGGAGACAGAAACAACTAAACTTCAGCAGGACCCCTGAATCAGCAGCAGTTTAACTCTCCCCCGGTACTGGACCATAAACCTACAGCAGCTGTTCACTGTAATATATTGAAAGAAATTGGAGTTTGTTTTAATACAAGCTGCAAGAAACAAAGTAGAAAAAATCCACAAGGTGTTTTTTTAAAGCTTATACTATCCCTTACGTAAAATAAAATAATAATAAAAAAATTCCATAATATTGTCATTTACCCTTATTTCTATCCCCAGATAATGAGTAAGGCTGATTATTCAAACTTGTACCACCATGCTGTAACATGCTGTACCAGTTTAGAGACAGAAAACTATCATGCTTGCTGAAAGGCTGTAATAGTGTTGTAAAATAGCCAGTGTGGGCTGGTAAACACAGAGAAAACAACCAGGTGTGAAAAGCCAATCCAGGACAATTAGCTTCTGAAATGCTGCTTATGCCAAATTATAGGCACCAGCGAACACCGCACCTGGTAGAGCTAAAGAAACATTACAAAGCCTGGCATGCCTTAATAACCATACACTGAGTCCAACACCAAACCTAGTTGGCAGGGGTGACGGCAGCATACAGAGAAATGCACAAACCCCAAGAGACGATCGGAGGAAGAATAAAGATGTGCAGTGAATCGTCATAAGAAACAGCCCTGCATAGTGAGCAGATTATAAGATTGAAGCCTGGCAGGGCAGAAAAATCCACCCTGAGTTTGAACTCTGATACCCTTCAAGCTAAAAAACCTACATCAGTCCAGTCATACTTATGAAGCCACAACACTTGAATGAATGATTTAACTTGGTTTTGATAATAGAAATATGTGTTTGAAGCAGGTTATGGATGTAATACTGCAAAACCATTTTTTTAAAGACTAGTTTGAATATAGTTGAGATCAAAACATCACCTGACACATTCATTTTTTACTTATTTGATCAATTTTATGAACTTACGGTAAAAAAAAATACATTCATGAAGGACTGGACATTTTGATTCGACCTGTGTCTCCTCTCGATTCCCTGTTTTCCCTAAGTGCCTGCAGGGCAAGAGATTTCCCCAGTACTGTGACAGATTTCATCACTTTATGAACTGTCTTGACTCATGGTTCACTTTTGGTTGTTCCTAAGACAATAAGAAACCTCTAAATATTATCCGACCTTTGATGAAGATTGGTCTTTATTCTTTGGGTGATCTTATTCATTTTTCACTAATTTTGACCTAAAATGATTTAAAAAGTGACATGCTACTTCAGCTCTGAGGTGTCAGGATGTAAAGCCTCATAGTTGGTGTTCACTCAGAGGTCACCTGTGACTCTCCAGAACACATTTCCCTTCTTTTCACCTCTCATTATTTCCCTCTTCCTATTTTTTCCTCTTATACAGACCACACATCCCATAATTACTCCCAGGGGGAAAATAGCATGCAAACACTCAACCTATATTTCCTCTTCTTTGTTTCATAGGATCCCACTCGCTCTTCGTCACACATGAGCGTTGGATGCTGGCTGTGCTCTGTACAGTAAATGCTTTTATTTTGTTTTACTCCTTTTTTCTCATCTTCTTAAACTCCCACCAAGTCATTTAGTCGTCCTTTGCTTCCTGGCAGCGTCTCGTTTCCATGTTTTCCATTTTGTACCACGTCTTTGTGTAGCCCTCACAAGACTGGCTCTGTCCTCCACCCCCGCCTCTCCATCTGTGCCACACATTTATGTTGTTTCACCGCAGTTACTGAAGCACTCATCCTGATTGCTGCCAGGTGAGGCAAACTAGCTGCGCACACTAATAAATGCGTGCCGGGCCTCGGGCCACACGTGCACATAAACACACACATGCGCATACCCAAAGTGAGCGTCTGCAGTGCAGTGATGCATGCAGATGGCATTAGCTTGTTGACAACATTGTCATTGTGCTTTTCCAGCTTGTTTTTTTGTTGTTTTGTGCCAAGCATGTTGTTGTTGTGTCCAGGTGTTAAAAAGCAATTTTCTACCAGGATACATTTGACGTCAGTATGGCAGACATGTCAAAAATGCTTCACAGCTGACTTCTGCCAGCCAAACAATCCATCGCCAGAGGGCATCACACAGAAATATCCGCAAGTTTGCACAGACGGTAATCAGGTTGTCCTGTGTGTTTTTGCAGATGTGTGTTTGTCTGAGAGTCTTTATTTTCTTTCTCCCCTATGGCCTCTACTCCCTCTGGCCTATTTGCTCCCTGCTGCTTTCCTCCTGCCTAACCAGGGTCAGTGAATGAGCTTTGCCCTCCTGCGTGGCCCCGGGGCAGGAGGCCTGCATGTCTGAGTTTATAGGAAGAGGGATCGCCTGAGATGCTGCTCTCTGCAGGGCCCTGCAGCCACAGAGACAGGAAGCTGTAATTAGGACTAGAGGAGGCTTAACACTCTGGAGCATTTTTTTCCTCTCCTTCTCCTGCCTCACCCTGCCACCCTCTCAAGAGAAATGCTCCCACATTAAGAGACCAAAGCTCATAATTACGTGTGGTTGAGAGGATTGTAGTCCTCTGATGTGAGGCAATTTAATGCTTCATTTATTTACCTTCATTGCTGTGTATTTCACTTGGCAGCCATCAGTGAACCTGAGGTGTTGTACTCCAGAGCATTAGAGGAAGCCAGGCTGATAATGAGAGTGTTATTTTTAATGATAGTGTTTTTTTTTTGGTATAGCAATTAAATGAGCAAGAAAATCTTGTTGATGCATGTGTGAAATGTTGATGTGTACAGTTTTTTTTTTATTTTTGTTGCACATTTTATGACCAACAGTTGTTCAGTGGATGATGGGAAATTAAAAGGTTCATAGATTGAGCATATGCACATCATCCTATTTAACCATGAGATATCTTATGAAGATTGTGGACTATGGATGAAAAGCTTTCGTTAACTGTGGTCATTTTCACACCTGGATTGTTGGGAGATGTTTCAAGTCTTTGGCTCGAGTTGTTTGGACACAAACTGTATGTGGACACATTTATACTTTGATGTGGAACAAAACAAACAAGCCGAGATTGCCTTGAAATTTGACATTTGGCGCGAGGAAGCCATTAACCCAGCAAACCGAACAAACAGCTGGTTGAGTCATTGCACAAGTAGTGGTAGGCTAGTAGTAACAGATGCTGGAGTACAGCTGCCAGGCAATTTTATATACATCTGATCATTAGTGCTCGCACAGAGATGGTTGAACAGTGCTGATTGTCTCTGTCCACTGAACATCATCAGGATTCAACAACATCTACCGGTTCAACAACGAGTAAAGTCGAGAGAATTTATTCCAGCACAGTACTCTTTTCATTTCCCTCTGCATATCTGGGATTGAGTCGTGGGGCAGCAGTATGAGCAAGTCGACCCATACCTCTCTTTCTGACTTTCACCTCCAGGTGATCCCAAGTCAGGTTGGATATTGGCTTTATTTCCCTCCAGCTCTGCCCTGGTGTTTCCACCCAATTGGAAATGCCCAGAAAACCCTCTAATGGTTTCAAATCAAATCCCCAAACCTCATCTACTGACTCCTTTTGAATATGACGAAGCAAGAGTTCTACATCAAGCTCCCTCTGCATGTGCAAGCGTCTAACCCTGTCTCTAAGACTGAGCCCAGAAACCCTTTGGAGGAAACCCTTCTCAGCTGCTTGTATTCACAATCTGATTCTTCTGGTCCTAACCTAGAGCTCATGACCGTAAGTGAGGGTCCCATAGTAATTAGTGTGACCAAATAACTGGTGTGTGCTTTGACAATTGGCTGCTAGTGATAGGCCTTTTGCATCCCTGCAGATAGCTACAGTGTGCCCGCCAGTCAAGTCAGTCATGCCATAACATAGACTCAGAGGCCCAAAGATGGCTGCCACTATATTGAAAACATCGAAACAAACCTTCAGTTATTTCAAATAAAGGCAAAGACATGGATTTGAGATCCTGACATTCCTTGTTGTTGGGCAAACCGCGACACCGAGTCCACCTGTCAGACAGCCCTACCTTTCACCAACTGGAGTTTTGAAACGTGATACTACTGGGTTTTCTTTGCCCCTCATCCGAATGTTTTTGCTTTTCCTATTGACTTCATTTTACAGTATCAAGTGTTAACGCTTGATTCTATAACATTTTGAACCAGGTGACAAAAGGAGTCTACTTCCCTAATCATTCAGAAAATAGATAAAGATTTCTCTTTTGAGGTTTTTGTACCCTATCAAAAAGTCTTCCTTGATACATAATGTTGATTTTGTAAATTATGGTCCCTTTTAGTGTCAAATAGACCAGGAGACTGTTTAATGTCAAAGGGAATAATCACTTTCAGCAAATTAACTTCCATCAAGTGTTAATAAACCCTGCTGTCCAAAAATTTTCACTACTGAATCTAAAATATAATGGCCATAGCAAATTTTCTAAACCATTACAGCTTTGTTAACTGGAATTCCAACAATGGTCTATTTTTGAAACCAAAATGGGCACATCTTGTAGCCTCCGTTAAAGTTCCCATAAAAAAGCAGAAGTACAAGAGTTGTAAGGGTTTTTATGTTTGGAGAAGTAGCACTGCATCCAAGTACAGTGCAAAGTGTGATGAATAATTACCAACTTTCTACACACTTAGAATAACAAAAGCACACTGACAGAAAGCACACAGGTAGTGTAATAATCACACCTGAGCCCACACATTTTTGCTGAAAGAGTCTGAATTGAATAACATCAAGGCTCGAAGAGGTGATGAACTCTCACTTACTAACAGTTGAAATCTTGTAAATTTCATGTTGTATTTCTGAGATCCTTTTCACAGGATGTAGTTCTTATTGTAACCCAAGTGCCGTAGATTTCTAAAGGGAAGCTGTAAATGTGATTTTTCTTATTAGACACTTCAAGTCTTAAAAAATTCCCCTTCTGTTGTGAGTGGAGATCAGCCAAATTCTGCCCTGCAGGAGGTGTAATCCTGCAGCGAGTCTGTGTGAGCAGCAGTGTGTTTTCGTGCACGCAAACTCATATATGCACGTGCACTCTTGATTTGAGCTCATTTGTACCTCTCCTCTTTTCAGGGTCCTGTTGTATCCCCGAGGACACGTGGAGATGAAGAAATAGAAGCAGCAGTTGAGGTAAGTGTTTCTGAATAGTGTCTTTTTCTAGGCCGTCTTATCTCATATTTTCTCTCCTCATACTGAGGTCTTTTTTTCCTTCACAGGCCCTCCAGCTGACCTCGGGGCTGCGTCCTGTGGGGCTTTGTTGTTGGTGGGCCAGCTGAACAGGCGTGCATGTGAGAGAGGTGATGAAGTCCAGCATGAGGCAGTGGCGGAGGCTGGTGCTGGCAGGAATGCTGGCCTGGGGTCTCCTCTTCCTCGCCCTCCTCTCTTACTTTCTGGACGCTCGTGTGAATGAGCCCCTGACCTCCTCTGGCTCTCTGCTCTCCCAGCACCCTGACACCCGCCGCTTGACCTCCATACAGGCCTCCAATCAACAGCTCGCCAACCTGGGCTCCCGACCTGAACTAGCCGCCGCCATGTCCACGTCCTACCCTAGAGAGGAGCCGGAGGCGCAGCCTTCTGCCAGCTCCACAACCCCTGATATCAGCCTGGAGGTGAGCCGCAGCCCTAACAGCGCACCATACGCCATTTATACCAGTCAGGAAGCAAGCCAACAGGACTACCTGGACCAGCAGAGCCTGGCTGCCTGGTCCTCCTTTGGCACAGAAAATGTAGGCTCTCACTCAAACCCTGTAGTCCGGAGTCGAGAGAAAACCTCTCACACCACAGATTACCAGAACCGTGCCAGCACCCACGATGGAGGAGAAGAAGAGGATGAGAAGGACAATGAAGAGGAAGAACTGGGGAACAGAGTAAGGACTGAAGGAGGAAGAGGGGCTGGTGGGGACTCCTCTGATCTGGAGGAGTATTACTTCTCAAAGTCTGCCTCTGTGGTGCAGCGGCTGTGGAGGGGCAGTGTGTCTGCCCACATGCTGAGTCCACGTCTTCAACGTGCCATGAAAGACTATTTAAGCGCCAACAAACACCGCGTTGCATTCACAGGGCATCGCAAGACCGCCCAGAGTGCCAAGGAGCTGCTGTGTCAAGTGAAAGCTCAGGCCCGACTGAGGGCGATAGACGGGTCCGAGCCGCCCTTCTCCTCACTGGGCTGGGCTGACCTGGTTCCGCCTCTTCCCCTGGAGCAGCTTTACAAACAGCAAGGCAAGAGCAGCTACAAGACCTGCGCCGTGGTCACCTCGGCTGGGGCCATCCTGCGCTCTGGACTGGGCGAAGAGATCGGTGAGTACAGTGAGCAGGCAAGCAGATAGGGGACGTAAGAGAGCTTTAGCATTTGCTCTTCTGCTCCTGACAGCCAAAGTTCCCTTATTATGGTCTTTTTTTTCAACTCAGTTTGATTTGGTTTCAAGGGGCAGGTATGAAGACCTGCCTCTGCTGCCCCCTTTTAAGAAAACTAAATAATAAAAGTACAAAACTAGCTGGCAGCTGTTAGTTGGCCTCACATGTTAACATCTTACCTGTGGCCATCTGTGGTGTATTCGATGCAGCTGCGGCACATAGAAGGATGAGAGGGAATTTCTGCTGCGGCCAGTTCAGAGAGGGGATAGATGAAGAAGCGGAGAGATGGTGAGAGAAAAACAACAACAATAGTAGACAAAGATCTGTGGTAACATTGCAAAAGATAATGAAACAAGGTACAAGAACAGCATGGTAGTGATAATAGCCTGAGCTTAGTCAACAGGTACATAGTAATATCATCACAGTGGTAGCATTCCTATTAATGAAGCTCATGAAGCAGAATGACCGAGAAAGAAGACTGATGCTTATAAATTAACATCATCTTTATAAAAGAGATAAACCTGGTGAGACTGATGCTAATGCTCAAAGCAGCTGAGAGGGGGGCAGCAAAATGTCTGCAGCTGCGATCGAGACAAACCTGCAGCATGATGGAGCACAGGGTCTCCCAGAAAAGACTGTGTATTAGAGACTGTTGTGGAAGATGATGATCCAAAGATAGTGACACAGACAGAAGAAGGATGGAGAAGGAGAGAAAGGTGTTTAATGTGCCAGTACCAACCCTATATTAATATGAGCAAAGAAAAGATGAAATCTAAATCCCCCAAACTCTTCATATACCATTATAAATGAATAGAAAAACAGAACATCTTTGCAGTTCAGATGCTAAAACTGGTAAATCTCTGAAGTGTTTGTTTTAAAAATGACTATATAGTCCTTAAATTAATAATACTTTAAATAGTTTGAATTGTATTGTTTCATTACAACTTGTTTATTGAGTTTTGAAGATGGTTTCATGGACCCTTTTTCATCTTAACAGGCCTGCAGAGAGGGTTTAGTTCAAAACTCTAATTCTAAAAGAATCTGGCATTCAGAGCTTGCTCATATTAATCACTTTGTTTGTACTTTGATCAAACCATAACTTATTTAAAACACCATTAGCCAATATTAATATCTCCTCCTCTTCTCACATATGTAAAATTCGTGGCTATTTTTTTTTTTTATAAACAGCGTTCAGTAAAAGAAAACACGTTATTATTCCCCAGGGAGCACATTTTTAGTTGGTATCATGATTTGACCTCAGGCATTTTGTTTGGATAAACTTAAAATAATACCCGGCCCTACAGATGACAGAAGAAAAGATAAGAGCTGACGCACTGTAGCTGAACATGTGCGCTGAAAGACCAGGATTTTTTAATATGCTGTTTGTTTCATAAAGGCTTAACATCATAAAAGCGCTACAAAGAAAAGCTACAGCATCAAAAAGCTGCACTCGAAAAGCAGAGATCTAACAAGATTACAAAGACTGGTGATGGGATATTTTTATGTATTGTATATAAAACAAAGATCAGCCTCCCCATGGCTGCACGCTTAATTGCGTTGGGTCAGTATCTTTTGATTGGCTGGTCATTTGCTTTATGGAGTTCAGTAGCTGTTCCTAATACAGACGCCTATGAGTAAGTGTATAAAAAATCAATGACATGGATTCTAACTCCAAGCTGAGCTTCATCTCTTGTTCTTTGAACATAGTCACTTACTAAGATCTTGAATTTTAAAGGTCAACAAAAACCAATTTGCAACTCAAATGATTTGCATTTACTCTCATTTCTGCTCGGCATTTACTGATTAACTCGTCAAGCTGACTGTGAGCAGGTTTGAATGTGTGCCTACTAGGCTATATTCCCTGTGCTTGTGTATCAGAGTGTGTGTGTGTGTGTGTGTGTGCTCCCGGTTTGAAGGCGTTGGCAGCTTTTGGGTAAGTGGGGAGAGTGTGAATTCAGTGACAGATGGCTCACTAGAAAAAGGCAGAACCCCCCTCTGCTAACCAATCAGGCGTCTTCATATCATGTATGGTTTTCACTTGCAATTTCTTGTGAATTCAGCTTCTTAAAGCTGTGATGTGACAAGCTTTGTATTCATGTATTTTATTCCTGTAATCTGTCTACACACCCACAGCGTCCTGCAGAATGGCCCAGATAACACTGTCCTGGAAAATAAAGCAGAGCAATAACATTTCCAAGAAAATTAGATGATGCACACCTACATCTGCATTTGACCTTTTAGCCACAGTGAGTCTAAATTTAAGTGACTGTAGAAACATCAACCCTTCATACTTTGAACACTGAGGCCTCCACCTGCTGCTCTGTACAAAAGCAAGGTGCACAATCAGGTATCAGGATGAGAGAAATAAAGAAATAAAGTTACATCTGAGTATATCTCTGAGCAAGTATGGGTTTTTTTTGGCTTATAAAATAAGTTTTAGTTATAACCTAAACCAAAATCAGAAATACCTACAATCCAGCCTAAAGATAGCTGAGATCCAGCCTGAGATAACAAGCAACAGTAGTTGCTTAACAAGTTAATAATAATAATAATAATAATAATAATAATAATAATAATAATAATAATAATAATAATAATAATAATAATAATAATAATAATACATTGCTGTCAAAAATATGTATAATGTTTGTCACTGATAATGACTGTGACATAGGAGTGAAAAAAGGTTTTAAGACAAAATGATCTCCAGGTTTCTCTTGTGAGAGGAAAAACATTTTAATAGATGACAGGGAAAATAACTTACTGAGTGTTTAGGTTAATTTTCCAGAGGGTTTAACTAAAATTTATGATTATTACACTTGCTAGATCATCATTTAAACTTAACGTTACAAACATGACTGTAATTTAGGTTAAAAAGCTGTCTAATGTTGTTATACCTGAGTAGAACTGAAACTTAATCTAGCTAGCTAATCTTCCTTAATTTATAAACTGATGTATGTGATGTTAATATGGCCACACTATAAGTGTATCAGATTTTCAGAATTAAGGCACAAATTCATTCAAAGCAAACACTTAATGTAAGGAGTTCTAAGCCATGAATTAGCCGTGAAAATTAGTAATGTTGTAAAATCACTATATGGAAGTCGTTATTTCATGAGGATTTGATAAGCTATGGTTAATCTATGTAAGATAAGTACGACCTTGTGAAGTTACACTTAGCAGCTAAAGAAAATCAGCAGTCTCAGAGGCGTTCAAAGGCTGTCTTTTAGCCTGTTCATCTTCATAACAGACTCAGTTTCTTACACAATTGACTTCCTGATTCTTTTGACAACAGAGGGGTTGGCGTAGTGACAGATTTGGGTTTCATGTTTTTTAATAAACCCCCACTTAAATTTAGCTTTCAAAGATGCCCCACGTTCATCATATTAGTTCAGTTCCTTCATTCAAAGCAAAGCAGATACCACTTGTTGGTGTCTGGTCCCAGGCTGGTCCTAAAGATGGCGCCATGAATGCAGTCTGATGTAACATGAAACATTAATACAACACAGGTTATGACAAATATACCATTACAAGGCTGGTAAATAAAGTTAATTCAAGTTTACTTATTAAAAAAAAAAGATATCAGGGAAGGAAAACTGGGCTAGTCTCTTAAGAAATGTAAAGATTTAAGTATGGCTGCTGCTTTGGGACTGGGTTTGAGGAACAACCATGTGGAAACTTATTTTTGGATGCAGACGAAGAAGGCAGTCTTTAGCTTTGGGCTCCAGGCCTTAGACTTAAACCGCGCAGGTGCTTCCAAATCTCTCTCGATGTATCATCATCCTGCTATGTTTGGTTTTGGTTTCTGTCCAGCTATGGGATCCATATGCACATGCTCAGAAGCAAAGCAAAAGATCTGCCATCATTGTTTTCTCCCTGTCTTCAACACACATACCTCACAACCAGCTTTTCTACGCCTTGTGTTTGCAATCAGAGACTCGTTATGAAATATAGAGATGCTGTCTTATAAAATCAAAACTGATGAGTTCTCTGAAGAGGGCTCACGCAGATGTTACGTCAAAAAGCGGCATCAGGGTGTTGGATCAGAGTGTCATCATCATGGTGTTCAGTTCTTAAAAAAGAGACTTCACTCTAGTGGGGTCTCAGTGACTTGGCTAAGATAGATGTAACAGCAGATTAATTATTGAACAGCTTCACAGTGTTGGAGGAGCTCGACTTTCTTACATAAATACTCAGTCTCAGCTTCAGCAGGAAATCAAACCACATTGATCTCGCTCTGTCTTCTTCGCACCCTGCCGTGCTCCCTGAAAGGCTGCGCTCCATCAGAAATCATCACATTATGCAGCTCTGAATGAAAAAAAAACCTAAAATGTAAAATTTTAAATCACTTTATTTTCTGCGCAGTGTGCAGGTCGGCTGATGTTTATATTTGTGAGTGACTGAGTACATCCTGTGAGCGAGCCTGTAATTGGAGTTTTGGTCCAGTTTAGTTTGTGTGTGTGATGTGTGGCTGCCATCATGTGGTCAGTTATATACACTGCAACCTTGGTATAGCAGAGGATGAGAAGAATCAGTTTTAACTAGATTGTATTGCTTTTGATATGCACAGTTTTTTCCCCCTAAACTTTCAACTGTTGTCACCTTTGAGATCATGGTTTGTTAAATCATTTTTTAAATGTCCTGTTGAGTCTGTCTTTGCTAGTAAAATCCCTTTCTCTTGTTCCTCCCGTGAGTGACCAATAATAATATTTTAATGACTGTAATTGTGATTTCAAGCCAGCAGAATTTCAGAATATCTGCTCTTATGCCCCCTAGTGGTAGTACATAGGGCAGCAACAATGTAAAAGGGTTAAAACTGACAGTCATTACAGAGTATTGAGACTATAGATGAAGTTACAAACACACATGCATTGGTATTCAGTCTACATCAGTCATTTCATTTTGGGTTTAGTTTCTGTTTCCTCTCCACACAAAGAGAGACAAGTTTTGGGATCTAGCGGTGTCATCCTGCTGTGACTTCAGTCTAAATGTAAATGAGACATGAAATATCAAACAGAATCACAGTAAAAGCACTAAATTTAATAACTTGTTTGGGCTCATCTGTCGGAAACTATCAGCTTTAACCTTGACTAGAAACCTGAATAACTTCAGTTCAAAGGAGTGTTTTTAAAATGACATCTTCCTGACATTTGCTAAATCAGTTTGACACTGGGCAAATTCTTCACAACAAGCGGAAGAATAGTAATCAAAAACTTGTTTATTTTTTACAGAGCCTGATGTAACACCTTGATGTTTTTATTATGTGTAATAGATGATTTAAGACCAGGACTTAGTGACATGGTTGGGCCCCTCTAAGAGAAATCAACATGACTATTACCATTGTTGTACATTTTTTCATCTGGTTGGAATTTAACACAGAAATTATTTTGTTCTGGGTTCATTTATGCTTCTCTAGAACGGTCTTTTATTTTTACCTGTCTCGTGAGCCTTCTGGACTGTCACTGTCGTCATAGTCGGTATGTGGTGCTGTCCATGGTGAGAATTCACCTGTCATGTCGTCACAGTGAAACTGACTTTGGAGTTTGTCAGTAACACCATCTCCAATGGATAGTCTAAAGCCCATGGTGCAGAGTGAATTAGAGGGCTTTGACAGCATGTTGCTTCTGAAGTGTGCACAATGTGGATGATAAGTGAAGCACAGGACACCAAGAAGTTGCGTTAGGTCCCTTGATTATTTTAAGTTTGTTTGTGAATCAAACCAAGCAGTGTGTCAGCTAATGTTTGGGTGAAGGGACTCTCAAAGCATCAGGACAGTCACATATAAACCCAGCAGGCCTCTCTGCTGTTGTTAGATAACTCCTAATAGGTTTATAGACTGATAACGTTGATGGGAAAGGCAGTCTAATTCATGATCTAAAGTGATCAGTCAGCTAGCAACTTGAAATGAGGCCAATGTAAGACAGGCCAAACACATTTAATATGTTACGCTTGTTTTTAGAGGATGGGCTGACACTACAGCAGTGCTTTGTAACAAACTACTAAGGTAGAAAAGTCAATCAACATTTTAAAAAGTGATGTTTGATTTCTTAAAGTTGGGAAAATAAGACAGATTTATGCTAAATTTACAGCTGGACATCCAGCATCTTGGTTTTCATTTTTCCTTCTTCTCTTTTGATTTATTCGTCTAGCATGAAGGTGAACATCAATACTCTCCAAAATAAAAGCTGCCGAACTTCTAAGCTACAAAATCATCACACATGCGGGGCCAGTTATTTAAAGTTCAAAATAAACTGTGGTAGCTGAATGTCAGCTGTTCAGGAGGTCTAATGATTATCATATTTATATTTTACTGTACAAAACAACATCTAATAAAGCCCAAAGGACCAGAATAGACTGAAGACCCGAGGTCCCAGTCTCAAACATAAAACTTGATTTATTACAAAATGTTTAAAAACATGTCAAACATGAACAAGCTGTATGAACAGAGGGGCAGTGGGCTCAACTTTGAGCTCATAGACGCTGATGGATGTACCCTTAAATGGTGCATTAATCAAATCCTCTATGACAGAGTGTGAAAAATGATGTTGTAACACTGCTGTGTAATCACTGAACATGTTACACACTTCATGTGCTTTGTGGCAGCTCAGAAAAAAAGAGACTGTAGTATGAAAAGCACAGAAACAGTGAAGTGTTTCCTTTTCAGTGCTTTCACACCGAGTGTCAAATAGACCTGACGTTTCGTTTACACACCCAGACCTCTTTGTACTGGATTTCACACACACCAGCAGTTAAACAGTAAATATTTAGACACATTAAGTCCACTTTTGACTTGAATTCAGTGTAATGTTTGATTCAACAATCTGTGTGAGCTTTCTTTGGGCTAAAACAAAGCAAAAAACAGTTTAATGGGCGTCAGAAAGATTCTCATGCTGTGGTTAAAACGGACAATCTTATGGAAATGTTGAATACAGAGAGTTCACAGCTTGCACATGCACAAAAAATCTGCTCTTTCATTATCGGTATTGTCAATGCAGTCTAGTTCACCTGAGACAATACAACCACATGCTGAGAAAGGATAATGTTTCCTACAGGTAATGTGTTGTGCTAAGTGGGAGATGAAGACAAGTTTTCTTCTTTACATTTTGAGGTCCTGGTTTCCACACTGAAAAAATACTGACATACTGAATGGAAAATATTGGACGCATTAAGAAATGAACGCCTTATATTGCAAAATTTCCAAAAGTTATTGTTCGCATCACTGAAACAATTACTTTAAATTTCTTAAAGCTCCTGTGAAGATTTTTTTAAAACATTCTTTGAATAGACTCAAATACAAAAATTAACAAGACCAAAGGAGTCAAACAGGACTGGTGTTTTTTAAAGACTGAAATCGGTGCAAGGAGGAAGGTGTCAGCTGAGTATTTCCACATTTTCCACACAAAGTATTTACGCTAATTAATACAAGATTACAGATACTTGAAGACAACTTAAGCAAAGACTGCTTTGTCCAAAATTGACATGACTAATAGTTCCTCAGAGGAGCTTTAAAATGAGCTCACGTTGCTGTTACTATTAAGATTAAACTAAACATTTTATCTGACAGTGAAGCCAAACTCAGTCAACAGGACTGTATGGATCCATCTGCTCTGAATGAGTGAGTGTGTATATATATATATATATATATATATGTGTGTGTATATACCCTCGTGCTTAATGTATTTATGTGTCTATATATACACTCACATACACATGCATACCAAGTAACTGGAAAAATTGTGATGCTGTGATTTACATATGACCTAAAGTGCAGGTGGTGGGTGCCATGTGTTGCAGTGTTTCATTGATGTAAACAGTAAGCTGTTATGTAAACAGTGGAGTTGTAGTACAAAGTGAATTCATACCATGCAAAGTACACCACCAGGTAATTCCTCCTACCTCCTCCTACGAGCTGCTCTTATTACAGTCAGTCTTAAAGAGTGTCACTAGAGCCGCATCCATAGCAACGGTCGGTCTGTCCCTGATTATGACAGTCAAACTGTTGTTCTGAAATGTTAGTTTTTATGACCAGTCAGAAGTGAGTAGGTCATACAGCTGCATATTGTTAGATTAAGATGAATCAGCTTTGTTATAAGGATCAGGGTGCGTGCCAGTCTTCACCTCATCAAATACAATTGTGGGTATGTTTGACTCCTGAAACGTTGGACACACAAAAAGCGAGGAGACAGTTTGTAAAACAATCTGAGGGCGGCTTATTGATCCTAGTCAGGTTGAGGTTAAACCGCTAAACAAGTGTCATGGGAAATGATGGGAAAACAAGGAACTACCTGCTGCAGGCTCAAATCTGTTTGTCTGAGGGATTCAGAGAAAAGCACAGCCCCTCTTAGAGGGAAGGTTTTGAGAAACAAGGATGTGCAACATCAGGGTCAAAGGTCAGCTGTTTGAAGGAAAATATGTTTTCTTCCTTGAGAGTGGAAATCTTGAATATTTGTTTAAAAGGAGGAATTGGCAAGATAAAGAAAACAAGTGAAAACAACGAGAAATAAAAAAGCATTGTTTTCGTTTGTATTAATAAGCTTCAAGTAATGTCAAAGTTTAGTCCTTGTTTAAGCCATCTGTATTTCTACTTTCTCCTTTTGCTGTACTTTCACAATTTCCTTTACTGTTTACTCCACAGTTTGCTACCTTAAGGGCTCCTCACAGAAGGAATCAGAGAAAAACATGTTTTAGGATTATCCGCTCACCCTGCAGCCCGTGAAGGGGTCATGAGGAGGGTGCCGATTCACTTTAAGCGGTCACAGTCAGACAGAATTGAACACCAGTGACTTCAAAAGAAAAAGAAAACTCTCAAAGTTTGTTGTGAACACTTCTTGATCGGTTTGCACCGTGACATGTTATATAATTGATGTCACTGAGGCAGAGTCTGTGTGGGCTTTTGTATTAGCATTACTGAGTGGACCTAATTGTGCTCTGTTATCTGTTTAATTATATTCTGTAAGTAAAATTAGATGTATGATAGCATAGGATATTTTTTAAAGAAAACAATCACTATAGAGATCCTCATATTCAGCTGATGAAATCCTACAATAATAGACATTTATGTAACGCATTAATAACACTTATGTGGCTGGAGTGCTTCATGTGTATTTGAAACAGAGGAACATCGCTCACATGAACAGGACTTTGTTATCTCAGCTCCTCGTGACATACTTAAAGCTGAAAGAAGGAGCTATAGGTTTAAATACAGATTCAGGCTTTGTTGTCCCTGAGGGAAATTTGGTTTCTACCGCCAGATAGAAACACAAGAGCTCCCACAGAAAGACTGAGCCTAAAGTCACCGTGATTCAAACCTCCCAGCAGACTGCATTGTTAGAGAGTCAGGCTCCTCAATAAAGCAAAGACAGGAAGGACAAACAGAGCCAAGGTTGTCTCACTTTTAAAGGTCCTGTTATTTTAGTGGATATGACCACAATTAAAGGTTACTCAGTGGTGATGGTGGCAATAGGCTTTTCTTTACTACCAGGGCTATTCAGTGTAGTGGCATCTGGCAGCCAAAGAGCCACTGGAGGGAGCTTGGAGTCACTCTTGAGATGCAATCTTTATGTGACTTGTCATCCACATGTAGCACAAGTCAAATTGGTTACAACAGTCAGTGCTTTCTGGATAGCTCTTGAGCTCTGTTTTGTAAGATCATTGTATAATATTGGTTTTGACCAATCAGAAACAAGAATTAAACACAGCCAGGTAATCACAGATCTAGTCATTGTACGTGCTGTTGGTCTTTTTTGCTTTTTCGAGTCTTAAAGAGGCAGAGGTATTAACACAACCTGCTAAATACTTCCCACAGGAGCATTGAAGTCAAAATAGTAATAGTAATAATAACGACGACAATAACTACGACAACAATGACAACGACGACAACAACAATTGTGAAATAATAATAATATCAATTATAATAATAATAACAACAACAACAATAACAATAATTGTGAAATAATAATAATAATAATAATAATAATAATAATAATGATAATAACAATGATGATGATCTAAAAGGGAGAAGTAGAACTGGATGATAAAACAGATAAATAAAAAATGAAAATAAAAAAGAATAAAACACACAAAATGCCAATAAAATAATGCATAATTAATATAGAATCTAGCCGTATAAACAAAGATATTTGTATACTCCCTTATTTTAGGTTTAAGCATGTAAACACAAGGCAGAAATAAAAAAGAAATTATTTTCTTCGATCTAACTGACAATTTTGCTAAATACTGTCTATTTTTGATATTCTCTCAGCCTGAAAAAAAAACGCAATAGAATGCAGCTACAATATTCTCTCACAAGGTTAAGGAAAACCAGGAGTGAGAGAATAAAGTGAGACTAAAATGAAACCGAAACGGTAAAAGAGAAAAACAGCTTGACATTTATCTTTTGTTAAGCATTTTATAAGCATCCAGTCTTAAGGTCTTTTGTGCTTTTATGTGTTTATTGAGCGAGTGAGGACAATAGATGGAGAAGGAGAGTGGGTAGAGATAGTATAAGAAGACATGTGGTAAAGGGCTACAGGGCAGAATCGAACCCAGGCTGCCCGCTTTGAGCACAATGGCTGATAGTCGTATTTATCTTATTTAACTCAGACCTTGTTTTTTCAAATGTTGTCACAATGTATGTCTTCTCCCTCATAAATTTGACTCCCTCGGCACACCTCGGTGTACTTCAGGCTGAGCACACAGAGCCATCCCTGCGTCAAAAACACCTCATTGAAAAGCCATCAGTCTGCTGTGGCCCCACTGTGGCCCCACAGGGAGCTGACATGTTTACAGTCTTATATTGGAGCAGGAGGGCAAACTCAATGTCAAGTCACTGAGCATGTGCTGCCTGACTGTTCCCTGTCTGTGGAGTAGATGTGAATGCCAATCAGCTGAGCGCTGGCAGTGATGGAGCAACATCAGATCAAAAGCTGCAGCTTCTTTTCTTGTGTCCTGGTGTCAGATTGATTGCAGGAGGGGGAGGATCAGCAGTGGATCGATCAGCTCACAGACAGACATTGCAAGTTTCTAATATTATCCAAGAGCATCCATCAACTTGAGGCTTTCTTGTTGGTTTGAGGAGCGAAGGATGGCAGAGGGGAGAAGTGGAACAATTGTGCTTTTCCAGGAACCCTCTCTGTTAGCCATCAGTTACAGAGAAAATCCACTAGAGAGCACTTTGGTTATGTGATCACATTATACCTCACTGTTGTCACGTGTTGTCACAGTGATTCTGCCACGCGCACTTTGATGCTGCTGGGCCATTGATCGGACTATCTACAAAAAGATACTGTATGTGTATGCGTGTGAGAGAGAGTAAGAGGTGGGAGTCATTCATATGCAAATGACCCTGTGCATGTTTCAGCAAGCCGCAGTGTGATTTTATGTGTTTAATGTTTCCTTTTGATGTTGTCCGCAAAAAAAAAAAAAAAAAAAGAAAATAAGACTTTGCTTTTAATCTTATTCAGTCTTGACTCTATGGAGACCTTGAGATGCTCCAGCTCATGTGAAATATTTAATGTGCAAAGATTTGAAGTTGTTGCTGAGGCTTTTTTTTTTACATTTATCAAAACAACTTTACCGTCAGTCAAACCCCTCCAGTTTCAAATGCCAAATCAAATGACATCCACGGGAAGGTCAGTTAATTGATAAAAAGGGGGGAAAGTAATGAATGCTTTGAGAACATCTATCAGCAGTGACTGCAGAGGATTAGCTGGACTGAAACCTTTCAAATAGGTCAGATAAACTCAAGAAAACAAGGTCACAAAGCGAGGCATGAACTGCTATTTTTAGCAGCAGAATCTCTCCCCAGCAAATCTGAAGAAATGGAGCCTTCTTAAAGTCTTCTCATCTGTATAATGAACCTGATCACACTTCAGTGAAGGTACAGAGGCTGCAGTGACCGCTATGGACAGTCCAAGAAACCCTACCTTAAAAATGCATGTGAATGCATTTGCTGAGTCCTTTGAGTCAAACAAATATATCAGGCAAGGCAAATTAACATATGGAGCACGTTTCAGCATCAAAGTCATGAGACATTAAACGAATCTCAACATAGATCAGAAAAAAACACTTTATATAGTACCAGTATGGCTGTGTGGCTGTGTAAATGGATGGATGATTCTGAGGTTGTATTAAAGGGATATTCTGGTGTAAAAATAAGTTAGGTTCAAACACACTGTAACACAGAGTTAGACCCCCTGTCGAGAGATGAATGTTGCCGACCGCTTGCTTCTCTAGTTTTACCAACTTTAGTAATGACCGAATGATAGCAATACAGAGATAGCAATACAGAAATAATGCTCAGAGCAGCACCTAACTGCATTAACAGTACATATAGGGTCCAAGCCATAGTACTAGCCACCAAACATCTTTTTAGCTTTGCCTAATTTCTTTAGCAAAGAGACTGAACACAACTCACCTGCTCTCTTCCAGCAGCCGCTTGTTTGCAGCGGGGTGACGCAGCTCAAGAAGGACCATTTGTGATCATTTCTTTATCATTTCCTAGAAACAATAGTCACCATATTTATCATCTTGGACTGCAGACGCTGTAGTTCTTCTGCCTTAGCGTAATAATCTTAAATGTTCTTCCTTGAGCTGCATCACCCCGCTGTAGTCTGTAATGGACTGGCCTGAGGTCTCGCTACAAACAAGCAGCTGCTGGAAGAGAGTGGGTGAATTGCTGAACTGTATCTGTTTATGGATGAAGCCATCTTTGTTGTGTAAATCGTCCACTGTTGCCTCTGTGACAGTTAAGGTTAGTGAGGAAGCATTCCAGTCTATATGTCACTAAATATCCTCATTCTGCAGACTGAAATGGTGTTACACATATATGATGCTCTTTTTTTTCTCCTTAAAGTGGTTAAAATTCATGTATTTTGTGGGTTGTACAGTGCTGCCTCACTGTTAGAAGGTTCCTGATTCCCTGGTGTGACAGGAGAGCATCTCTCTTTAGAGTTTGTTGGCTCTCTTCATGCATGTGTGGTCTCTCTACGCCTTCCTACTCCAGATCAAAGATATGCTGGTGTCTGTAAATTGCTTGTAGGTGTGAGAGTGCACCAGTGGTCCCTATATGTCAGCTATGTGATTGACTGGTTATCTGTTAAGGTTGTACCCCGTCTCTCGCACAATAACACCCTTAAGCAGTATAGATCAGTGGTGCAACAGATCGTTTGGACCACTCGTCACAGTTCAGACGCTGTGTGATCTATAAATTGATGGAAAACTTAGCATCAACATGTGCAATATCAAGTGAGGACTCGTTCTCACTGTTTTTTAAAGCACCAGGTGCAGAGTTCAGTGTTCGATTAACCAAACGGTGTGTAACAAGATGGATAATAGCAGTTTGCGATTGTCAGTACTGGCTCCAGAAAAACACCAGTGGCAGCAATGTAACACCCACACAGTAGGCTTTCTTAAGTTTTCAGCATCCGCCACCACACATGCTGTGAGGGCTGCAGAGTGAGACTATAATTTACACTCTGTACAAGTTAGAAAAGCCAAGGAGAGCAGGTCAGCAGGGCCATTTAATTGACTGAAATACCGCAATGTGAATACAGGAAAATTACATGACTGTGCACAGCTGGAGCACTGATGCACAGAAAGTGATTAAAAGCTAAGTTGATTACTTAGTGAAGCCAAGTGACTCACCTGTTTCAAATGAAATTTTTTTTCCCTGTAATTTTATAGCAGCATCGAAATACGTTAGTCTTTGTTTCATCGTGTGTTAAAATACATGGTTAGATTCTGCCTGAGCATTGGAGAATGTAGATGTCACTTTTCTTACTGCTGCTAAGCAAAAAACACAGTCTCCTCTTAGAGATAATCAAGTTTATCTTGGATTTTGGAATTAATAGAACCGTTTCAGAGAACAGAGACTTGCTGTAAAACTGAATATGTTCCAGACAGTACTTAAAGTTGAGTCCTTTTCACATCTTCATCTGAGCTTTAACTCACAGACTTGGGCTGTCTGTCTCTTAGAAGTTCCGACAGTGATGCAGAAGAATTAGTTAAGAGGGAGAAAGCTTTGAGTTTTCATGGAGCAGCCTTCCTCTGGGTCTTAAAACAGCGGACTCACTAAGAATATTAACCGAGGAAGTGAAAGAGACAACTTTTTAACTTTGAGCGGGGTGAACTTTGCCCAGTCAGTACTTTGATCTTTGGTTGTTTGGTTTGTTTTATCTACCTCTATGGTGATTTTTATTTTTCACACATCACCATTTTTATCATGCTTACGTTCTTGATCTTTTTGTTAAGCACATTGGGTCGCATTTTGCATAAAAGATGCCTTATAATTACATTTATTATGATTATCATTTTTTTCCACTCAAATTGGCTTCTCTAAACAGGGCCTGTGCTGAGTGTCATCTATTGCAAAAAACACGCTCATCATTTATTATTCCCTCATGCAACCCCTCCTAAAAACCCCTGACCATTAAATTCAAACTCAGTCCCATTCAGCATAACAATGGCTTTGTTTAGAGGAACAGTAGTTAGAGGTTGAGGTCCAGAACAGGGGTTCGGAGAACCCCAACATCCAACTCTGACAAGTCTAGTAGGGGGTAAACTGCAGTAACTATAGAACAAAACAAAAATATACGAAAGGCTGCTGAAGTCACAAGAGCTTTGAACAGTAATAGCCTCCTGCACTGACAGATGTTGAATCATCCCGAAGCACCTCCAAAGGGTGAAATCTGCCCTGTTGCCACATGCATATATTTAAGGTGTGGTTGTATCCTCTCTAATGCTATTCAATCTTATTGAAAATACAAAAACATCATATTCACAAACAGCCGCACAAACAGTAGTTTAGGCTGAAATCGAATTGAACAATGTCTCCAGAGAAAACACACTAACTCAAGATTATAAATGGGGTTTTTAAGTAACAGTAAGTTAGAGTTTAGCTTTTTACAACACTTTTTAGCAAAAAGTGTTGAATTGTGTGAGGGAACACTTTTCCCAGATGTGTGGATTCGACTCCAGAGTCACCATGCAGGATGCCGCTGAGGCATTTAGTTCCCCTGGAGCTCCTGCTCCCGCTGGCTCACTCACAAAGAAATCCTTTTCCCAGATGGTGAGTCTGGTATCACATCTGTCCGCTCTGGCATCTGTAATAAAACTGGGGGGAAAAAAACACCAAATCCCTCTCAACTCGTTATTATACATGCAGTGGATTTATCTTTGTTAGCAGCAGAATGAAGCTCCAACAGCTGACAGCTCTTCTTTTAAATGTAGGCTGAAAGTTATCCTAACTGCACTGAGATGGACACTCTGAGTACGTTTGAGTTTGAATATCATTTGCAAAGCACGGTTTGTGGATGATTGCAAAATGACCCTCTTCTCTCTGTGAAAATAAGTACCTTATGGGCTTTGATGTGTTGAAATACAACAGTTATCCTTCTTCGCCTCCTTGATATCTTCTTTAGTCTTAATGCTGGAACAAAACATCAACACAGCCATTTCTTGAGTCTTTGTCACAAGATAGAAGAGACACTTTAACTTCATTACCAGGAGATCAGATCAATTAAAGACAAGGTTTGGGAGAACCAGGAAGTTGCTGCTCCTGCTAAGATTAATGATTTACTGTTGTATCTTTAACATGTTTAGCAACAGTGGTACAAACTGTCAGGCTGCCACAGGTAGAAAGAGGAGAGCAGGGAGAGGAGCAGGAGGAGGCAGGTGTTTGTATCCATGACAGAATGAGCATGCTGAGGGAGAGGCTGTAGCGACCACAAAGGTCCACAAGCGCTACCTGAAAAGAGAGACGTTGCTCTTAATCCTCGTAAAAATGAGCCCAAGTCTGTTTACGTAAAAGCTTGAAAAGACTGAATGATTTGTTCTATCTGCGGCCTGATGAAATACAAGCAGTAAAAGAGCTCAGGTCTTAATGTAAAAATACTAAATTGGAATTAAAACCTAGCATTTCATTTATTTTATTTTTATTTTTATTGAGTACCATGATTAAGCCAAAGCTCTTGAAGTGTGGTGAAAAATTGATGTATGGTCTCTGCACATATGACCTCAAAAAATATATTTCATCCAGTTTGACACAAAGACATGCTTTAATAAAAAAAAAAAAACGATGGACTTAACTTTATTTTTATGATTTTATTTATTTATTTTTTTTTTTACCATTAAATCTGTTTTTCAAAGAATAAGAGGAAGTTTGAAGTTGAGTATTTGTGTGTGATGCAGATGTATAATGGTTTGTTATAATTGTAATTATTCAATTATATTAAAATAATAGAGATTTTAAGTTTTCTGTAGCAGCCGCTGCCACTTCCTTGTCTGTTTTAAGACGTTAGGTGGTGACCAGATCGCTACCATGAACTTAAGGTTTTACTGTACGCTTGTTTTTAGCAATATATTAATCTTGTTTTTGTTCTATAGATTGTCAATAACCTTGTAAATGACAGCTTTAATACCTTTTAGATTGTGTTGTATTGCAAGGGACCCTGAAATTCCCACCACTATCTATCTATCTATCTGTCTGTCTGTCTGTCTGTCTGTCTGTCTGTCTGTCTGTCTGTCTGTCTGTAAATTGTTGCTTCTAGTCCTGATTTTAAGCACGTGATGTACGCTGGGTCTGAAAGACGCTCAGAACACATAATTAGAGCACATTTTTCTCTATCAGAGCAGCTTTGGCAACAGGAGCTCACAAAGAGGCTGGCACCTTGCTTCCCGTGCTCGAAGGAGAAGAATGCCACGGGAAAAGGACGGCAGATTTGTTTAACCAATTTTCCTGAGGTGAAGCCTGCATGTTGTAATAACATGTATGAGTCTTTCAAGATACAGGTTTGCAGCAAAAAAGCCTTTTGCGGTACAGAACAACAGCTGATGTCTTAATTAGTCTTGCTTAAGAAAGAACTTGTCCTCTCCTCCTCATGTGGAGAAAGGCTACAATTTTACTCCATTTGCTGAGAGGAGAGGGTGACAATCCTCCATAGGGTAACTCTGGTATGATAGACTTTCATTATGTGATGCAAAGCTGTAGACTTATTTTACAGTCTGTGAGTTGAGCCTATTTATCCACTTAGTCAGAAAATGAAGCTATTTGGCACAACAAAAAGTGTCATAGTAAAGCCGCTGAGGACAAAAGGATCAAAGTCTCTCTTCTCTGCTCTGGCATATATTGTAGATAATTGATGAGTCCTCTCCTCTGTGCTGGTGCTCAGAAGTAAAAACAAAGTTTATTCAAAATAAACAAGAATGGGAAAGAAAGCTTAAATGGTGAACTACAGGCCAACACTTTGTCTAGTACAGTTTGTATTGAGGGAATACAAAAATATCACTTAGTAATACTCAATCATTTGATATTTACCCTTTTGCTTAAAGGTCCCCTATTATGGCATTTTTCATCAAGTTTAAATCAGTCCCAGAGGTCCCACATTGGTAAATTTGAAGTTCGTTGTCTAAAACACCAGTTTATTTGTAGATATCAGCCAGCCTGTACCCCCCTCTTTTTGAGCTCCACTGAGAACGGGCTGATTCTGTGCCTGTACCTTTTAAATGATAATGAGCTGTGTGTAACCACGCTCTTCCTCCCCAAGGCCACTCTGAGCTGCTGGCACCACCACCGTGGTCCAGGAGTGGTGGTCTGGAGATCTTCTGAGGACCTTCAGAGGATCTCCAGACCACCGCGGCTATATTCACAAGAATATAAGTAAATAGAAGCGAGTCCGAAAACGAATACCAACGATGGTAAATACGCGCAATTGCAGCCAAAGCACTAGTCATACGGCAGCGGTAAAGCAACATAAAATAATAAAACTTACAGCGTCCACGTTTGAAGTTGGGTCGGATCCAGGTTTTATCTTCAACTTCTTGGCGAATCCTGTTTTAAACTGCCCCTCGTTGGTAAAACAGTCCGTGGTGAAATGGTTAGCACACACAAACAACATTTTCGGAGTTGTTGTGGGTACATTTTCATCAAAAAAAAATTAATCCACTGGGTTCTCATGCTGCTTATACGGTCATGTCGTCATAACTGCACAGCTTTTCCATTCGCCCGTTTGCACTCATGTTTTCAGGAAGGAGGGGAAAGCAAGAGAGGGAGAGAATGAAATTCTTTATGTGGGGGGTTTGTTGGCTTCATATGGATGCATATTATTGGTAGAAAACCACCCAAAAGTGGATTTTTCATAATATTGGACCTTTAATTGTAGACTGTTTCTAAGCACACAGCTTGCTTAGATGATTAAAGCCTTTGTTTAGGCTCACATGGTGAATATAAACCTTTTTAAAATGTACCCCTGGTGTTACTTCGGTCCCCGTTTAATACTGAGTTTATTTTCTGTAGTTTCCAGAGCTTGAACTGCATAAGGGCTTCTGATTTATGTTTAATACCCAAATAACGTCAGAATCTCCTGAACCGTGAAAGAGGTAAAGCTCGATTCGGAGCAGATAATGGCTGAGAAGACGTAGACTGTGTCGTGGCTTTTGCATTGAAAAATGAAAGGGTAAGAAAAGAAACACAAACATTCAAAAAAGAATATTGAAAGATTTATAAAGGAGAGAAATTCAAGAAATGAGAAATATTCAAGAGAGAAAATAGATATTCAAAAGAGAGAGAAACTCATAAGGAAGAAGCAGAAGTAAGAGAAGGAAGGAGGAAATAAAAGGATGCAGATCAACATTTGAAAAATGGGAGCATCAGCAGCAGACACCCTCGTAGCTATATTCAGCATCTCTGTTTAAAACAATGTGTGATCAGGGAGCTGTAATGAGAACCCATCAGGTAGAGAGTAAATTACTGCATTTACTGAGCATAAAAGGCTGCTCTGTGGATGATCCTTCATCTGCACAAGGCAGCTTTGAAAACATCCCTGAAAAAGTCACCCAGCTCCTGATGTTTCAACATGTGCCTACCTCTATTTTTCACATTCCACTTTGATTCCACTTAGATTTGCGTTGCTGCGGTTCTGAGTTGTTATGATTGTAATTTTCAGTCATCTGCATAGAGCTGACAGTTATACTTGCCCTTTACTATTCATATTAGGGCTTTATATAAAATACATAAAGCAGACTTTTAAAAATACAGCACGGTGAAGAGGATTACTTCAGAGCGACAGAGGAGAATTGGCCTGGAAAATTATTAATAGAGTTTCATTCATTATTAATATTTAAGGGTTGAAAGCCGAAGTAATTTCATAATCCTAAGGTTCGTGTTTTCATGCTTTGCGGGGTTCATATGCAAAGTTGGGAAGCACTGGATCAGAAAACTTGACACAATTAGGAATAACTTGTGTTATGTGTACAAGATGTTTTCATTAGGAGCTGAAATTTTAATGAAACTTTTAAAGTGAAGGATGTTGGCGTGCAAAGAAGAGTGTCAGCATTTTTGTGACGAATAGTTTCGTGTTGATTCAGCAGAAAGATTCTTCCTCCGTCTGCCAGGAATGGAAAAGGGTTTTTATTGTTAAAACTTAATTAAAGTTCACATAACGTTTTCCGATGTAAAAAAAATTCAAGGACAGTTATCGTTTATTTATACTTCATGATGTGTTTAATTTGATTTTTCATTTTGTTGTTTATTTATTGAAATCATGGAAGACCTGACTTGGACTTGAGCCTCAGAGACTTTAGATGTGATTTTTTAACTCCATCTGTGGGACTGTCTTAGCTGTACCTGCTTAAAGCCTTTTCCACCCTTAAATTCTGCCTGGTCCGGATTTACAAAGCTGTCATCAGGCCGCTGCAGCCCACTAAACCTGGTTTTAGGGTGACTTGGGGAAACATCATTTTGTAGTTGCACTGTAGCTCATGTTGCGTTGTGTTTTTATTTCTTCCTCCCTTTAATAAAAACAATGTGCCTTGGGCTGTGTGTTTTTCTTCCAGATACCCACGATGCAGTTTTACGGTTCAACGCTGCGCCCACAGAGGGATATGAGAGAGATGTGGGGAACAAAACCACTATCCGCATCATAAACTCGCAGGTGAGGGAGAGTGTTGTGTGATGCATTAAAAATGAATCACTGATAAAACTCAGAGAGCTGTGTCACTCTCTGAAACATGTGTCAGACTACTGCTGGAGCATATGATGAAAACATCAATGATTTATGACTTTCAGCAAATTATTTCTCTTGACAAGCAGTGGAGGCTGTTTTATTTATGACTAGATTGTATTTTACAGTTTTAAAACATGTTTTATTTACTTTACTGAACTAGAGAAGAGATCATAAATCAAGGACATTTGCACTTTTGTGTACATTCTTTCTTATTTTGTGATACGTCACCTCTATTTGAGATCAGTACATGCTTTTTATGACATATTTACTAAATGCACGGCCTCTAAATTACATCTTCGCGGGTTCCAGCTCAACCAAGTCCAGACTCTTCAGCATGAAAAGACTGCAAAACAGTCTTTCAACTAGTCATGCTGCTGTTTCAAACAAAGACATAGAAGGGCCGTTTGAATCTGGTGCAAGATTTATTCCAAACAACAACTGTATGATGTATATTTTATGTCATGTATATAATGAAAAGGCTGTGTTATGTAGAAAAGTTTGTGTAGGGATAATAACACCAACATCTGCAGTCTTGCTCAGCTCTCAAGGGGAATAATTAAACTTAGTTTATCCAAAGCCTCAACACTCTTTAAAGCTTGATTTCACATATAAGTGCAGTCTCATTCCTTTAAAGCTCCTGTGAGTTTTCTTTTTTTTTTTGGATGCTCATGAAAAAGGTAAAAATTCTGATTGATGTCTTTTTATAATATTCAAAAGCAAACCAGACCATCAGCAACAAAACTATCCTCACTCTTAACCCCTGAAACTGGTATGGGAGGGTAGATGATGGTTTAGCAGCTGAGGAAACAGCTTTTTTTTAATTACCTATTGTACATAAGATATTCACAAAAGTCAGCAGGATGTACTGTACCTCACAGGAGCTTTAACCTGGACTGTCATTGGCTGTTCGATAACTGACTATTTTGGAGACAGTGTAGTAAATCTATTCTTTGCACAAAGAGATTTCCTATTTACAGATTTCATAGATTTTTTGTTTACCTTTGCATAAATGAAACAAAAAGGAATATCGGTAACGGCTGTAATGTTGAGATTTAAAGGCATGTTTTATTATTGTCAAAGTTATGCAAGCTACTGATTTCAAACTTAGTGCTGTGCTTAACTTAACAAATATCAAGAGGAATAAAGTTCTCCTTTCTCTTCATTAAATTTTTGCTTTTAAGCTCCTGTGAGTACATTTTACATAGTTAACAAGCTGAAACAAAGATTGATGTATTTAGATTCCCTGATCGATTATTTATAAGTAGTCATTAACTGTGTCAAAAAAAGGGATCAACAGAATGCTGCCAAAAAAAATCTTAATGACTGATACCTATGAAAGAAAAAAGGGTAGGCTTTCATTGTTTTATTTTTAAAGCAAAAAACATTCATGTCACATGAATCAGAATCAGTGAAAAGTCTGCTTTGTCTACAGGAGGCACCTACATCAACACAATCTGATAGTCCTTCTCAGGAGCTTAAAGTAGATTTACATACTTGGTGTTGAAATAATTGGGAATAAATTGGATGTATTACTTTGTACTTCTGCGTAAACAATGTATTTCCTAAAAAGTTCAAAGCCTATTTGCCCTTACAGATATTGGACAATCCTATACATCAATTCAACACAAGCTCAATCTACAAGAATGTGACTCTGGTGGCCTGGGACCCTGCACCTTACACTCTAAACTTACACCAGGTATGTTTGTCTCTGTAATATATGAACCTGTTTCTGCTGCGACACCCACAGTAATGAAAGGACATAAACTAGAGTCAATTCAAATAATTCACGGATCCAGAATGTAAAGAAGGTGTTAATAATGTGCCTCACTTGCCTACTCCGCTCTCACCCTCCTCCCTCCTCTTCATCGTCTTTGTTCTACCTTTTGATTATAATTCAGAGAACAGTCCCCTGCCACAATCAATAAGATCCTGAAGACTCCTGTGAGGGCCAAAGCGTTCAGGTTCATATCCTGAAAAATGCACTTTGCAATTAAAATTGATTGCTTGCTTTGTGTGAGCACGTCTCATGGCGGTTTGAGTTATTTGACCAATTTCTATGATGTTGGAATATTAAATATGTCCTTGTCCGGTTCTATCCGGTTACTTCCACCACCTGATTTTTTTCATGGGTTAATAATAGAAGCACTTGTCTTTTGAAATTAGTTGACCTTTAGTTCCCTGCAAGAGCAGCGGGTTGTTGTTGTGCAGCATTAGCATGGTCATCTCTTGTTGCACAACACAACTCTGCAAGATGGAGCTGATGACCAGTTTTTCTCCAATCACTTTAACGGCTCATTGAATTAAAGGATAAACCATGTTAGCCTTGATCAGATTGATCACCAGTGGGCAAACATGCATTTAGGGAATTGTTATGTAGCTGCAGCACGCTTCATGCCACCTAATCACAGACAGCCTCATGCTCGACAAAGCTGTTGGTGTCATACAGAGGTAAGAGCAATGATTCTTGGAAAGAGGCTGATGAGACTGTTACGAAGGACATGCTACATGCTTCCCTGCAGCCTGTGTTGTTGTTTTTTCTGTCTCTTCAGCTCTGGTGCTTATTGTGGTCCCAGCTAATGACAGCTTTAGCCTTTTATAAGCAATGTACCAAGTTAAAATGATGCTCTGTTTCTTTGTATGCTCAGAAGGTTTATTCTTTTTTATTAGACATTTAGCAAACATGATGTTTATGTTGCATTTTTGGAGTGTGTGTTTTTTTTATTTTCATCAAATACTCTCAAAGAGCTCACGGGCAATCATCACAGAATCAGAATCAGAATCAGATTGCCTTTTATTGTCATTATACGCAGTACAATGAGATTAAAGCCACCCATATCAGTGCAAGACATTGTAAAAAAGATAGATAAAAAATATAGAAAAATATGAAACTAGATTAATATGAAGTATATACAATGTAAACGTGTGGACCTGAGATTCTTTTGACAGGATAAATATGGTACGGATGTGCATAGGTGTAAATATGTAACAGTATAAAATATAAAGTGCACAGTTCTGAGATCCTATTAACAACATTAACACCCATTACACAAGTCTGAAGATGCTATTTTTGGAAATGCCTCTTGGTTTGGACTCCACTCTGGTGACTCTATGATTCAGCCAAGACTTTACTGTGCTGCATTTAGGTCTGTAGAATATACATGTCATATTTTAAACCCATTACACTCTCCTGGGGAGGGCATAACCATCTGTTTCAAGTGCTGGTAGGTCTCTGTTCAACAGTGCGCTCATCAGGCAGACACTAACGTAGCACACAGAGACTTCACTCTGGTTTTCTTCAGTAGTATGAAACCTGCACACTCTTTCAGGTCTGTCCCCATTAGGAGAGGAAAACAACCTGTAAAATGCTTGTTCGGTGAAAAGAGGTCAGATAATTTCTGAGGTGTTCCAGGGAGTCTAGAAAGGTAACCGCTAATTTGCTTCACAACACCGTTTCAGGTAGATGTGTTTTCTGCTAGTTTTTTCCCCACACACCCACTGTTTTTCCCGTGTACACCAAAGCCTGCTATTATTACACACCGAATAAGGGTTTGCTGTCTGAAGTGTCCTGATGTCTTTCTGTAGTATAAGTGGTATGGTCAGCTCGCATTTCAGCAGGTTACGGCTATTGAGGTTATTGAGAAAAGATTATTATTGAGAGCAAAAGAGAGGGAGCGCATAATGGAACCAGTCCATGTGCATCAAACAAAGACTCAATGCAAACCAAAAATAAGGTCAATATCTACATGGGATTTTTACAGCGTACCATGCATCCTTGAGGTTCATAATAGACTGTCAAGGTCTCACAATTGTGAGTTGTGCTCTGGCGTTATTGGCCATCTCTGACAACCCGAAGGCGAATGCTCGGTACACATTCATTTTCTAGGTAATTCTTGGCCTGCCAACACACTGTCTTTGTGTTCTTATCATACAGAAAAGTGCTGGACAGTATTCATTATGTTCTCAGGTCTTTTTTATTCTCTCTGACCCAACAACTCATGCAGAACTTGGGAAAGGGGTTTGGGAAGTCTGCACCCTCAGCCTGGAACTTATTCCAGAATAACCCGAAACTCAAGGAGCTGGAGTGTTTAAATGTTTCAAAATCTGAAAGAGTTCGAAAGAAGATGCGTCAGAACTTCATTGCTTTTTGATTTCCTGGTTGCACAACGGACTCTAAGATATTTTCTTTTTTTCTAACTGAACTTTAATTCTGACAGACTGTACTGTGGTTCCCTGTGTGTGTCCTTGTGGGTTAAGGTTGAGGCCCATCTTATAAGATCAGGCACACTCCCATCCCATCTTCAACCACATGAGTGTAACACTCTCCAGCAACGAGGCACTTCATATCTCTTCAATGAAGTCTTTATTCGTACTACAGTCCTCACTCATACTCCCAAGGCTGCTGGTTATACAAGACAATGGAAACACAGAGAATTAGAGGTCTTGGCTGAAAGTCCTTAATTACCCGCCTCTGGCCTGTTCATTCATGTTTCTTGTCTGTTATAGAGTTTAAATGGGCTTCCACTGAAAAGTCTCATAATCATAAGGTTGGAGTTATACAATTAGAGTTATAACAGTCAAGTGAAAGAGTGCATTCACTGTTTTATGGTGCATCTAAGCCAATTCTAACAGACTGTCCTTTTTATCAGTAATTGACAGCCTCATTATATCACTATGTTCATAGTTTGGCTTGCTGTATTATAACGAACATATACATTGGATAGTAACACAGGGTTATAGAATCCAAGTGGGCTGGTTTGTGCAGCAGAGGAGAACATTTCTCTTTGGCTCCTTAACAAAGACGGATAACATCTCAGCGAAGAGACCCTGAACTCCTCACACAAGGCTGTGCTGAACTCAGTACATCTTGATAGTGATACTAAATTCCATCTTCAGGGATTGCTACTATTGCTTGTTTGTGAATGTTAATAAAGCCCTACCATACAAAGGATTTCTCGAAGCGGATGTGCTTTTCCCAGAGTGGGCAGTATTACAAAAGTATAGTTCAGCATTATTAATAACAGACAGTCTTCTCGATACACAAACTGTTACGCTTCCTTTTAGTAATGACTAAAGACTTTTACTCAGAAGAGCACTGATGAGTTGGACTTGACATTTACAACACTGAATATGGTAGGATGTAAGGTTAAAGACAATTTTATGTTGATTTTGGTACTTTTCTTCTTTTTTATCAGGCCGTACTCATCAGTCCAGGCAAAACCTAAGGCTGGGTTTTAAATAAAGGTTAACTTGCATGCAGCATTCACAGGCTGTCTAATTGGCAACAGTGCTAAAAAGAGGTGTCATGAATAAAGAGTGGATTGCACAGATTTATAGCAAATGCAAGCAGAAGAAGTGCAACACATGTCTTTTGAAAAGAAAAATCTGAAAAAGAAAGACAGACATATATCAGTCTGGGATAATCCAAAAAAAAAGAAAGTGATGTTTATAAATTACCTGGATTTTCACTGTAAGTTAGATGCTATAATGTTGTGCAAGTTAAAATGGTTAAATACCTGATGGGTCGTAGGCAGGGCTTCAGGTGGCAAAAGATAAGCACTAGTACTCCCTTTATCCGTTTACATATTAGTTAATACAAGTATGACATAATGTGTTTTTACAGTTGGTTAAAGATATCGGGGGATATTGCTCATTTCCGGGACATATTTTCATTAAAAAACACAAAGAACCTCTATCTCTGTGTCACCATGTTCCATTTTTTAATCAAGTTCAACAGACTTTACACTGTAGCTTTATCTAATGCAAAGAAATCCTTGATGTTAGGACCTTACTTGAGAACAATGTAAACAGCTACTTTCATACACAGCAGAAACAGACTGGAATAAAAGAGGACAGGAAGTAAGAAGACCAGGTCCTCCAGCTCTATTCACCTTCAGTTCTCCGTCACCCTCTTGGAGCCAGGCCAACATTGCTGTCATTTTCTTTTTATTGGATTGTCCTTGTTTATTCACCTCCGCAAAGAATTGCGAGTTTCCATTAATATGTCACTACTCTCCTGTGAAAGCAGACCGCAGAAAGATATAAGAATTGTGTTGGCCAAGCACGCCCAAAGTGGGGTACACACAGCAAGATAACCGCGCTGATTTTGGGCCCAATTCAGGAAAAGTCAGCAAAGGCCCAAGATTTGGGTGGTTTAAAAGATTATCTTGCCAGATTTAAGTCCTACTCTGATTGTTTTTTTACTACTTTAAGTGTTCTCGGTGATAGTTAAATTGTGATTATAAAGTTTTTAGCCAAAATCGCATTACCTGTGTCATTTCCAAGGGCTTTTCTTCTGCAGAGCTCCAGTAGCTCATTAGCAATTCGCCTCTGAGTCGTGGGCGGAGACAGCGCTGCTCTGCACACTCCCCTTAACGCAAGCTTGTTGCCTAACATTGCCGATGCAGCAGAAGTGGCAGGTAACATAAGAGATATTCAGCTCTCTGACACTAATGTCTCTGGGGACATGATGAAAACCAATGTCATAGTTAGCTTTATTACGAACATTGCAATCCGCACACTTGTTCTGTGATTGTCCTCTCTACTTCTCAGAGTGCAGAGGACGTGCCAGGGCGAAGTACCGATTTTTGAAATAGAAAATCCTACTATGTCTGAACCAGTGGCGGCTGCTGGTCTTTCAATGAGGGGAAGCTCATTTTTCTGGCCTACATCATAATTGTATTTGTTTATTAGTATGTAACAGAACAGAGTCGTCAAACACAACGGCAGTCGTTTTTAATAAAGACAGAAGTCGCTGAGGATTGGTAAAGTCTCCAGAGCAGTTAAGAACAACGGAATGAATGACTTGGAAAATGCTCTGGTAGATGTTTTATTCTTCAAGATCGCTGATTCGCTTGTTTAGCTGTCAATCAAAAAAGGATTTCGCCTCAGACAGCTCATCCAATCATGGATGCAGAAGCTTGCAGTCCGGGAGAAAGTCGGGACCGCCCTCTCGCCATAGAACTCCAGTGAAGCTTAGCTTCCATTGGGCGGGACAAAGCCCAGCATTTATCCAATGAGCGTCTAGTTTCGCTGCTGGAACAACCCACTTTTAGCTTCCACATTGAAGTCAGCAGAAGCCCAGCGTCCGGCTGTTTAAAGCGCTGAGGCGCTGCGAGGATGAATGAGAACGAAGTTATGCCGGTTACCTATAATTATCAGCTTCTTATCACAGTGTCTGAACAAAAGATGAAGGCTTTCTAGTGCGTATTTAGTTAATGAAATGTACACACAGCAGTACGTATTTCACCACTTTTTCTTTTTTTTGGGGGGTGACATTTTAAGGGAAGCCGAGCTTCCCTTGCAGTCTTAGAGCAATCGCCACTGGTCTGAACCTAACTGTTTGGGTCTGTGAGAGGTTCACACAATGATTTGAATGCAGAAATACTCAGAAATGCAATTTTGCGCTGAGTTTTCTCATGATACGTCCTGAAGCATCAGAAAATGCCATGTGAACATGTAGTCAAAAAAAAAAAAAAAAAAAAAGGTGTCCATTGTAATGTGGAACAGCTATAGCCAATCAGAAAGTAAGCTGACAAAGTGAGAAGCACAAAAAATGTAACCATTGTAATGATGGTTAACGCTTATGTTTGATACATGAGGACAACACAAGTGTTTACACAACTTATTTGGTAATACACACCAGATAACACTCTCCGTAACACAATATGAAGAGGGCAGACAGAGAAGGGTGCTGGCAGCTGGTACTAAGCTGTCATTTGCTGAATGGAGTCCCTGTTTGCCAGGGGGTTATATCTTGAAGTGTCAGTGCTGTATTCTGGAGAGTTCAGGCCCACTTGAGGCACTTAGGTACTCTTGAGTTAGACACCTGAATGATCCCACTACAGTAGAAGTGATGTGTGCATATCCACATTAAGAAGTACACAGTTATGCACAGCACAGTAATTTCACAATAACTTGAATTTGTCAGTGGAGGTTAAGTGAAACAGCAGTCCTCTTTAAACCCTGAGGGGTGAAAGGGTTTTAAGACTAGACTCGGACTTGAAATGTATTGACTTGTCCTCAACACTGACTACAACATTAGGTCATTTGGAAATCCTTCAAGTCAAATTTAAACTGTTGCCAGGTAGATTTTGTGTGATTATGACCACACAACTGTGAAAGAAACGATGCTTATATAACCTTAGTACACTTACATAAACAAGCACTCATCCACGCACCAGCATATTCCCTCCTCCTCTGGTACTTGGATGTATTTTATGTTAGTAATTATTTATAAATACTTATTTTGGTATATTACAGTAACTACTTTGTTTAATGCACACCATGTATGTATCATAGATTTATTCATTATTTAAGATACAAGAATGTTGTAAAAAAAAACATTTTCCCACCTACTGTGAAAAAAACACAGTCTGATATTATGCAGAGCCAAAGCAGCTGTGCAACCAAACAGCGTATCACGAAAAATCTACCTACACTGCAGGCTTTAAATGTCTTTGGAGATAGAGATATTAAAGTGTGAAAAGTAAAAATGGGTTAATGTACAGTTAAATAGAGATGCAGTAGATAGAGATGCTGTGGAGATTTGTCATGTTTTGTAAATCTTTGACATTTGCAAAAGGAAAAATGTCCATCTCAGCTGTTGGCAGAAAATGTCAGATACCATTCAGAGACTATATTGATGTTTGGAAATATTTTTTTTAGCTCTGATGAAAGCCAGGAGAGTCCATGAGGCTTGAGGTCAGGTCATCAAATAGATGAAAAAGCAGAGTGGGTGAAATCAGAGGAGGTTTTTTCCTCTCCCAGTCTCTCTGGTTCTCTGAATATATTTAAACCTCATTCTTTTTGACATTTTTTACTTCCTGAACTTGCTTGTTATGTGCTTTCAATTTTGACTTTTTGTGCCTCCCACTAGATCATTACATGACTGGACCATACGCACAAACTTTCTTTCTTTCCTGTTAACAGTTTCCCATCATACTCATCTACCACATCAAAACATCTTGGTGTTTCATGCGGAGATGAAATCAAACCTGGAAAAGCACTCAGCTTTATTACAAAAGAAATGTGTTAGATAAAGTGGCTAAAAGCTAAGTTTAAATTCTTTTCAGATTTATGAAAAGCAAAAATGCTTCCTTTGAAAATTGAACCACTGAGAAAAACATCTAATTGAAAATACTATTTTGGGGTGTTTGCGCATAAGGTGCATCAACGACATGTTGAAAAGAATTTAACTGAAGAATAGTTGTGATGTTATACAAAAAGTTAGTGTTTTTTCATGTTTGAGGTAGCAGAGAAAACAGATGAATGAAGAAGAAAACTTTCGTACATCATTCAGCAGAGTAAAGGCCAACCTTTTAAACAAAGAAATAGCAACAATAAAAATGTCTTATTTCTTCCTACTGGCGACAGCTGATATTGATTACCTCTTAAAGCCCTTTAAGAAATGTTTATTGACTAGAGAGGAGAGTATCAGAACTTGTCATTTTTAAGTTAACTTCTGCTACCTCCTTTTTCTTCTGCAGTGGTATGCTAGTCCAGACTACAACTTGTTTGGTCCTTACGTGGCGCACCGTAAACTCCATCGCAACCAGCCCTTCTACATCCTCCACCCCGCCTATGTGTGGAGACTTTGGGATGTGATTCAGGGCAACACTCAGGAGAACATCCAGCCCAATCCCCCCTCATCTGGCTTCATAGGTGAGTGCACATGTACAGCTAGCACACATACAATCGGTATTTATGTAGAGTGCGTCTGTTCTCTTTTAACTGTCTTTGTCCTCTTATTTTATTGTGTCTGCGCCTACCCCTGGATGATATATAGACACTGAGACACACACACAGATACTAAGACATGATGATTTCTTTTCTTTAGCATGCACAGTGACATTATCAGCACGCATCAGAGCTGTGCAATGCTTTCCAAAGCAGTTTATCTGTGCAGGGCTGTAGCACTGCAGGCTGAAACTCTTCTATTCCTTTGTATCCAGTTCACAGCGGTCTTTTCCACTCTTAAAAGCATTTTAATTGTTACCCGCATATAGATGCCTAACAAACAACACTCATTCCTGGCTGGTTGAATTTGTTTGCCTGAAAGCAAAATAATGTTTTTACTGATTTAACGGATCAAAAATCTTCTTTTTTTCACTTGTCAATGTAATATCCATTTAAGACAACACAACAGAATACAGATTCAGTGTCGACCATAGCACAGTGAAAATCTTTTTCAATTTCAGTGAAAATTGAGAAAATAATAATGTGATTGTAAACAAAGATAAATGTAGAGTAGAGATTTTTTGAAAAGCAGCGGAGTTATAAAGAAAGAATACTTTATGCAGGTTACAGGTAACATCAAGTTTAAATCTAAGAAAAAAAATTAAACTTCATCCATCCTGCAGTTTGGCTCTTCATATTTTTTCTGTTAAAAGTGGATAATCAACCACAATAAAACACTCCAAATTAACTTCTTCATAAAAAAAAATATGTCATTGAGAATTTAGTCTTTTATTTTTTTAAATAATCAGATTTTGTCTCTGTTTCAGTGCTTTTATTTCACAGGAACGCTTTATCTTTACTTTTTAAATTAATATTTAAACTATCTAGATTCAGCTAATTTTAATGACTTTTTTTTGCCATTGATGCTCACAACAGTCTTCTTACTGTTAACTGCTGTAAACTACTTAAACTTTCATTTGATCCATACCAAAGGTGATAATCTAATTAAGCCCAGTTCATTGATTGATTGATTGATTGAGTAATTGATTAGGAAACCCGTCAGCAAGTGCTGTCAATAGATACCATTCGCAGTCACCCGACGATCGAACTTCAGTGTTTGAAACATTTGCATGTTGTGAGTCAATAGCAACCAAACTAACAGTAAATCAGTCAGGAGTTAGCATATGCTCATGTTAGCTGAGGTATAAACTCACTGATGAATTTGGATGCAGTGAAACAAATAACACCTAATAACAGTATTAACCATCTCTTTGCTAGCAGTACTGTTTGATAGAAGGGCCAGTTCCTAGCTTATAGTGATGTTGGAATTGAGATGATAATGCTAGCAGTTTTGTTGGGCTTTCTAATGTCATAACAACAAGACATAATACAAGCATTCACCACCCTAACGACAACTCAAAAACTTGTAGCCTTTATTACTGAAGTTCCTCTCATTTTCTCTCTGTCCTCCCCTGAAATGTCATCTTAGACCTCACACACTGTAAATTAGTAGGCTTGCTGAACATCGATAGATTTTAGTCCCACTGTTCTTTGGGGGGCAGGCTTGTGAAAAGGTCAAATCTGCAGTGTTCTTGTTAGAGATGAGCCTTTTTTCAGAAAATATAAATTGACAATTTTGAATGATTTCCCATCAATAATTGTACTTGTAAAGACATGCAGATATGTTGCCTATACATTATATATTGATAATCTTATTCTTGATATTTGGCATTGTGACTTCACTGAGTGTATTGACCTCCAAATGAACAAGAGCTTTTATTTGTTTCATGGGAAAATAGTAAGTGCAATGGCTGGGTCCTTGGTTGCCATGGCTACAGGTTAGAGGGTGGCTGCTGTGTAATTTTTTTGTCTTATTGGAGAAACACAGTCATTACAAAAACAAGGGGGACGGAGATGCACTGGGTGCTGTCAGTACAGCTGCCATTGTTTTTTTTTTTCTCTCCAGAGAAGGACGTCTGGCACTCTCTCCGATCAAAACAGTAACAGTGTTGATGATGGGTGCTTACTTCCTTTAGCTAGAAAAAAAAACATTTTACTGCATCCTGTTAAAGTCAGGAACGTAGTGAAAAACAGCTCAACACATCTCTTTTAGCTGAAGAGAAGGCTTTCAGACATCTCATTTAGCCAAACCTTTGAATCTCAGTATCTTTTTCAGTATGACATTGAAGAGGAGCAGATGCTCTGTCCATTCCCCCCAAAAAGACTGATATCCATTGACAATAATGTAGCCAGTGTCCCTCAATATCAATTTTTTTCAAATCATTCTTGCAGAAACTTTCATCTTTTTGAAAATAGGAGAAGATAACAATATTCTTCCACAGCAATGACATTTATTTAAACAAAAAACCAACAGTAAAACACAATGCATTGATCACATGTCACTTAGGGTTAGCATCCCATCTCAGTTTGGACTGATACAGCCAGTTCCCAGAAGCGGTTCAGTCAGACCGTCCAAACCATCCTGAAGATGAGCCTCGTAACAACCCTGCAGTGAGAGAGTTGCCCATCTGTCTTTCACAGCAAAATGGAGCAATCACGGGAGCCCAGTCTGTCTCAAACATGCTTGATTGCTGCACAAGCTTTGTGAATGTTGCAGTCAGCTCCTTTCAGCTCAGAGGAAGCGTTCAGGACTTTCTTCAGCCATTACTTGAAGACATCTCAGCTCATCATTAGTCTTTTGTTGGTCATCTTTTGTATCCCACAGTCTAACATCACAGGTTTTCTCCCTTCATTCCTGCCAGTCATGGGGAGTCTGTTATAGAAAGTTCTTACAGGAGCTATTGAGCATGCTGTTCCCACTTCCTTGGCTCCCTTTCCTATAAGGCATTGTGGCCATATGTGGCCGATAGGCCCAGAACTCCACAATGAAAGCCTTGCATCAAATCCTGGTGATTTTCATCGTCCATGATTCCGCTCTATGTAAAAGTGATCAGTCAGAGTATCATGCAACAAAATCATGCAATATCACAGACCAAAAATAAGATTTTTTTAAAGTATTTACAAATTGAAAGTCAAGAAAAAGTCTCGGTGTGACCATGTTCAGGATTTGGCGACATTTACAGACCGAACAGCGCAGATGCTGGAGGGAAAATACAAAGCTTAAATCATGAACACATCAAACCACTGACACACTGATTGAAGAAGCACAAATGATTATCAAGCATTGGCATTTACAGCAGCACAAAGACAGAGAGACGTAAAGGCAACAGAAAATAGGCACAAGATTTCTGTGTTTTGAGAAATTGTGATAAGACCCGGACTTAAAAAAGAACTAGGTAAACATGACATGCAATTGTAGGATACTTGAGTCAAAAGTCTACAATTTTCTGAGGAAAATTTGTTTTCACCCACATTGGAATGTAAAAATTGTGCTTTGATTGTAAAAATGAAAGAGAGGAGTTTACAGAAATGATGCATCCTTTTGAAACAAGCGCTTGCTGTAACTATGTTTATAAATACATAATATGGCCAAAAGTACACGTACTTGTCCTCTGGTGTACGTTTGAAAGGGGGTTTTTGATTCCAGATTGGTAGAATATTTTCACCGCAGTGAAAAAAGCATTTTTAACACTTTTGTGAAGATCATTTCAACACTCTTTTGCACCAAGTACAACCTAAAATAAACAGTTTTTTTTAGTAGTTTCAAACTGTTTTTCACTTGAGAGCTGGACTGGCCAGCAGAGAGACTCAAGCTAAACCCTTCAAACACCTTGTGGATGAAGTGGAATTCTCCTGCAAGAGAGGCCTTATCACCAAATATCAGCATCCAGCTTCATATTGTAGCTTAACTGGAGCAAGCCTCTGATGCCTAAACCTCAAAATCATGTTGGAAGCTGTTTCTGGAGGAGTGGATGCTGTTAAAGCAATGTTTTAAAAGCCCTCTTGGCTGAACACCGATATGCTTTTTCATTGGTTCTCCCACTTTTTTGCCATATACAGTGAATAAAAGATTTACAGCTCCTTTTATGCCTTGTGTGTTACAAACCAAAATAATAAAAACTTAATGGACACAAAAGTGTTTCCTGTACAAACATAAGCTCACACGTAAAGTACATTTACTTTTTGCAAACATCTTGCTTTAGTTCACATTCCACAGAGGTTCACATTGCAAGTGTAAGTGCTGGACTGACTGTAGTTCCTGTATTTCCTGTGTGGTCATGGTGGGAGAATCGCGGCTTAGTTCTGGACCTCAGGGGGTGTCGTGCGCTTGGTGTTGGGAGTGCTGCAGCACTGGTTGAGAGCGTCCGTGGATATCTGAGCGGTGCAGGCCACTGTGTTGCTGTAGACCCTGCGGTTCAGTGGGATCACGGTGGTCTTGGAGGGCACAGAGATATTGCCGTTCTCTGCTGACCAGTGGTCACAGTGAAACAGGATCAGGAAACACCTGTAGAACTGAGAAAAGGGGTTTTGTAAATATGACGCTTACATTAAGAACCTCTTGGTTTGTCAGAAGGAGGTTGTCCTGAATTTGTTCAAGACTTGTGGTAACGGTGTGTTCAGAGTTTTCAGGGTTGTTGTTCAGAGTTTGATAAATCTAAAGTCATCCCTTAGTGCACTTTCATGTCATTATAGTAGCTAACATTTATTAAAGCCAACTGAACGGAGAAATAGCTTCTTAATGGCTTGTTGCACAGGAAAAGAATATACCCACCTACACACTTTGTCAGTTTGACCTTTGTGGTGAATCAACCGATTAGACGAACGCTCTGAGAGGTGCCCTGTCAGACATGGGTAACAGCCTATGTATGTTTCTTGATCGCTCAGACCAGAGTCATAATGAAATCTGTTTGTTGTTTCTGTTTTGCCATCATTTTTTCTCTACCTCAGCAAAGACAGCAGTCCAAAAATGGAAACAGAAAAAGTAAATTGACCAAAAATCACCCTGAAAAAAGTGCGTGCGTTCTTAAAACTCCAGAGACATTTCACAGATTGGACTACAGGATATCATGACTGCTAAGAGTTGATAACCAATTGCTTCACACACACTCATTCACACACTTAAATTGTCCTCACATTACTACACTGGCAGCAGAGGCTCATCAGGCTGTAATCCAAAGTCATTTAAAGACATTATCACACTGTAATATCTAACAGCAGTGATTTAGGATTCAGTATCACCAGTCATCTTATTTAATACTAGAAAACCATCATTCAAAACAAGATATACAAGTCTAATGAGAAAAACTGAAGAAAAATGTTCATGAAATTAAAATTTAATGGGTTTGTATTCGGGGTAAAGTAATGCGAAGTCAGCATTCTGAAAGTATAAACTGAGTGATATTATTGATTTGTAAAAAGTAATTGCTCATTTGAAACTTAATGCTGGCATCTTCCTCCTGTAACAACTCTGGAAATATTTGGAATCAGAGAAAAACTGTCTCTGCAGTTTTGACTGTGAAATGTTTGCCTGACTTAGGAGATCTTCTACTCATCAGATCACGGTCAGCTTTGTGGTACTTCCTATTTCATGACGCACCATATGGTAATGATAGCAGACTGATTTAGCACCAGGGTGGTTCTACTAAGGAGCCATGCTATTGTAATATGGGCAGAATGTGGTTGGTATAGGTTTGCTGAAACATGTAAGGCCTTTCCTAACCAAAACATGATCTGAATGGCAGCACATGTTAATCTACCAGTATATGGTTCAACATTAATTAAAGTTATAGGGTCTCTAACAGAGTGGTGAACCTCAGCCTACCCGGAAAGGTTTCTTTCCCTGTTGTCCCTAACATCATCTTTGCTCCTAAGAGTTAAGAACAGCTGTCCAAGCGACCAATCAGGATCAAGTATTTATAATAACACAGCTCAGTGATTAGGAAGAAAGTGGGGTAATAAAAAATGTCAACACATTGATTTGTGAGGATTTTACCTGCATATTTTTAACCGTATAGACGGCTGCAGCGAAAAAGGAAGGGGGCTGTGTGCGGGGTTACAATCGTCAGAGAGAAAAAAGAAAAATCAAACAAAGCCAGGTGGGGGGAAAAACAGCAGTAGGAGAAAATATAAATGTGAACAAAATACTCTTTGTGTCGGCACGCACCACGTTATATGAAAGAAACCATGTAGCGCATGCTGAGGCAGGCAAACTCACTGTCTTCATTTATAATGTATTCACTTCTATTCTTAGCCTGAATTGAAGCAGGTTCTTGCTGAGGGTGTTCACTCTTTTTCGGCACTGAACTTTATATTTCCAGGTTTATAACAAAAGAAAAAAAAAACAAAACACGTAGTTGCTGCTGAGTTCTTGACTTTTGATTCTGTGCTGATCCAGTAAAGATTTTATGATTAATGTTTTTCATAAAGGTGTAGCAGCTGCTCCGAATGGAAATTATTACACCTCCATTTTACGTAATCAGATTATTCTACATTGTATCCTTGCACCTCTACTTTACATGCAGATTGGTGATGTATGCTCATATACAGAAGATCGAAAACAAGTTACGTTTGAAAAAGCTGAAAAAATAAAAAAAAACAATAAACAATGCACAGTCACACAGTAGGATATGATTTGAATCTAAAGCCTGATACTCACACCTGCTTTAGTCTTGTTCAGTAATACAGACATTGTGTACATGAAATGCTGGTCTGTTTGTTTTAGAGAGAGATCATTTTCTCATGGTTTTCCAGGAACTTGTAAGTTATTTTATTTTGACTACACAAAACCAGTCTTGAGTCTTTGTGCAGAGACTTTAGAGCACAAAGTCTTGTGACAATAATTTAATCAGTAATTACATGTGTTACTGTGTTAAGAGTGTGAGTGGATTTTACTACAGCCCAGTGTGAGCTTTTTGTAGCAGTTTAGGGCTGACAGAGTAAACTCTAAGACCAAATCCAACATAGTTTTCTGGGGTGAATTGTTATACTGAAACCATCTGGATAAAGGCAAAACCAGCAGGTAAATCTGTGTCCATCAGGACGGTAATACTGTAGAGGGGGACTCAAACACAGGGCAAGCGAGCAGAATTATTATTTATCTGTAGTTACCCAATTTTAAAATATTCATTTCCTTTATTTTTGAGTGATCTTTCATTTTTTACCTCTTTTATATTTGTACCTCTCAATGTCATATTTCTGCCAGGTAAGCTGTGGTAAGTCAACAGGTACCCTACATGTGAGCTCGACTTTGCACTTCGTTTTTGTGTATTTTATAATACTTTATAAACTTTATAAAACACATCACCTGGTGAACTTTATATGAACTGAAAAGGTTTATGGACTTTGTTGGCTTTGAAGAGAGAAAGACTTACAGTTCACCAGTCCTCAGTCTTTTACGCAAAGCTTCACAAACAGATTTCAGCTTCTTTCTTTAAAACGGGGAAACAAAAATGTTTTATCAAAGACAGGAAAAAAGTGACCCAGAATATTGACCCATTTTGTTAAATCCAAATTACTGGAGTCAAGCTGCTAATTGGCCGGCTAATGAGAGTAAAGTGGCTTCACTAGTAAGCAGATTTAAATAAAAGCCAAGGGTTTTCAGCGAGGAAACACGGGTCTTTTCTTCACATTCCTGTAATGCCATGAAGACCTTTTCCTCTGTGAATATCTAAATGTCTCTTTCTTTCTCTCCCTCTCTATGCTGAATTTTCAGGCATCCTCTTGATGATGGCGCTATGCGAGAAGGTGCACGTGTATGAGTACATTCCCTCCATGAGGCAGACGGACCTGTGCCACTACCATGAGCGTTACTACGACGCTGCCTGTACACTGGGTGCCTACCATCCACTCCTTTTTGAGAAGAGCCTGATCCAGCGGATCAATACGGGCCCTGAGAGGGACCTGAGGAGGAAGGGGCGGGTCACTCTTCCAGGCTTGAGCACCGTCAACTGTGACATCTGAGATATGAAAACTGACCCTCTGAGCCAGAAAATACAAACACACTTCGGCCTTTTGCTGGATGACTTAGGGAGAGGTGCAATAAAGCCACAGGAGACATGGAGGCTGGAGCATACAAGTTTGAAATGAGACCCATGAAGAACATAAGCCATAGCCCTCCGGGGGGGGGGGGGGATCATCATGGAGAACTTGTCTTCATTAAGATGGTTTACCTGGCCACAGACTGGCAGGAAGAGCCTCGAGGATGGGGCTGAAAAAGACCTTTCTCTCTGCTTTAGCTGAGCCACGTTAGCTGTGGAGCTGACTAGGGTAGCAACAGATCCGTGTTTTAGACAGGCAAGTGAATTTTCAATAACTGGGTGTGTTTCAGTGGTGTAAACTGTATTTTTCAATAGGGTGGTTCTATACTTAAAGGAAACACCACTGTTTATAGAGGTGGAAACTTGTGATTTTTCTCTCTTTTTTACTGGTCCAAAAGGGTTGTGAAAAGGCAAAGAAGTCCTTCGTGCTGAATGTCAGAAATGAAACATATGCTCTTAAATGTACACATTCATAACTCAAACATAAGAGGGCAGAGCAGGACGGAGAGAAGCATAGCTCTAAGCACTCATGTTGTAGTTCATGTCGCCTTGCAGAGGGTGTTACCTGTGTGATTTCCCTCTGCAGTTTTTCTGTGAAGTCAGAAGTTTTAAAGTTTTGTGAATTTTTTTTTTTTTTAAATGATTGATGTTTTCAAATCGATTACTAAATTTCTCTCCTGTGTATGCCCACCTGCCAGACAAATATGTTTAGTGTTAAGAGGCTTAGGTAAGTTAATAAAAAAAAAAAAAACAAGACAGAAGGAAAGAGAGAGCACCGGTTTTTGGATTCACTCCACAAACGGTTTAACAGCCTTTTTAATAACAGCTTGATTACATCAAACTAAACGGGGCCAAACTGGATTTTCGGTGCTCAGAACAGCTGTAGCCCTGTGCCTAGTGGTCAAATGAACACTTTCCTTGGGTTGCCTTGTGCCTGTTCAGATACATAGAGTATAAACAGTGGCAGGACTGCGGAGACATGGAGTTTAATTGCTGTGGGAGGTGTTGGAGCAGTTCACATTGCTGAAGCAAGCTGTATCAGGGGACTCTCAGCTCAGCATCAGCAACCACCAGCTCCAATTTTCGATGGCCAGTTCACTCTTTATTGAATGTAATTTTTACCGCTGCGTGTCACAGCTAAACCCTCCCCCGAGCCCAGCGCTGCAGCGGTGTCTGCATATGTGCAGGGTTATTTTTCGGTCATGTAACAGGATTAAGCTCATTTCCTACATCTATAAATGTCTCATATTTTCTGGATCCTCTAATAGCAGTGTGCACCTGTCTGCGGCTGCCAGTGGAGACAATAATAAAGGAGGACTTTAAGATGGTAATATCATCAAAATTGCTTTGTGTCCAGCCAGGATGATTTTTTATGTTTACAGTCAGTCTGTGCAGCATCTGCAGCGAGCTGTGAAGGGTCATATATGTGTGGTGTGGAGAGAAGAGGAGGTATTGGTTGTGATTTGTGCTGCAGGTGATTGTGGAGAATAATCTTGCCTATGAGCAGAGATTTTTTTGTTAGTAAGTGTCATATTCTACGAAATGTTCTCGTGCCATTGGTTGTGGTTTGACAAAAGATGTGAAAAGCTGACAAAGACAAGTTCCCTGGAATAGCTCGTAGGTTGAGTTAGATGGCTTTGAAGTTGTAGTTTGTAGATGATTCAGGGCTTTGCATTATTTGTTGTCAAGAGGGGCTGGGTATCATCCAAGATTTTAACAAAAAATGTCTTTTTTCTACAAGATAACTTTGTTTTAATTATAAAAATTATTTTTAAAAACAACAAAAAAAGTGTCTGACATCTAAATGTCAATTGAGAGCAGGTGGAACATTAATGATAAAATGTACAGCTTCAGTTATTTATAATGCAACAGCGCAAAACTTACAAACAAGAGATCAAAGTTTTGGGGAATTCAGTTGACTTAGAGCTCCTAAATATAAATAAATAAATCAGCAAACTGTTTTAATACAAATAAAAATGTTCCTCTTGATGATGGATGTACAGCACTGCTGTTGCATTTGATGAACTTTAAGTAAGGTTTTCCTGATAAACTGGCAGCTTTGTCTGCAAAGATCGAAATAATCAGATTGACTAATTTCAGACCCACTTTGATGAAAATCATGTTTTTCTTTTTGTCTACATGTTCATATGGCATTTTTCTGATGCTACAGAACTTATCATGAGAAAACTCAGCGCAAAATTGCATTTCTGAGTATTTCTGCTTTCAAATCACTGTGAACCTCTCAGAGACCCAAACGGCAGGTTCAGACAGTGTGGGACTTCCTATGTCATGACAAAACAAGTGTGTGTGTAAACGAATTGCAATACTCATAAGAAAGCTAATTATGATTTTAACTTTCATCATGTCCCCCAAAGACATACGTGTCCAAGAGCTGAATAGCTCCTATGTTACCTGCCACTTCTGCTGCACTGGCAATGTTAGGCTGCAAGCAAGTGTGACGACATGGGTGCAGAGCAGTGCTGTTTACGCCCATGACTCAGAATTGCTAATGAGCTACTGGAGCTCTGCAGAAGAAAAACTTTATAATTACAATTTAAGGAGCACTGAGACCACAAAATAATTTTTAAAAAATCGGAGTGGGATTTTAAGTGAATGACATGACAAATTTTTTCATCACATTGATGCAAAATTCTGTAAGTCTGTAAGTTTTGCCGTTAAGCAGTTTTCAGTATTTGGCAGCTACTTTGACAGAAATTGGATAAAAGTAACTCTGAAAATGAAGAGGAGAGCTCAGATTTTGTACATTAAAATTTCTTGGCTGTGCTTCCCAGGCGCACTTGACTGTTTCTGATGCAACAGATTTATTTTGCTCTGGTTGCAAACAGAAGTTTGGTTTGATGCTCAGCCCCGGTTTATGCATTAGTTTTGCATGTTGGTAGAAGAGTCTTGGAAAAAGTAGCCGGTTTGGTCAACAACAGCTAGAGAACTGTATAAGAGATTTAATATGTAGTCTGAAGAAAACCGTTTTTAAAACTTAAGGAGATTTTTCACTCATTTTGGTTCTGCTGTAGGTCTTTTTCTGTTGAAATAAATGATCAGATGTTTATTACTTGTGATTGTAACACACTGAAAGTGCATACCCCTGAAAATATAATACATGTATATTTCTGATACCATTGATTACTTTCCAATGCACAGAGCATGCAAATCAGGATCAGGGCTATTAGTCTTAAACTGTCTGTGCTGTACTGTGCTGCAAGTAGACACCGTTTTCATCATATTTTGAGAAGGATTGTGCTATAACAATTTATTTTGATTTACTTTAGTGGTGTTTTGCAGATTGTAGTGCATGCTTGTAGGTAGGGGGGCCCCTACAAGCTGTGGTTCAGCTAACAATAGATTCCTGGGAGCACTTGAGGAGGTGCATTTCCTTCTGAAATTTCATCCTGGTATCAAAACATTGTGCCAAATTTCATCTTGTGTTAATGTCTTAAAAAGGTTAAATATGGAGGGTGAGGGAGACTAGTGATAGCAGGACCTCTTGGGTGCTACAGTTTATTTCTGGGATGCTTTAAGTGGAAAATGATTACATTTTGAATCCCTCAATTTTATTATCACACCTGTGAAGAGGTTGGAAAATAACAGAAAAAGAACTGCTAACACTGTTTCTTACATTTTTCCCTCTCAGCCTCTTTCTATTCTTGTTTCTCTTGAGGCCTGATTTTTGTGTTTTTTTTTTTTTGTTTTTTTAACTTAGTTTTGTGGGAATTGCTGCACCACACTGCCTCTAACAGATTGTAAAACATTATGTTTCCCGTCTGCAGCTTCTTACAGCATTCTAGGAAGGAGGAAGAAGAAAAAGATGCATCTGTAACTGGGCATAATAAGAGTGAAAGTCCTGTTTTACCCCAAGCAGCCTTGGGGTATCTTTTTTTGAGTTGATTTGTTAGCGAATTCTCTTCTTCTTACACTTGAACTGCTCTAAAAGTAGACCATTTGTATGATTTCAGTTGTTGTAATTTGTCTTTTTTTACTGTGTAAATAAAGTTGTTGTCAAGGTATCTGTCTCTGACTCACCTGTTTATTCATGAGGATGTAGATGAGAGGGTTGATGACCGTGCTACTCTTAGCCAGCAGTGAAGGCACCACGCTGGCCACAGGGCTGATGATGCTGGGTGGCCCGAATGTCGCCATCATGGCCACGATACCGTAAGGCATCCAGCACAGCAGGTAACAGGCCGCTGTGGTCAAAACCATGAACAGAATGTGGTACTCTCTCTTTCGTGCGGCTGTCTTTCTGATCTTCCCCACCTGCAGAGAGAGTTGTGGAGGGTTAATGAGGCAGCACATCCAGCTGAGATTTTTTCCATAATCACCACCCTGAGTAGTGAAGCGCTCCTTTCACCCAAAAGAAGTGAATCATGACAGCTTTGATTCATTTCCAGGTCTCAGGACAGCAAGTGGTTCCTTTGATTTCACTGTAATTTCAATCGTTTGAAACCTTGAACACTTGAAGGAGCAGAGGTGTTTTTAGACAGACATCAACCTGAGAAACTTTGTTTTAACCTTGCATTCATAGCAGCCGATTGCATAAGCCACACTGCTGCTCCTGTCAATGAAACCGACTGAAATCCAAGAGATGGTATGAAGACATCAATATAGAGGAGGTTTCATTAGACTTAACCTTTCATTCTTGACACACAACAAGACACAAGGGAAAAAAGGTCAAACTCTGAGACTTGTTAAACACTGATATAAAAGCAACCCAGTCTATCAGTATAAAGGGCGTAAAAAGATACACTCAATCTCCCCGATGTATTAGGTCAATAACTTAAACTGGTGAAAGTTCAGTCCCTATTTGTCCCCTTTTATAAGGAGTATAGATAACTATTAACATGACTATGTCTCAAACACCAAACAAATATGTAGTAGAGGATGTCAATTCCATGTACTTCAAAATGACACAATATCTGTTAATTCTCTGTTCAATGATATTAAAAAGCAGCAATCCATATGATAAAACAAACAAACAAACAAACAAACAAACAGACAAAGGGATCTTTTGTCCAATTTTCAATCCAAAGCTGTCGCGAGCAAAAGAAAGACATAGAGTGAGCAACAGTGGCCAATCAATACTAAGATAAAGTAAAGACAGAGAGCACTGCCAGAGACATCAAAGTGGGGAAAGTCAAAAAAATATATATTTTTTCATATAAGTCACTGTCTGGAGAACGTATGTGTGCACACCTCTGCACAAACACAAAGATTTTGTGTGTCTCTGTTCTCTTCTCTGTCACAGCCACTCTGCTGTTAACTCTCCCTGTTAATAGTTCAGTGGATACTGAGGCTTGACTGGTCCTTTTACCATCCAAGTAAGTCACATGGTATACATAAGACTGTTAAAAGACAGACAGCAAACTGAGTGAAGTGACAAGGTCCCAATTTGCTTATCAGCTCCATATGACTGCAGTGATTGACATATGATCATTGCTGAGCAAATTAACAAGAAAACTGCCTCCTCTGAATCATGAATAAATCAGAGGTTATGCTTTATTATGGATAAATATTATCATTCCTGGGAAATTTGTATTCATTTAACCTTTTACTATTGTTGACAGTATGTCTAATGTTAATCTGTATTCAGTGACTTTTTTCTGTACAAGCACGATGTGGTTAATAAAAATGAACCATTTTCAGTAAACATGAATTCATCTTTTGGTAACCATGTAACATTGACTGACATGATTTGAGCTTTACTATTATCAAATTGAAGGTCCTAAATGTTTTGCTTTGATCATTTGGAAATGCTGACTCGGTCTAACTTCAGATTAACCTGAACACAGTTAGCTTGAGAGGCCTCCTGCTGAGCATCTACAACGCACTGTCAACTCAGCTGTTTTCCTAAGTAGGCAAATTTTATACAACTCTTGGCTTTACTGAAATCAACACTAGTAAGTTTTAATAAAAGGTTTAAAGTAAGATACTATCAGCTAGACTCTCTGAGTGTCAAGTAAAAGGCAAAGATAATAGCGGAAAATGGTTTTGATACCTTCTTATTCACTTCTTGCCTCTTCATTATGTATTCTCAGGAATTGTCTAGTTGTATATCCTAATCCAATTTAAAACTATTCTAACATCACTTACTGCTACTTTAACACCCACCTCTGAAGCTTTTTTCCAGCCATATCTTACTCGGACATGATCAGATTAGCTCACGAGAAGCAGAAATTGCTGACAGCTCACTGCATGATGCACTGAAACACCTGACACATCCAACTGAGCGCAGCACTTTCTCACTACTCTGTGTGAGACTCCCTCACATTTAAAGCGAATGGTTTCAAGTTCACACGCTTGAAGGCTGGGTGGATGCCAGCTGAAGCTCTGCTCGCAGATGTTTTTGTTACTCAAGCAGGGGAGCTCCATTTCAGGAAACATCTATTTAGAGACTTATTTGAACACATAATTTCGGCCCCTCTCTTTTGGAGGACTGCGTCAGTTAATTGTTGTCATTTTCCTGTCAGTCTGCTTTATTTCGGCAAATGAAGGTTTCCATTAACACGTCGGGAGCCAGAGGGGACTTGAGGTAGCCTGTTGCTGCAGCTAGAAAAAACCTGGACCAGAGTCGCAGAAACTCATCACATTGCCCAAGAAAACAGTCAGGTGATGGACATTTTTTCCTGTTCCCTGTGCATTTCACTTGGTGGTTTTGAAGTTAATAAAGCTTTTGTCATTTGACTAGACTGCTGATGATTACTGTGGATTTTTATGAAATAGAATTGAGTCAGCGTGTGTTTTCATACCAAATCTACATCAACTGAACTCTCACATTTGTTTTTGAGAGGTCACCAGCTTCTCATCCCAGTTGAGATTTTAAAGCCTTCAGACCAAAAACCAAACTAACAGGACAATTAAAATATCAACAGGACAACTGTATATCAAAATATACAGTTTGATCATGATCGGTGTGCTATAACTTTTCACAAATTCTCACAAAAAAACCTGCAGAAATATTTTGCACTTAAGTCAATGGGACAAGCCCAAGTTATGAATTTTTTTCAATGTAACAGTTTTGATGTGGGGGGGAAACCGTAGTGATCCTGGGAAAACCCCACATACTGTAGCTGCAGTGATTCAGTATCGAGTCCTGATGGACAGAAACCAGATGGCTTTTGTCCATGAGGACTCAATACTGAACAATTACGCTACCTGTGTGTTGGGGGGATGGTCACACCTGATTCTGCCCCTGTTGCTTGTTCCTTGGAGTCATCCACTTCTCAAACCTCCGCCATGATGAGACACGCTCCATCTCACGTGCTCTCTTGATCTCCTCCATGGCATCACGGATCGCCTGAATTCTTCTCTGGATCTCCTCAGTGGCCCCCTGGATCTCCTCTGATGTATTTTGGTTGGCTTCAGGTGTTTGGGTATATTGTTCCTGATGCAGTGGTGTGACATCCACAGGAGTGTCTCCCTTGCTGTCCTTTTCCTTTGTCACACACTCATAGAGCTCTTCTTGCTTGAATCCATCCACTTCCCTCTGTAGTGTCTCATTAGCCTTTACCTGAATGATCAGTTGGGAGTTAAGCTGGGGGATGCTGTTGGTCTTCTCCAGCTCTAACTCTAACCTCTCCAGTTTCTCTGTACCTTTCTCACTGCTCTCTGCCTCCTTCTTAAGGATCTGGATCTCCTGTTGAGGAGCCTCTTTTTCTTCAGTCAATCTCTGAAAAATGGGTCGCGCGAGCTGATGCTTGGCGCCCTCTAATTATTTTTCCAGGACTGCTTTGTAACAGGTTTCACTTTTCAGCTGGCTGCTCAAAGCTGCAACAAGCACCAGGAGCTCTTCCTTGGTCTTGTGCTCATAAATTGATATCTCCTGAGCTGCATTAAAGAAAGGTGTCATTTTTGCCACCTGTTTTTCTGAGGCCTCTTTTTCTGCTTTGCCGTCTTTGCTCTCTCACACTGAAGAAGGTGCTCCATGTCATTCACACGACTCCTAAGGTCTCGGTTCTGACTCAGCCATAGTGGTATATTGTACAATGTTTCACCATCAGGGGCCTGCTGTTGACTGTGGGAGGCCTGTTGATCAGTAAGGGCCTGCTGTTGACCATTTGAAGCCTGCCACTGTGCATCGGGGGCCATTGATCATTGGCGGCCCATCACTGTCTATTAGGGGCCTGCCAGTGTCGATTAGGGGCCTGGTGTTGTCTGTTTGGGGCCTGCCACTGTCCATAGGAGGCCTGATGTCGTCCATTGTAGTAGTAGTAGTAGTAATACTATTACTCACTATCTGTTACCAACAACTATGGGCTTACCTTAAAGTTTTATCACCTTCGTTCACTAAGGACTCGAAGAGGAAAGGTAACGCATACTTCAGTGTTACATTGGCATTTGAATCTATATTTAAGTATGAACTAATGCTTAAGTAATGTTTCACTAATACTTTTAATATTTATTCTAATACTTTTTCCAAACTGGTGAAAAAGGCTGGCTCTGTGGTAGGACTCAAGCTGGACTCAGTGGCGGATGTAAAGGAGAGATCTACACTGAGGAAGGTGGAGACTATTCTTAAGAACATGGATCACCCACTTCACAACACCTTGATGGACCAAAGGGCAAATGGTGGTGGATGGTTCCTCTCTCTTCGCTGCAGGACAGAAAGATTCAGAAGATCTTTTGTACCAACAGCCATCAGGCTTTATAACTCTTGTGTAAATAATAGATAACTTTTATAGACATATTATGTGAGACAACAGACAATTGAATTTCCCTTCAGGGATCAATAAAGTTCGTCTTATTCTTCTTATTCTTCTTCTTAAATACAACCGTTTCGCCTGAATTAGACAATTCTTCAAATTCACAAATCTCTGATTTAGAATTTTTTTCTTTTGCATATAGACAGTAACGAAAGGCATGGTTCAAATTAAACTGTAAGTGTAGCAACAAGTGTGAAATGTGCATACAGTATCAAAAGTTGATAAGAGAGGGATAAGACAGCACCATAACCTTGGAAGACTGGCACTTCATGTAATGATCTATCAACTGGAGTGCTTCTTACTTTCTTTTGAAAGGACTTCAGAGTGCGTTTTACACAAAAGGAGTATTTTCCCAGAAACCACTTTGAGTGAAACTTGTCAAAGAGAAGAGTCTGTGTGGCAGGTACAGACAGGAGAAGCTACAAAGTCTGAAAGTGATCACAAAGAAAGTGAACATTTCGTGGAGACAGATGTGATAAAATGGGAGTCTTTACTTTGATAGAGGTGTACTTTTCTCTTCTGGACCAGGTTACAGGTTACTGGATTGAGCTACATTATAAAAGGAAAGCTGAGGGCTGTTTTTAGCATCCCCCAGACAAAAAGAAATCCCCAAAATGCTCATAATACCTTACAGGAATGTGCAAAAGGTTCTCTATTTTGTACAATGTGTGTACGTGTGTGTGTGTGTGTGTGTGTGTGTGTGTGTGTGTGTGTGTGTGTGTGTGTGTGTGTGTGTGTGTGTGTGTGTGTGTACCTGTTGATTGAATCTCTTTGAGTGTCTGCAGCTGGTGCAACTACAGGTTTCATATATTCAGTTATTTCATCTTAAAGGAAGAAAATCAATTTCCATCTTCTTTATTTTGTGATCAGGGGTGTTCACTTTGAACAGACAGGCAGATGCTGCTTGACGTCATTAGAGATGAAACCTTTTTTCTACACCAGATTGTTGTTTCATAACCCACACTGCACTGCAGTCAGTGAAAAACAGTTGATAGTGAATGACGCACAAACAGGACCCCTTAGTGCCTTTCAGCCTTTCAGTCATGACTCTGGACAGAAAAATGTGCAATTTGGGTGAAAAGAGTGCATCAGTGATTTAATGCTTTAAGTTATGTAACCTAAAATCTGCCCCTACCACATTATTCCTAATCTCATTACCAACAGTATCTCCCTAAAACTACTCACTTGAATGTATAATTGCTTTGTAAAATGGACTCTGTCAGCTAACATTATAAGTAGTCTGCATGAGCTCATTTTCTCCGGTGCTTAAAAGTCAGAGAACAAAGTAATGACTACAAAGTGAAATCAATTTAGCTAATTTGGCCCACACAGGGGTAATTATAGGTAAAGGGCACTTTGTGAGAGCTGCTTATTGACATAAGAAGGTCACTGCTAACAGGGAATATCATTTATGTGGGAACGAGCTGTCCAGCTGCTTCAGGAGACCCCAGATTCAGCCAAAGGAAAATCCCTTTTCGAGTAATTATGCTCATAGATAGCAGTGCCAGAGCAGCATATCCCTCTCATTCACTGTGCAATTGTCCTCTAATAATCTTTATTTGTGCAGCACTTCAAAGACTGAGGTCCAAAGCCTGCGTGGCTTTAGGCTTTGTCAAGGCAGCTCAGCTTTATGCGGCTTAATGCTCTGCCCCCCCCTACCCCCAGCCCCCTTGCTCTCACGAGTGAATCATTGAGAGTGTAAGTAAATCTCTCCTGGGAACTTTGCAAAACTCACTGTACCCATCAGTGCCATGATTACTGGTGTAAAGTGATGTTCAGTGACTGGTGTAAAAGAGGTTCAACAAGTCCCTCTTCACCTCTTCCTGTCTGGGCCGAGTTTAACCGTATTGCTGAGACAAAAAACAGTGTCTTGTGCTGTATGTACACAGTTACTTTTAAGGGAAATAAAGTACTAATCTTTTAAACATATTGAGTTCTTCTTAAATTTTGGCACAGCTTACAGAGTATGAAAGTCTAAAGAGGTTTAAACTCCAGCAACATTACCGGCACTAACAAACACATTATTGTCAGACTCAGCTTGTGGCCTTTATCCAGGCCTCCCAAATGGCTGTGCGGACCTGAATAACAATCAAGTTGTTCACTTCACACATATAAATGAAGTTTTACCAATGACAAAAGTAGAGAGGGCTTAAGTCCCCAACAAGGTTTATCGGCTTCAGGCTAAAGACAGCAAGAACCCCCATGGGGATGTTTCCCTGCAGTTTATCAGGCTTATTTAAAGTTTCACATTATGTTAAAAATGGACAAAACTGACTGTATGTGGCTGCTACTTTGGAGATAGGCGAAAACACTCATAGTTGACAGGAATTAAAGTATTTTTGGCAGATTAATCACCATCTCAAGTGCACGGTTGGATTGACTTTTCTTGATTAAATCAAAGTTGACAAAACATACGGAAGATACCTGCAGATATGAGGGTAATTACAGCTGCTCGCTGCAATGCATTATGGTCTGTCTACTGGTGTGAGGAGTGTATCTATAACTTTCTGTGATAGATATCTGTGTGATCCATGGTCTGTCATCCAGCCTGACATTTACTGTTGATGTATGCACACCGGTCTCACATTTCATCAAACCTGCGATGCACTAAAGTCGCACCATCACATCTGTCACCATGCACTGCTTCTGTTTGTCAGCTGTCTGCTTGGTATGGAGATCCCAGCTTTTCAGAGTGATTGACGGGAACCCTTTCACCTTTCTCCAGTAGAACCAAACGTGTGTCAAAGTTGTCGGGACAGAAAAGTGAAAAGATTTTTTGGATGTATTTCCAGAAAGAGAAAGTTTATTGTGCAACAACAAAACTCACCAAGGTCTTAACTTTTGTAAACGTTTGAACTCATCTGTTCTTCTTTGTGGATCAGCTTTGATCAACAAATACTTAGAATAAACCATGGGTTGATTATTCATAGGACAGAGAGGAAAAATATACATTAACATTTTTCAGGTTGGAAGGTAGCAGAGTTTTATATAAGGGAATAATGTTTAAGTCACAGCAGACAGGAGATTCAGACACATACTCTAAAATATTTCCTTTTTACTGTCAGACCTGAGTGAGGGTTTGATGTGGCTGCTAATACTAACGGCTAATTATCTTTATATGCATCTGCTATTGCCTTTTTTTGTTGTTGTATCTGCATTTGCAGAGTGACTCAAATTCAAACAATGAGTCATATCTTTCAGCTGGGGGGATTATGTTTGTCTTGCTCCACAGGTAGCAAAAGACACTTTAAAAATTACAAATGTTTTTGTCGATTGTAAAAATATTTTGCACCTCATGTTTAGCAGCTGTAGTCGTCATGGCAGCGGTCATTCGTTCATCTCTATCACTCTTTACTGCATGTTTTCCCCACTCACTGCTCCCAACATTCGTCTCTCTTCAGCTCTCCTACTGAAGGAGAAAACACCCAAAACATAAAACTATTCTTTTTCACACCTGTCAAAGATAGCAACAAAAACTTGCCATGCAGTGCAGAGTATCAAAGATCTATTTTCCACGAATCAGGTTCTTTTTCCTCACCATTTTCTCTTCAGGCATGAAATGGAGATAAACCAAGTTACATTTGACTTTAAAAATAGATCCTCCTTTTTCGTCTTGCCTTCAAGGGCAAACTTAAGGGTGTATTTTTAACAACTGGGTTATATACTAAATGTAAGGGACAAACACTACCATCTGCTGCCAACCCGCCATCCCAGGAGAGAGCAGATTCTATTGCAGAAAGATGGGAGGACTTTCCTGATATTTTCTGGTCCCCTAGGAGACCAGAAACGCTGCAAGAAATGGCTCTTTCTTGGCCTATTTCAGGGGGGGAGTTGGCCTCCTGGGCTGTTGCATAGTGAGTAGACATGCAAGGGCTGGTAAAGGTCTTGGTGGCTGACTTGTTTTCTTGAAGGCTACCCTGGACAACAGATAAATGTTTATATTACCCACAGGCTCTCTGACTTTAATGTGCATCAGAGGAGTCAAGCTATCAGAAACCCCCACCAATCTATTTCATGTTTCAGCCTGCGTGAAGTTTCCTCTAAATTAGGTTTGAAATCAGAGAGATGAGTGCACGTTATCAAGTTATCTTTCACCACTTTCATATCAGGCCAACAGTGTTCACTGCTCCAAGGTTGGGTTATTATTGAGGGTCAATTTGAGCGAGTTTGAGTTCAAGATTTCACATCACACACAGAAAAGGAGCCGAAACACACCAACACATATATCCGCGCTCTTATATGCCCCTACCTGTTTGACTGCCCATAGTAGCCTGCTGTAGCAGTAGATCATCACCAGCACAGGAATCCCCAGGCAGAAGATGAAGAGGCAGACGATGTAGGCGTGAGACTGAGCAGTTCGAACCGTCCAGGACACAGAGCAGCTGGTTCCTGCCCCCTCAATGCCGTAGCTGCTCCAGCCCAGCAAAGGGGGTACAGTCCAGAACAAAGAGTACAGCCAGGAGCCCCCGACAGCCAGCAGGGGCTTACGGTAGTTCGGTCCACGCTTGTTGTAAACAGTCAGAGTGCTGTAGCGGTCATAAGACAGGATGACCAGAGAGATGAGCGAAACAATACCTGAGAGAGACAGAGAGACAGCAATGAGTCATCTGGATCGACACCTGAACTCTCCTTCCAAAGTACACACAGAGGGAACAGTTGACAAGTCAAAAGTGATTTTTGCTTTTTTTGTCAAGCAGCATTAAAAGTTTTGAAGTTTTGAGTTTGAGCTACCACCTACAAGCTAAGAATGCATGTGAAGCTTATCATACTGATGCAATACTATCTAGCTGCAGTCCCCCTCATGTGCCAAAGCTCCCTGCATGCCAAAAATGTCTCTGGTGTGCCGGAAGTGAAATATATTTTATTTTCAAGTGACAAAACAACAATCAAACAATATTTTCTTTATAGAGACAATGTTGAATGTGATGTAAACAATACAACTTTTAGTCATATCAGCTCCTATCTTGTTTTAAATCAGGAGGATAAACTATAACACCAATTGTAAAAGGGTACTTCATAATCATAATGAAATCATACTTGATGGCTGTTGTGAGGAGTTTTTTTAATGTTTATAAAACCGACTGAAAATCAAATCAATGTCTATTCATGATAAACAAAAGCAAATGATCATCTGCAACAACAGTGACTGCTTTTATTTTGCCATTTTTAATACCTGAAACCTGTGCAAAGGCATAGGTGTCAGCTGAGCAGTTGAATAAACCACCTGGTTTTTACAACTGCTCAGCTGACACACTTCAAATATTCCTAGCAAAGGCTATATTGGATTGTAAGAAGTCAGCTGGATGAGATTTTTGAGGAAAAAAAAAATCAGAGGACAAGACAGGAGGAGACAAATTGACACAAACAAACAAAAGAGATTTAAACAACTATGGCAAGCTAACATGCCACACATCTTTTTACATTGTCACACTCATACCTGTCCCCAGGGGTGAAAGTAGGATAAGGTTCTTGCAGGTACTGTACCCGTAGGCTTTGTACAAGAGGAGCACACCCAAGTTTAACAAGGTGCCAACGCTGATAACACAGTATCATCATCTGCTGCATCTGTATTTCTCCAGAACATAAAATCAAAATTTCTCTTCATTTTGTTTTATTTCTGCATTAAGATTGCAGCAGCTGTCTTTTCAAAAGTTCCCTCTTTCCCCAAAAGGCGGTCCCCAGCACCTAGGCAACCAGCGTCCAATCAAAAGTGCGCACCGAGCGCTTCCCACAAGTTTGGTTTGTTTGTTTGCGGAACTAAGTACGACTCACTCGCCAGCAGCATGGTCCTACTGGATTACTACGGTTACAATGCAGAGTGCAGACTGTTGTGCGGCAACACGGTAAGCAAATGTATCTTACTTACATTGCAGGGGTGAAAGTTTGCGTACCGGCCGTGAACTGCTGTTTATGTCTCCCCGGTACGCGCTATTTTTTGTAGGACGGTAGGAGAAAGTCCCGCCTTCTTCGCCTCTGATTAGCTAGAAAAGCTGGAAACGGCATCACACGCTCTAACCAAACGCAGGCTGTCAGCTCTGTACACCAAACAGAACATCACAGAACATTATCGAACTTCTGGATCTCCTAACACTACAACGTTTCACAGCCACAAGGAATAACCCATTGGAGCCCAGCACTTCTAGCCAATCAGAGGCGAAGGAAGGCGGGACGTTCCCCTATCAACCTACAAAAAAATTGGCTCCAAGTACTGCGTACCACTGCGTACCAAACCAATGAAGAAACATATTTTCAGTATATGATAGATGTTATCATCAAACGTTTGCAGGATGAGATTTTTGAAGCAGAAACTACTTTAGTTTGTGGTTGAGAAGATAAGCTGAGACTGTTGTGCACAGTCGGTGCCAAAATTGACACAAGCACAAGGTTTTGAGGTGCTGTGAATTAAGGTAAATAATAGTTTCAGTTGTCAGAGCCAAAATATGCTAAAGTTAGTCAGAGGACTGTCCCAATAGGAGACAAAATCCAATAAAACCCAAGTTCTTTCATAAAGAAGATTTAAAACAGTTCAAATTTATCAAAGAGCTGCACAACCAGGACATAAAAACCATAAAAACAGCAGTTCAAATTTTAATGATTTCAATTACTTTGAGGGAACTCCCCAAAGGATAAACAAAGTTTTATCTAATCTAATTTTATACAGAGACAATAATACAATAAAAGTTAAGACTAATAAATAAAAGGAAAACAATTAAAAAGGGAATGTTTGTGCTAAGCCAAACGCCCAGGGGTTTTGAGATCTGATTTAAAAACCGGCAGTGAGGCATATGGAGGCAGAGCTTTCCAGAGCTTTGGAGTTCTAACTCAAAAGCTCGGTCCCCCTAAGCTTCAATCCGGACTATGGGCCAACCAGAAGCAACTGGTCTGCAGATCTGTGAGCTCTTGATAAACAGTAAGGTTTTAAAAGGTCTGAGGGATAGGCAGGAGATAGCCCATTGAGGGATTTGAAGACCAGTAATGAAATTTTTAAATCAATCCCAAAACACAGGGAGTCAATAACAGGAAGACAGGATGGGTGATGTGTGCTTCAGCGTCTATTTGCCACATAAAAGACAAGGTACAGTGTCCTGAAGAAAGTGTAGATGAGACTGAGAAGCTTGACTAACACCAATGTTAAGTGCATTACAAAAAGACAAGTGGTGATAAAAGCATGCATAACCTTTTCAAAATCGTCAAAATATGTAAGGACTTGCTTGACCCTGTGTGAAAACTGCAGGTGGAAAAAACTTGATTTTACAGCCGTGGTTTTTTGTTTGTTTGTCCATCTTGACATTCTCATCTCTTAAAGTGCTCATTTTTTTCACAGAGGGATAAAATAATGATTCAAAGGGGGAATGGTCCGAGCTGGAATTATTACAACCTCCACTGGGTGAAAAATTAATGAAGTTCCTCTTTCCCCTAGGTATAAAATTAACTGATTTTACCAGTGATGCCTCTTTACCAGTGATGACTTACAAAAGTGAACAAGAAAGTTGGCTGCGAGACTGAATATTCTTAGATTGTTATTATTAGTGCCCTTAACTGCTATTAGGGGGTCGATGTCAGACCAGACATCTGACAGTACAAGCAAAGAGCGATATGTTTGTCTGTTTAGGGAAGAAGGGTGAGATTTTTATTTATTTTTTTACCAGAAAACACTTCTTCAGGCTCATTTAAGCACAATGTTAGTGTACTCCTTCCTCCTGTGTTAGCTTTTACTACGCACCCACCATGTTAAGGGTCGGTTTTGACCCGTGTCTTATATCTGCTGTAAATTATACTAAAAACAATTCTCTAGCATCCAATTTGGTTTTCATCTCTAGATGACCTTGTTCGGCTTCATTATCCATAAAAATATCGCTTATAATATTTTTTGTAGTGGGCCTCTGGACCTTTCTTTGTCCCTTCACACAGATATCTATACTGAATTGATCTCACATGTCTGGACATGCCCAACGTTGTTTTTTGTGCTGGAAAAAAACAGGCAAAATGAGAATTTCCTAAATCTCACATGATTGGAAGAGGATCTGACTGTCAGTGTGGCGCCTGACAGTGCACTTATGATTTCAGTTTTTGCTCTAATTATTAGATATTTATTTAATCAGGTCAACAGTGACCCTAACACAAGTGCCATCATTTTAATAAGAGCATTTTATAATTTAGTCAACTTAATTTTTGTTTTTTTTTGTTTTTGTTTAAATAGAGGTTACTGAGAGAGTCAAAAAGTCTTGATGCAAGAAAAACTTATTTAAGTGTTTTTTTTTAAGCATTTAAAATAAAATAAAAAACGGGTCGGTACAGACCCTAACACAGGAGGAGGGATACAGATACAGATGGAGCCTTCTGTCAGTGCTCAGTGTTCATTATACCCGTAGTTCTAGATATCCATAGCAAGCTTGAGTATCTGGCGGTACAGCTCAGTGTACCCAACGCTGCCTCCCAATTTGCCTCTTTCTGAACAGATACATAATTAATGTCTCCTCCATTGTGGCCTCTGTGCCAGTTAATTTTGTTAATGAAAATCGTGATTAATGTTCGTCAGAGGCCCCTTTTTTTCCTTGAGGAAGACCAGATGATGAGAATACTAATCTACATTATTACTGATGAACACGAGTTTTGATTTCATTAATGAGAGAATGATGGGACGTAAATGTTTGAGGTGAACCTCTTTCCCCACTGCACGTCTAACCTGTCAACTAAAGTATGAGAAAATCCATTCCTGTAACAGGCTGAGTTAGCTGGGGGGGCCACAAGTGCACTGTCGGGTCTCATAAATCCTCTCTGCCCCTGCACTCCTCCCTCTTTTTAATTTATAAACTTTTCCTGATGCATGATGATGACAAAGGCACAACCAGCCGTTGGGGCAACTTCACTTTAAAATATTTATCTTTTCTCACAAGAGTCTAAAAAAAATAAAAAGTAAATATGTAAAAAGAGAATAACAAAACATTGTTTTATTCTGTTAAATGTTCTGTTTTTATCAGCCATTATATTAGTTTTTGTTGTGACACCAACAACACACAGCTAGCCCCTTGTTGGTGTCACCAAACTCATATTCATTCACATTCAAAAACATCTTTTCTGTGTCATCTTGAACTTACAGTACATCTGAGTTTGCTTTGAAGCCCCGAGAGCAGCATGACAAGACAAGCAAACAGAATAACATTATTTCTCAGTGACAGCCCCGTTTTCCAGTGCTGTAAATCAACCCGAATGACAACAAAGCGTTCCCTACACTCAGCGATGGTAATAATACCACTCAAGTCTGCGACTGTTAGTTGTACACCAACATAAGAAGATTTGAGGGCTTTGATTCTGACTTCAAATCAGGAAAAGCCTTCCTATGAAACTCATTCTGACTCTCAGCATCAATTCTCATTCTGAACAAGTTCCCATGAGGCTGCGCAGAAGAGGGGAAGACTAACCTGTGAGGCTGTACCCTGATACTGTATGCACGAGTTGTTTCTGCTCCATGCACATCTCAAGTTCACTCACTGCATACTAAAATGAAAACCCCCTTACTGGGGTGTTCTGCCGAAGGCTGTTTGTTCATAGGGACGAAGATTAAAACTCAGTGAAAGCTCAACCTTTGTTTATCCTTTATCCAACACAAAGTCTGACAATGTGTCCACAGTGGTGGGCTCAGGCTGCCTAGGGGCGAAAAAACGCATGAGAGTGTAGTAAATAGTCAAACATGTGGGACATCCTTTATGGCCACTAAAGGACACCCAAGAGAGCCCATCACCATGTTTTCTGCCGTGAATAGAGCCCCAAACCCTTTTTTTTTTCCACTGGAATAGCACTTTATCACATTTCCTCCTCTTTAAAGGGCACTTTATCGTGTTTTGTTTGTCACACGAGCATCACCCTTTGAGTCCACTTTTGTGTTGTCCAATCACTAAATATTGAAGATACAGCGTCATCCCTTAGAAGTGCATCAGTCAAAACCATCCTGCTTTTAAACAGTGCATTAAAGAGAACAGAGTAGCATTAGATTACATTCAGATTAAATTGGTTATAAAAGCAGTCACAGTGTATTTCATGGAGGACTAAAGCTTCCTGAAATAACCCAACATCTTACCAAATCAAACTCTGTGACCACTTTGAGGTTGTTTTTTTCCTCTCAGGAGTTCATGACCTTTCTGCTTTTTTATCGCTTTAATTCACACAGTCACTTCTGTTGCAAATGATTTTTTCTTCTGGGACAGCATTTTCCTTTAAACTGTGTTTTCTAGACTTGATTTCTGGATTTTCTTTTTTTTTAATAAAACCAATGCATTTAATTCATTTTGCGCTTTTCAAGATACTCAGATACTTTACAAATTAAAATTACACTTTAATTTTAACATGGTAACATGGTCTGGGAGTAGTTGAGTAAACAAGCAGCTAAATTCTAGATGTACTGAAGTTCCTTCAGCACTTGGGATGGTGTACCATAAAAATGCTGTGAGTCAGTTCTGGATGTAATAAAAGTATGGATCAAAGTCTCGGCTTTCTCTCTTGAGAACAAACACAGCACAAACATCTCAAAGACAGAAAGAATAAAATCCTTTTACTACTACTTAAAGCATTTTGTGCAGAAGAAGATGGATAAAACTTCAAAACGAACAGAGCTAACGCAAAACCATTGCTCACAGAAAACAGCTAAATGGATGATCGCGCTTTTGGATTTTCATTAAAAGTGATCGAAGATTATGTATAAGATCTGTTGTAGAGGCGGCATCTCAGCTGACTCATCGTCTCTTCAAAAGGCATCACCACACAGTTTTAAACATCACCACACAGTTTTAAACATCACCACTCAGTTTTAAACATCACCACACAGTTTTAAACATCACCACTCAGCATGAAATCCATAAATGACGCCGATCTAGACAAACACGGTTAGCCCTCTGCTGTTTCATCACACACCTCAGTAACACGATGGGCAGTTCATTTCACAGGGAAGAGGTTAAAAGGGTGTGCTTTTAGAAAATCAGATCCGCAGTGACAGTCACCCACTGTGATGAACTTTTACATGATTGATCATGACCGACATCCTCCCCTTCATTGACCTTTGCGAACTGTTCTCTCAGGAAAACAAAGCAAATAAGATGCTTTTAGATAAACCAACCAAGTATTAGGAGAGATACAGTCACCCCTGCTTTACAGTAAAGCAGCAGGCTGGTTTGGAGGTTAGTACGCCACTGTGCTTAAAATGTGAAAATACAGAATATTAAGATAGCCATTTTTTACAATAAAGGTTTGGACCTTTTTTCCACTTAGCATTGATAAATAGATTGATTCAAAAGAAGCCAAATTCTTCCTTTTGTTACCTTCTTTGTTGTTGCTGATGTTGTCTTGCACAAAAAAAAATCTAAATCAGCATTTATTTAACAGCTAGAGTAAACACTGAAAACTTTTTTCTGCAAAATGCCATCAGACACTCTGTTTCATCATTTCCGTGCATTAGAAATAACTGTGTAGAAAGAGTCTATCTTTAGTATCCGGGTTTTGTTTGCCTTATTAGCTCATAAAAGACACAGCCATTAATTTCAGCCTGTTCCATAACCAGCTAAAAATTCCTCGTAGGAGCTTTAAATAATCTAGACACATCCTTTAAAAATACTGTTTTATAATGTCAAATCTATCTTTAGAAACTTTAGACACTATCTTTAGACACTTTTCATGCTGACGGCATGAGACAGACCTTTGGGGAAAAGTGGGTTATGAAAGATTTTGACATCACTGATGTCTCAAATGGGGAGTGTAATACAAACATTGGAAATCGACTTTTGAAAAAAAGCACATTACAGCTTGATTTTCCTCCAGACTTGTACAATATCACTGACTCAACACTTACACTAGCTATCATTTCTTGCTTGATTGCATCTGTTGGCGTCCCTCAGCTTCTCCTGTCTTGTAGATGTGTGCAGAGTGATTGAAGAAAAATCTCCCTCTGCGAAGTCAAAACTGGCTAGCAAACTTTCCTCTCTGATTTATGCTGGGAAAAACACAGAAAAAGGCCCCAGAGGCCTGAATGTGGCAAATTGCCATGTCACAATCAAACACATAGTCATATGGATGACTGCAAAAAAATGACACATTAGTGGTCTATTTTAGTTGATGGTCTGTTTTGCTTTTTTTGGTCATAAAGAGGGATGAGTATAAAGTTTGGGCTGCTAGATAACTGGTTAAAAGAGCTTTACTGTTGGCTCAAGTTGTACTGATATTTACGAATCAATGTATATTTATTGTGTGTACCTTTAAGCAAACACCTAAATTCCAATGCTGTCTAAAATGTTATTAAAACACAGTGTTTTTGTTGGCAAATCATTTAAACTGTGATTAAGTTAAAGTAGTGTAAAAACTGTACATGATGGACAACTTTCTTCCACTTTCCGTCAGTATAGAGTCTCTGTGATGACACTCAGCTCAAACAGCGTATCCCAGAGTGAGCTATGCAATCTTTGTACACCCATAGGCTGTATCAAGTGTCGATCATAGAAAACATAAACTCCCTAATAACTTTTAAAAATGGAGATGTACAGAAAAAAACAGTCTTACAACATCACATGCAGGAGGGAGAAAATTTTATATTCTGTGTAATAAATTTCTAAAGTTTGTCCACAGCTCCATAGGGATTGCTGGAGGAGGTGGGATTTATGACCTTAACTGCATCCCGTCACCAGAGGGCGCTGTTCTCAGGGTGGCTTTACTCAGCGAGGAGGCAGATGCTGTCCATTCTATATACGGTCTATGGTTTACTTCTTCTTTAACAGCACTACCTAAATGTGACCTGTTTCTAGAGTTTTGACGATGAAAAGATAAGCCTGATTTTAGCTGTAAACAGTTTAAAGACTCCTTCTTGTGAGTGTGGATTTCAGGCAGGTCTGTTTCAGCATACAGAAGGTTCTACTATGAGGCCATGCTGTTGGGCAGAATGTGGTTTTGCTTTGTTTTGCTGAAATATGAGCGGTTATCTCTGAAAAAGGCATTGTTTGGATCACAACATACACTGCTCCAAAACCTGTCTGTAATGTTCAGCAATAATGTGTAGCAATCTGTTAGTGAGCACTTACACATATTTATCCTGTCATGGATTATGGCTTTTAAATTGTACGTTTACAAAATGCTCCTCTTTAAAGCAGAGGATGTGGCGTTTATTATTTCCAAAATAATGACAAATGACAATTTTTCCACTTTGCCCCAGTCCGTCTTCAGTGAGCCCAAGCAAAGAGAAGTCAGCAGTGTTTTTGGATCATGCTGTTTTAATGAGCATTTGTGACTGAAGGGACAAACTGTGATCAGAGAAAAAGGTTTGCAGATGTAATTTTCAGCCACTGTTGTGGCATTTTCCCCTGCAGAGTCATGTCTATTTTTAATATCGTGAGCATGCTACCTGTGAGCATGAAGATTATGACCATCCACTACCTTCCTTTTCCTTTTGTACAGAGATTTCTTCAGATTCTCTGGATCTTTGAATGATATTACTGTAGATAAGTAAAATCCCTGAATGCTTTCAATGCATTGTTGAGGTATTTGATCATGCAGTATCTCACAGAGTGTTAAACTTCTGCCTTGTACCTCTAAAAGACTCAACCTCTATTAAATGCCTTTTTTTATATACCCAAACAGGTGTCTAAATCAACCTGTTTAGTGGGGGGATGTCTCTCCCTGCTTTTTTCCTTTTTAGTGTTAGACAACTTTACAGTACTTTACATTTGTTGCACCTGTCCCAACCTTTTGGAAACATAAACATCTGATATGCTGTCTTCTAGGTAAAGGGTTTAAATGCTTAACAAACCATCAAATTCTGTGTTCATTACCATTATACTGCGGCTGTAAATGCACAGTTTCTCAGTCCTTACGTAGCCCATCTGGAATATTGTAACAGGGATAACATGTACTCTCAAATTTAACATGGAAATCCCTCCTTCATAGCCATCCATTGCTTTATTATGTGAACACAGCCTGAGCCTTAAGCACTGAGCCCTTGCTGACTTTCTCTGACGTCACCCGTGTGATCAGGCTGAGTGTCTGCATGAAAGCTGGTTTAAAAGTTCACCGCTGAGCGAGAAGCGGGGCAGCACTTTGTGAAATCACAGCACTCGAATGACCATGTCTGTGGTCAGCACACGAGGATTATTTTCAAAATGCAGTTAAACGGATTGATTTTATTTGAGTCTTGTTGGGCAAAAACAACTTATCATTATGAGAGCAGCACATATGCACATGCAGTATCATGTGTGTTGCTCCTTAAAGGCTTATTGTAATTCATTGTCAGTGCAAAATCACAATACTGCACACAGGGGGGTTATTCCCTCACGCAAATGCTCCCACGTGTTCACATTTTGAACTTTATTTTGTAAGAACTGTGAGGTATATACTGATATTTGAACCTACAGCCCATGTGTGATGCGGTCAAGCTAGTTTTATTCCTCTGGTTTTATGGTATTTGTACAACAGCCACCATGCCTCCCTGTTTTGAATAATTCAGCCACTTAACCTTTTCATAAAATGAAACAACATATATCTGACCTTTTGAAATGACTCTCTGTTCTCAGTAGACACCAAAAGGTTGTGCCAAAGACCCACAGACAGGTCAGGGGAGTCATGCAAACAGAGGCATTGTTGGTTCTGGTCTTTCCGTGTAATTCAATCAGATAATGTTTGCTTCATTTCAAATCTGATCTGCTGGCACATGTGTACAACACACAATACTATCTGACTGCTTTTACATTCGAATGTTTGGTTTAATGGGCACACGGGTGGCAAACAATAAATGAATAACAGAAGAGAATAATGGCAATGTATGCTTTCTGATTCATCATGTTATGAAAAGTACACAGTGTACTGGGTTGCAGCAAAGGTACATAATACACTGCAATTTCCATGTGAGAAAACAAAGCTGCTGTATTGGTGCATTGCGTAAAATCTAAAATCATTGAAGAGGGGGACAGTATAGAGGAAAAGAAGATAAAAGAAATGATAACAGGGGAAACATTATTCACGATTGCTCCTGTCTTTGTAGTGACTCTTTTTGTTGACTATCATTACCCAAACCAAAATAACAGCGGCAGTCTTTTCTAAAACAATGATTATCGAATACTCCATTTGCTGCACGGCATAACAATAATTGTGTCATTTTGAAGTATTTTATGCTTAGTGCGCCAAAGGGGAGTATCACCGCATCATTCACCAGCTTGAAATGAGCAGGCTAAAAGATTTTACGATTACACATGATCAGTGATAATCATCAGCATCGACAGGCACAATTAATCCTGAGATTAGTGTGTCGGGCTAGAATTCATATGGATGTTATCTTGTTGATACTGAATCTCAAATTAACCTTTGAAAATATCAAGATTCAAAGTCCTCCTGTTGCCAACCATTCAGCTGGAAAAAGAAATCTCTTGACACACTATCAAAACTAGTGCTTTAAGAGCAGAAACCCCTCCAACTTTAAAGGTAAAAACACGCTTTTAAAGAGTGTTTGAAGAAGTAACCTACATGTGGCTCTTTCTTCTTTACAAGGACATGTCTTTGGGATAAATAAAATCAATACATCTCTTCAGTTGCAACAGCCTTGTACCTTTAAGACACCTGCACTCACTGGATTTATTAAATCTGATTCATGCCAACAAAAAATCACAACCCTGCAGAGGCTAAAAACAAGCATCACAGGTATTATTGTTGTCCACTTTTTTTCACTTTCCAGCTTGTCAATATTGCATTTTTAACCATCAGTTTATGCTCCATCATCTCTAATGTTGCACTAATACATTTGCTGTGTCTAAAAATAACAAAGCACTCCCTGTACAATGCACTATACTGGGAATCCAGCTAACTAAACTGTAGTCTGAATCCCGCATGTGAATTATTATCCCTGAGCATTGGGCCAATTATAGCTCACAATGAATAATGTGCTCAATGAATGCTCATTATCACCCAAGCATGTTGTGCCCTTGTGCATTTGGTGTAAAGAAAAACGAGGGATGTACAATGAGAGCAAAACCAGCAGTCTGTCTGATCTTAAATCGGATTCTCATTCTGTGTTAAAAAATAACAGAAAAGATTTTGAAAATTTGTTGCAGTTTCTCAGAAATCTAAAAGCTACTTTCCATGAAATATGACTTTAGTATTTTAATAAAAGTACAATGTTTACATTCAACCAGGATTTTAAAGCTCTCATGAGGAGTTTTTTCTTTTTTTTTTTTACATATATGAAATAGACTTACATTCACATGGATGCCTTTTCATGATATGCATAATCAAACAAGACCATCTGTGAAAGACTAATGGTTTTTATAACCTGATTTAATGCCTGAAACTGGTGTGAGGGAATAGGTGTCAGCAGAAGAAGAAACAGCCCAGTTTTTATAATTTCAACATAAAATATTCACAATGAACGATACATTTGACTGCCAAAAGTCACTAATCAAGCATGTAGAATAGGGATCTGATAATTGGATCGGATATCGGCTCCGATATTGACAAGTTGACTGGATCAGATATCTGATGAATGACGCTGATCCAGCGTTCCGATTGAGTCTTTTTTTTCTTTTAATTAATTTTTCTTTAAATACATGAAAGTCTTACTTCTTTTTGCTGTGTGCTAATGTGCATTTGTTATTTGTTAATAAATAATATTCAGTAAATTTATATCTGTGTTAATTTGTTACCTTTTTTTAACAAGGCTAATGTCAAGCCTGATGCCTCCACTCACAGGGCAAGGTATACAGTTCATTCATTCAACAGTAATATTGGATCGGTATCAGATATTGGACTACATGCTCAGATCAGGTGTGGGTATCAGATTGGATCGTAAACAAAAAGGATTGGTGCATCTCTGATGTAGATGACAAATAAAGACATCTACCTCCTTGCAGCAGTTTCAGGCATTATAAATTAGGATATCATAGAGAAGGTCATTACTATGAATTTCAAACGATTTCATAAACGTAAAAATACTCTTCATGGGGTTATTGGGTTCGACTGTCGGTACTGTTATGATTACTTCCAGCCAACGTTCAGCTGAGTGTGTTACTTATGTCATGGTATTGGTGTCATCACTTACAGAGGTCTTGGGAGAAAGGCTATTACAGGTGGATTATTTATTGTGCTAGAGAGCTTATGTATCTCACGACAGAGAGCTGGGGAATGGGGAGCACCGAATGTCAGAGTGATTTCCGAAACAGCCATTGAATTTCAGTGGGTGGGTTGATTCTTAAGCTTAACATGTTGCTGTTGTCACACCTTCATTGCAAAACCATCTGTTGCTGTTCTAAAAATAAAAACTGTGTGATCCTCTGCTGATTAGCTCTTCTTTAGTCCCATGTATCATAGTTTCCGGTGACGGACTTGGTTAAGTATAGCAGTCTGATTGGCATGTTGTTATTCCAGCGTTCTTCACTGACTAATTCACCACATCACCTCCTGATGAGAAACACTCAAGTGATGGATGTACTGCCAATCTGACACCGGCCATTTTTTCTTTAAGTTTTACCTTCACTCCTTTCCTTGACATATACATCATTAAAATAGAGCACACTTTGTAACTATGATGGGCACAGCTGCAAGGGCACATCCAGGGTACAAAATCAATTTGACCACCCAAAATGTCACCACATTAACCTAATAATGACTGGCTGTCTACTTAAAAACAAAGCCAACGTGGAAGTGCAAAAAAGTGAATTTCCTACAGCGTCCACTAGAGGCTGGCTTCAGAAGTTTGATTTGATTTATTTGCCCCGTAGGGAGATTTGTCTTCTCTGACAGTAATTGCACATCACAGACAACAACTGACACTACATACACACCAACAATAAATGACATACATGACAGCAATGATGACAAACTTAAATGACAACACAATAGCGGACGGACAAATCAGCCGGGCCTGCTGTTCAGGGTGGCCATCAGGCTTTTCCCCGGCTGAGCCCTCCTAAACTTGATGGTTTTGTACCTGCGCCCCGAGGGTAGCGGGATGATATATTTAAGTTGAGGTGAAAATGACAGCCTAGTTCAATTACTGCCTCTACACTTTTGAAATTCTGTGGCCTCATCAACAATATTCTAAAATAGTAAAAGAAGGAACATTGCGGTCTACATATATGGTCAGTTTTGCATGTTTGCGCAATACTTTCAAAAATCATTTCCTGAGATTGATTTTCAATACAGGTCACAGTGGCCCTGCTTTACCTGCATTAAAGCATTCAGACCAGGAGCAAAGGCACAAGGTTATGATGTCTTTCTCACAGCTCCACAAAGATTTTCTCTTGCACAACAAGTTGGAAGTACTCACAAAACATCCGTCGACTGTCAGTACAATACTTCATCAATCAATTGAATTAACACTATGTACTGTATGAGTCATCCTACTTTGTGCTAGTTCAAGACATTCAGCTGTCCTTCAAAAAGACCCCAGGTGAGCAGACAGAAGAAGACTTACAGGGAAAATTGGTGAAAATGGCTTCAGTGCTCTCTGTGGTATAGCTATAATTCTGGTTGAAACTAACCTCGAACAGCTGGTGATCAATCATCATACAACATGTTGTGTGTGTCAGTGCGACTGCTTTAACATGGAGGGACTCCTCTTATATATCATGTAAAGTTAATACCAGAGGGCAGATTCAGGGAGAATTATAAATTAAATTAATCATCCAAGCCTGGCTTTGATTTTGTTGGCTAGCGGCTGTTTAAGGAGATTGATTTCTTGTAGGGCGGATAGTGTAAGCATGTTAAATGCTGTTGGATTGAGGTAAGCATGTTTTGGTTTTTTCATCCCAAGCTATTGGGTGTTTTTTTTCAGTGCACTGTTAAGGTGATGCAGCCCCCTTCTTCTTCCTGCTGCTGCCTTGATGGAATACAGTCACACTACTTCTTCCTACTCCTTTGCAAACATACACTCACCGGCCACTTTATTAGGTACACCATGCTAGTAACGGGTTGGACCCCCTTTTGCCTTCAGAACTGCCTCAATTCTTCGTGGCATAGATTCAACAAGGTGCTTAATTCATTCATCTGAATGATACATTTCACTGTAAAACAAACAAACGAAAAACCTGCACATGTCAAAAGTAAACAAACTGAATAAAAATACCACCAAGGTTTCAGCTACAGCCTGTGAGCTAAGCATACTGGTGCAGATATTGTTGTTGACTAATGTCGACAAACACATGCAAGCACATGTGCATGTACAGATTAGCCTGTACTGACTTAATTGAACTCCACTCAGGACCACTTTTGTCAAAAGAACTAATTTCTTGCATACATTAGTTAGTTCTGGCCGCTATGTTGTGAGAGCTCTCTGCCCTTCCACTTCTTAACATGGCATACCAAAGCCTGCAGAGGGGGAAAGCACCTCCCCTCTGTTTTATGTTTATATGTGAAAAGCCAAGGCAGGGAGAGCAGCAGCAGCTAAAATACCCAGAACAGACCATCAGTGACAGTACATATTATGACACAGTAAGATCAGGCCCAGCATAAAAGGAGGACCTGGGGTGGAGGTGGGTTGCAAAGGGATTTTAGAGGCAGCAGCAGGAGAAGGCAGACTGAAGCAATTTAAGTATAACGACTTTTCTGACATTTGCAGACTGGATGGTTATCAGCTGAGCTATCAGCTAATGTGGGCTGGCATTAGAATCAGATCAGCTGATGCACTGTGGGTTGATGTATGGCCGGAACAACCGCTACGCCCAATTAAACCAGTCAAAGTCAAGCTGCAAAGGCATTTGACCCTGAGCATGCTGGAGAGCGATGAGGTGTAATTGGCTGCACTTTTTTTTACTTAAAGATTCTTGCCTTTTTTCTGCTTTGAAATGCAAACTGACCACTAGCTGTGGCCTCTGGAGAAATTTCCTGGTTTCTTGTTTTACACTTGAGGACACTTTGGTCATGTGCACTCAACCACTAGATAATCAGCAGATAACTTGATTTATTTCCTACGCCTTTGCCAAAAAGACACAATGAGAACAAGAAAAATATGCAAAGCAGTATCATTACTCTTTTAAATGAGATATATCTAATTAGCAGCATGGATTAAAAATACTTAATTTAGGATGTTTTTGAGAGATGAGATTTAAAACTGAGGTAAATTTACCTGCAGACACACACATAAAAAGTTGTTTCCTGAAACATGAAGCTGATATATTCTTTATGGAGTGTGAAAGATGCATCTGTAACATTACTTGTCCTCAGCGTCTTCTCTGCCGAGGCCGCTACGTCTCCAAAATCAGTCAGATTTGAACGTCTAAAGCTGCGAGCATAAAGTCTGCAGGTGTTATAAAACAAACATTGCGCAGAACTGCTGGTGCCAGGTGCCCGGCTGACTCCGAGAGCAGCGCTGAGATAAGGACCGACTCCAGCATGCAGACGCGTGCTGAGTTAAGCCCTGTGTACAAAACCACAGCACAATCGGCACACTACAGGAGCCCTGAGGGACACAAAGTCCAAATAAACACAAGCTGATTTCAAAAACACAGTTAGACATATACAAGCTTTTATCCCCCAAATATATATGGAAATTCCTCCCAGTCAACGTTGGCTTTATTCTGTTTATCTGTGAGGACAGCAGGTGCAAAAAAACAAGCATACATATTCACTGGGACTCGAGGGAACAAGATGTTTCAGTCAGAGTACATGAATCCAAGAGAATAGTGCCTGGTGATTGAGTAGAGGGTGAAGCGGCAAACTGACAACATGGGGTAAAAAGAAAAATGGCTGCAGCCAAAGATTGAGGAGGAGCAGACGTTCCATGAAGAATTATTTAAAAGCCAAATGGATCTGTAAAGTCAGTTACTAGATGTTGGACCATAAAAACATAAAGTCCTAATCCTTCAAGGAATCAAGAGAAGAATTTAAATGAAAGATAGCCGGGCTTGGTGGATATCTCAGGGCCAGATTTAAGTAGTGTGTCCAGGATTGTAAACAGCTTCAGAGCCTGGACTGAATATATGAGAGTCTGCAGATGCAGCTCTGATAGCCATTAAAAGCTGTTTACTCTCTATATACTGCCTAAGTGATAAGTACAGAGGCTCACATCATCTGAGGAAGGTTTCTATCAATAACTATGCACCAAATGCAACATCAGAGAGAGCTACTGTCCTGCTGTATCCTGCTTTTCAAAAGACATCAGCGAATACAGGTGGATGCCATGCAAAGAATAATAATGGACAACATTTGCTGTATTTTCTACCTGTTTCTCATCATTAAGAAATCCCATCATAAAAAAACCTTCAAAAATCAAAGTTTATCACCCTTTTAAATGCCAACTGGCTTTTTCTGGATACACAAATCTTTCAAAACAGATTAATAGCTTCAGTTTTGATAGATTTAGGAAGACGAGTTAAGTCTTTTATACTGCTAAAATCTTAACATTTAAGCAGATGTACCGTATGATGAGACAGCTTACTGCAAGGCCCAAAAAGCAGCAAATTAAAAGTCTAGATTTACAAAATTGTTGTTTAGTTCAAGGTTATACATCTTCTATGTAAATAAAGAATGTTATACCTTTGAATTTTACAGCTCAAGAATTCTGTGTGTGCAAAAATGCAAAATATCAAATCCTACCAAGTGTCTGTTGAATTTCTGGTCATAATTCATTATTAAATTTGATATGAGCCACATTCATCTAAAAACACTTGCTATTATAATTAATTTCAATATAACACAAGCAAACAGGCGTAAAAGAAATTAGGGCGCCTGTGAGGAACTTTTGGTTTGTGTCAACTCCGGAACCCCCTGTGGCCAAATCAGTCCAAGCTTATCTGGTCCTCTACATCCTTAAGTAGTCACTTTTGACAAATAATCTGATCCTCCAGATTTTTGACAGTGAAATACATTATTTACAATTAATATCCTATCTTGTAGAAATAAGCCTTTGTTTTTAGCTGCCAAGCCAAAACCTACAGGGATTGAAAGTGTTGATTTATAAATATCAAGTATGCAGAACCTTTTGCAAATCTGTTATTTCCAGTTTGGGTTTAACATGAATGTTGCTGATATGAAGTGTTGAGTGATATTTTGACCAGAAAATTAGAAAGAAACACTTAATAACACTGGAGTTTTGGCAGCCAGGAAACCAGGATTTCCTGGAGCTTATGGCTCATTTTGAACACTTACTGCGTCTCTTTCAATCTTTTATACGATAAGAAAAAGCAAACAAGCACAGGAAGAAGAGTCACTAGCTTATTTTTCTTTATCTGGCATCCTGAGAGGTCAAGTGTTATCAGAAGTAGGCATTCAGCTAAATGCCCCCCTCCTCTCCCATTTTCATTTTACCACCTGGTTAATTCAACTACATTTGATACTTCTGGAGATGTGAATGCTTATGTGGAGGTGTGAATGCTTATGTGTGTCAAGATGCAAAACTGCATTAGTTCTTGAAGTAAAAGTGGATGTTTTCAGCTCTGTTCAACTCTCTCTCTTTCATTCACAAAAGGTATACTACCACAATCCCAAGAGTGTTCAATAATCCTCACAAAGAGAAGGATTTGAAAAATGTTGTTTTTGTTGATGAAAAGCCAGTGGGAGGTCTTTAGATGTCTGACACAGAGACATTGAGTCTGACAGCTCTCCCTGGAATATTTCACATTTGGTGAAAAAGATGTGAATACATAGTAGAGCTGGACTGATATATCTGCCTGGTCGATATTACTGCAGATATATCAATGTCAGCCATTAGGTAACAGGAATTCCAGCACAGCCAATGCAAAACTAGTCTCATTTTTGTCCACTAGAGGGCAGTGACAAGCTGACTTTTTAACACTTGAGAATGTATTTTAGTAAGAAAATGTATCTCTGGCATCACTATCACATCTTCATATCCAGGCAGAACTAAGGTAACTTTAAATAAACCGGTTTTTTTTTTTTTTAGAAGTTTAGACGCTGGTACTGTTGTGGCTTTTGCACGTGTTGCATCCTGTAGACAGAGATATCTAACATCAGAAATGACATTATTTCCGCAAATAAGCCTTTACAACTTCAAGTCATGTGTCAAGCCAGTAAAGTCATTGAGCAGATGGTGCAGAGGGGGAATAACACCAACACCTCCAATGCATGTCATATGTGTACAGAAGAGAACAGATTTAACTGCATATGGTAGGGTAGTGGGGAGTTGGATCCATTGTGGATAATCTTGGTCAAATGTCAGTTTTCTCTTGTTCTTTGTAGTTTTTCTTTAGTTACTTTCCATTACATGTATAATATCCAGAGCCATATCATCCAACAAGTAGTCTACACTGTCTCACTCTCTCTTAATTTCTAAAAACAGTGAAATAATAAGTCAATCATATGAAGTCGTCTCTTTTTGTTTTCCAACAAAACAAACATGTTTGTTCGTGTGGTGATGCTGTCTTTGGCTTGTACCTAATTTCTCAGACATAGTTTACCGCTGCAAAGCACCGGGACTCACCGAAGCAGGAGTTGATGAAACCGTACCAGCTGCAGCCGCTGCGTCCCAGCAGCCACCTCCCGCGGATACTGGAGGCGAAGCTGAGCGTGGTGCCGAACAAACACACCAGCATGTCGCTCACACTGATGTTCAGCAGCAGCATGTTCACCGGCGTCCGCAGCTTCTTGAATTTACAAAACAGCAACAGCACGATAAAGTTGTTGAGGAAGCCGAAAGTCATGATAAAGCCCAGCACCACGGACAGCGCCACGAAGCCCGCCGGGGACAGCTTCCCCCTGCCCGCAGGCGCGTCCGCCAGCTCCTGGTCATCGCTCAGGTTGAAGCTGTAATTCAGACCAGCCTGACCAGAAAACATCCTGCTGTCCATTCATCGGAGCTTGTCTTCACTCTGGAGCCAGTTTCCTCTGTTGGATTTTTCACTTTTCAGACCGGGAAAGTTCATTAATCTCTCTTTCTTTCTATCTCCATACTACTTTTCCTCTAGGACATTAGACAACCGCACTTCATGTTTACAAAACATATATCCACGTAGGCTACACTGAAAGCATCAAGCATTTATAGATACTCGATCCGACTCTAACGCAAATGACTTCAATATGTGTCCATAAAGGGCCACCTGTTACCTGAACGCACGTCCACGTCTCTAAATTCAGCGCATTTTAGCCTCTTGACGACAGTATTTCTCGGCAAAACTGTCCTGAATCATCAAAGTTTAGGCATAGATGTACTTTTCCTTCATGCTCTGGTCTTTTAAAATGTAGAAAGCCTGTAGTCTAGAAGTTTCCACTTTGTGAAGAAATGTATTCCGTGCTCACAGTGGACACTCCGGCCACATGGACGGTGTAGTGTAAAGTGCGCGCTGCTCCGCTACCACCATCTTTTAAAGGCGACTCTTACGTCACGAGACACTGAGCCTACAGGGGCCATGGGGTGCATGGATGTGGGTTTTTGCACACGTGTGTGCTTTTGTTTATGGTTCCGAAACTCGTTTGATTTCCTCCCCTCATTTTTCACTCCATTTGTCTATTTCTGACAGCAGGATGACTCGCCTATATGAGGGATAAATATTGATTTTTTTATACCACAGACCTGCTAGGAGGGTCATCACAGCACGTTAGCAATCAAAAACCAGAGGTGCTCAAGACACTTTGCCCAAGGGCTCTTTATGACAAAGTGACAGGAGGCCAGCTGGGGCCAGTAAAACCAAAACAAAACAGAATAATATTTCAAAATAATTTGCATACTCCAATTGACTGATTATTCTTTAATTATTTTAATTTAGGAAAAAGGTAAATATTGTAATGAGTTACTCTCAGGTTCCAAGATATTTCACCTTCTCAGAGCAAATAGCTGTAAACCAATGAGTCTGGATCTTCTCTAGATTTCTGCAACTTTAAAGGAGATCTATTTTTGATGCTATAGGACCAGTATGCTAACTGATGCTGGGTCTTTTCAATGATTTTACAAAGACTACATTGCTGACCTGCTCTTTCTGCCAAGTGTCAAACTCAATCAAAATTTTAAACTATGTTTCTTGAGGTTTTATAGCTTGTCCAAAAGAATCATCATGCTCTTACCTTTTTTTTCTATTCTAATTTGTGGAAATCAAGACAGCATTAAATAAACATTTCTCTTTTCATGTGAATCTTAGTTTGTGATTTGATACTTTTTAAAATTTTTTGTTCATACTATTGTAGAGAAAGCTGAGTATGTGCAGCACTTGGGTCCAAGACAACTGAGGGGAATTGAAGTGTATTGTATCGTATCGTACCGTACAGTACCATATTGTATCGTATAGTACCGTATCGTATCGTTTCATATCCTAGTCTATCAAGTCTAATCCTATTGTACTGTATTGTATTGTATAACATCATATTGCATAGTACAACACATGGGCATAAATGGATGGATGGACAGACAGACAGACAGACAGACAGACAGACAGATAGATAGATAGATAGATAGATAGATAGATAGATAGATAGACAGACCATGACTATAAGGCAGTAGTGCAGCATTACGAAGGCATAGTAAACAATGCAAATGGATGTAGTCTCAGCATAGTCTCAGTAACATCACGCTCTATCATGTTATGCGATGTCACATCAAATTGTTTTGTATCTTTTGCCTCTTTATATTCTGAAGCTCTTTTCAGAAGCATCTTGTGGTTGCAGTTGATTATGAGCATCCAGAAATAATACCAGATGTTTTTTTTCACACATCTGTCTCATCTTCCCTAGCCTGAAGGACAACATATGTGCGTGGACATATGCTCACAGAACTTCAGAGTTGCTGCTGCTGCTGCTCCTGCAGAGACCCCAGAGCAACTTTTCAAGCCAAGAGATTTCACTGAACACTCTCTTTACTGATATAAAGAAAAACAAATTGGCACATGTACCGTTTACAACAAAGGCCAATCGTCACTGAAGTTTTAGTGCTCTTTAGGAACTTTATTGTACAGTGTAAAAGCTAAAGAGCAATATCACTCGCAATACGCATGAGAGCCTCTGACTTTTTGAAAAGAAACAATAATAGTATTATGATACCTTTCAAAAGTGAGTCCCAGTTTCTTCTCTGACAGAAATGAAAAGTTATTTTTTCCCAAACTTGGAGAATTTTGAAGCAAAGACACGAGAGACTCCCACTTTGCTGACAGAAATCTGAAGACGAACAGATGTCTCCACATTTCTGATCTGCCAGATGTCTCAGTCTGATATCAGAATCAAAATCGGAATTACTTTATTGACTCGAACCTAGTATGACTTACCTTACTCTCTCTTTTCTTCCTCAGACAGTGCAACTAGATATTACTTGGAAAATGAGAACAAATAACTCTGATGAATGCTGCATTAAGTTGTGCTTTCAGTAATACAAGCTGTTATAAGCTCTCTGTCATCTTTAACACTGTTTACTTAACAATTACAGGTTTTATCCGTCATATCAGCATTTCAGCATTTATATTGGTGTTGCATGTAAAGAGAAACCACATGTGGATTATATGTTCAGACCTACTTGGCTTTCAATTTGGCTCACCTGATACACAGGCTATTTTCCACGAGATGCAGCCAACAGAAATACAGGGCTGGCTGAAAAATGTCCCCGAAGAGTGACTTTGATGGAAAGTGGGTGGTCGGGCTAGAAATAGCAGTGTTAAATAAAAAAAGTTTGTCTGTTGGTGTGGGCATGGTGCGAGTAATGGTGAGAGGATGAGACACAAATCTCTGTCTGAGTCAAGAGTTTTAAGGCTTATCAGAGGGCAGCACACTGTGTAATATTATACTATAAGGTTGGAATTCATGTTTTGAAAATGGGAGGTTTCAAAGCAACTGTTATGTGTTATTGTTAAAGACTGGGAATGGGGACTATATACACATATATATATATATATATACTGTATATATATATATCACAAATCAAAAACTAGTTCCAATTCCAGACTGGTTCAAACTAGTATGAGTCATCAACAACATTTGGCTTTATGCTTCATTTTTATTGGCCAATCAGACTGCGACTGTGATCAGGTGACCTGAGAAGGTCCACTCAGATGCCAGGAAAATGATTACTAACCAGATGGAAGACTGAAGAATGGCATAAGTACCAATAAAATCTTACCGATCAACATCTCTATCAGCACCCCAGATAATTTGATTAGATGAATATATCATGAACTTGTGAGAAAGAAATTTACCCTCTTGTTCTCTATCCTATCACACCCTGTCACAGCTAAAATCACAGTGCATGAACAATATTCAGCTATTCTACAAGGACAGTGATTTTACTTCAATAATTATGTTGGTTAAAAAATGTAATCAGGCTTGTCTGTTTGGTTTTAGATGATTTACTTTAAAGAGGTGTTCTTGCCAATCTTTTTACTGTAATAAAATCCTGTCTGTCTTATTGAAATATATAGACACTGGACATGTAATTTAACATATAGGCCAATCCTCTACCAGTACTGTGAAGTGAATGGTAAAATATGTACTTCACTTGTCTTGTCTTGTCTAACTCCTTTGTCTGCTTCCTCCCGTTTTCCTGATGTAGGAGTCCAACAAGCACCTACATCATAAACTTTACCCTCCGGCTCTTCATTTCTGTCACTTTTTATGAGACGAATGAAACGCATTGAATGCCTCAGGGAGAAGCAACCAAAAACGTGGTGTTAGCCTCATTTTAATGCTCCACTGCTTCTCTCGCCTGGTTTTGTTCACACCAACTGGTTCCTGTGATATGTAGGATTTAAATAAGAATTCTTACTGTTAGTTAGTCAGTCTCTTTTTAATTTGACCATAAAATTTTATAATTTCTGCCTCTGTATTTTACAATTACTGATCAGTCTGCACTAAAAACACATTACTCTTTTTTTGAAGAGCAAGTGGTAAAAGCTTAGTAAAGCCATTGTAATCACAGACTACTGCTGTTGGCTTTCATAATACCCACGTATCTTTACAAGAAAATGGGGAGGAAACACTTCAAGGTGGAAATGCAGAGATAAAATGTTCCAGTATGACAAGATAATAAAATCCTTTAACTATTCAAGATTCAAAACAAAAAGTACTTCCCCTGTTATTCAAAAATGCAAGATATTTTTATTTTGTAATGCAACAAAATGCTTTGAAACTTGTGTCCACACTTCACATTTCCATTCATTTATTTGTCAGCGGATAAGAGCACTTTAAATTCTCCTTTGCTCAGACTTCTGATCCACCCAGTCCCATTCCTGTTCTCTCTTATCAGGGCTTCAAAGAAAAGCTAACACATTTTTGCACGCTTACTGAGGTTAAAACATAAATAATACTGTGTACAGGGAATGTTTTCATTACCTGAAGTCTATTAGGGGGATTTGGTTGACAAATGTGTGGGCTGCTGATAACTACTTCTTGCTAAGTCCAGTTTCAGATAACTTTAAGTTGGTAAAAGAAAATGCACCTGCCCACAGTGTCCTCTCTGAATGAAAAAATCCAATCTACAAGGCAATTTGCAACTGATGACGGGGGTTTTCACTGTGCGTGCCAGTGAGCAGCCAGCAGCGCCTGCCTGATTGCATTTTAAATAGCTTGATAAATGAACTGTTTTAATATCTTGCCATTGCAACTATGAGCCAAGGCAAGCACAACCTTACAGTGCAGCATAGAAACATAACCTGCCTCAGTGACTGAGCCTGAGGCATTTAGGTACATGCATGGTGAAATAAGCTTTGCTTTCAGCATTTATTATGTTTTTGTGCCTTTTTAACCTGCATTTGCCTTTTGATAATATGCTTTGAGGCTTGTACGGCACTTTGGTTCAACTTTGGTTGGTTGTTTTAAAATGAGCTTTGTAGATTGACTAGGGCTTGATCGGACTTGTGTTTTGTGCAGAGCATGATATACATCAATCAGTTTTAGGATTTAATTCAATGTGCTTGAATTGTATTGTATTGCACAGATTATATGTATTGTTTATTGTAAATATATCTTACACATCTTGTCCTATTACTAAATTACATGGCAGTGAATTGTATTATATCTTAATTCACCACATTTCATCTTTTGTGTAATGTTACAGGGTATTTATTATATTGTATCATATATTTGACCTTATTATCCTTATGTGTTGCAATGGGCTACATCATACTGGACAGTTTTGTAAAGCAATATTTTTAAAGCCAGACATAATCGTATCATGTTGTATCATACATATATTATCATATTACATCATATTTTCTTAGCTCTTTGTGGTGTGTAATGGTTGTTTGTGAAGCTTAATAAAATGGGCTATTTGCAATGGTTTAGCTATCCACACAGGGGATATCTGTTGCCCTGCAGGCAGTCTATTTTGTTGTTATACCTCAGGATTACCTGTATGACTTGACCGCAG